AGCGCGCCCAGAGGACGAGACCGAATCCTTGAAGACTGTGATGCCGCTGTATCGGATCGGGCATCTTTTAAAGTGTCTGTACCTGCAGGAAGAATAACAGAGTAATGCTATGCCGTGTTTTTAATTTAACAAGCGTTGACGGGACTAGAGCCGTCTACTCCAATCGTACCCCGAGTCCCAGGCGAGGGAGAAGCGAGATTGTGTGTACTTGTACATAGCCTAGGAAAATTCCCTCTCCCTTCCCGTGGTATGTCTCCGTTCCCTCCTCGGCGAGATGTGGCGGTCTTGGGTGGCGCAGTCTGGTCCACCGCAAGCTGGGATCGTGCAGCAAGTCACGATGACGGAAGCGAATAAGATTGGCAAGCGTTGTCCTGTGCTACTACTTGTTTTTTTTCTCTCTCCCTTTTCTTTTCAGTTGTCGTTCTCCCCCCCTCCAGTCTTCCGAGCGTAGACGTCGCTGCAGCCAGCCGTCCTCGCTAGCGGACTCTCCGGATGCAACTTCGGCGATCATGAAGGGTAACCCCGGCTTTTGCGAGGATGATGTCCGAACCTGCGTTGTTTACTGTGCAGGACGGGATGGATTACAACTACTGCAGGACGCATTGGGGTTGGGATCGATTGGAACGGGTGCTGTCAAATGAAGGGAATAATATATAGACGACGGCTCCGTGCAGCCTTTAACATGCTGAAATGGGGGCACGTAGTAACGAACTACTTTCGTATATTGCAGTCTCTTGTTTTGGGGGAAGTGTCTGAGAAGGTTTATATTAGCCCACCCCCCCCCTCTCAATGGCTAAGCCTAAGACAGAATCTTCATACTTAAGGTTCGAAGTAAACAGTGGCAGCCTCGCCTCGATGTCTCGTTCGGGAACGCTGACGACGTTAGCTTCGTACTTGCACCCTAGACCTCGCCTGACATTCCCGGCTCCAAGGTGCGGGAGGTGGACATTAACTTTAAAAGTGGTATTAGCGGGAGAGATGCGAGATGATGAGGAGTGTACCTTGTAGTGAACGTGAAGAAAAGGTTTTTTTTAAGAGGGAAAATTAGAAGCCACGTTCCCAGCTTTGGTTAGCTATATCCAAGTTCTGTACCGCATCCGGAAACCGACGAGTTGCACTACAAGGTAAAAACCGCTCGAGTTCGGCCATTTCCCAGATCTGCATCTCGTTTGCCACACGGGCGCCCCCGGCCTCACTCGCAAGGACTGACAATTATGGAAGAGGACGTAAGAGGAGCCAATGACGATGCATCGGCCGTCTCGGCCATCTCAACACTAACGCCACCCATGTCTGACAAGAAGCTTACTAGATGAGAGGAGGCTAGTGCACATGGAAGGGGTGAGAGGGGGGGGAAGGGAAAAAAGCAGTTACTCGATGAGAAGATGGACGGAAAGGAAACGAAATTATCGGAGAGGGGGAGGAAAAAGCAATGTAGAGATGAAGAGAGACAGGGAAAGGAAGATGTGCACACCGGGGTGGAGCTGGAACCTGCAGCGGAATATTAGAGGGATTCAACACTAATGTGATAGTGTAACTTGATCTATGATAGATAGTCTAAACCCGGAGCCAAGGCGAGGGTCGAATTTGTTGCTTGTTTGCGTGCATACGAAGTAGCCGAACCCTGCCGGTTATCCAAGGGACTTACGATATCGATCGTGGTCCATTCCGTAGCCCTGGTTCAACGTCGGCAGTCGAGTACGAGTACAGGATCGGGGGAGAGGAGCGGGAATGCGCGATGGGCCCCATATGAGCAGGGCAAAGAAGAATGCCCGCAGGTTACCTCAACGAGGACTGGAGAGAAGAACATCTCTAGCTTCAGAAACGGTCCAAGCATATGATAATGCATATCGACGCGCTTACACGCAGGAATCGAGCCCCGTCTACCTCGGTAGAGCCCGGCTCTCGTTCACCTTTGCAGGTCCTTGACGTGAGGGTGAGTTTATAACACTGGTGGTGGAGTTGGTTGGGTTTCTCTATTACAAGAGTTGGGCATCATGGCAGTCCCTATTTGCCACAGGCAATCCCGCCGTCCCGTAAGATCTTGAGCCCAGTAGAATCTGGAGATTACGTCGTGAGCCTCGCTTGGTAGTTGGGGTTTGTGGCAGCCGCACTCAGATATCTGCGTATACTTCAGATACCCAACAGGCATGTATACACCCAAATACACACCGATATACCTCCGTACACACCACATACTCGACGCCGGTCCAAAAACTCCGTAGTGTATGTTGTATGTTCCTAAAGGCGCTCGCAAGTTCTACAGTCTAGCGTCCTCCTGAAGCACCCTCGTTTCCGTTTCCAGCCGATCACCATGGCGGACCCGGGAAGGGGGGGGGGGGGGGGGGGGGGGGGCACAAAGGGCGCCAACGTATGAACCCAATTCATAACAAAACCTACGACATGATTAAAATCCCCGAGAGGACGCGAAAGTCTCGGTTCTGTCATGAAGCTGCATGCGGGCGGGAACTCGGTGGCTGCGCTGGTCGACAGGGGCATGGGGCGAGAGGGACATCCACTGCCTTCGTTTCCCTGTTCGAATTTATGATATTTATTATGTTCTTTTATCACCACTTCCTCGACACGCGCTACCACCCCGTTACTTTTTTGTACTTCTTTTTTTCTTTCCTTTTTCCGCCCCTCGTTGAAACGTGGTAAAGTGAAGCGGGTGGAGCAAGTGTTCACCTCGACGGACGCTAGGCTTCTCAAGGGATCATCGGAAGTTAATCCTTTGTACCATTTTCTCTGAGAAAGCAATTGTAGATACAATGCGGCCCAATACCACGACAGATGAGGCCTGTAAAGACTAATAGTCGGTGGAGATTAAGGGAAAGAGGGACTCAAATGGCGTCAAATGGGGGGGCTGTATTCCACTCTAATCTTGCATTCATGACATGGAATTGCTATTTCCGCCCGGCCGGGTCTGTCGAATGAGAACCGGATGACTTTCTCGGAGAAGGAGAGCCATGCTCTCGAATAACGCTCGTTGCTTTACTGAAATAGTATGTGAGTCTGCCCTGGAGGTTTCTCGGAGATGCGGCCAGGCTGGATGTAGTCGAAGGGCTGGGCTGTTGATCGGGAATACGGAGTGAAGTGTCTAGTAAAAAGGAAGAGGTAAAGGAAGGAAAGGAGAGAGAAGGGAATGCGGACCGAAAACTAAGTTTGTGACGTTTTCTCACCGAATGTCTCCTCTCAGTTCTCATGATCCTGGATGAGATCCCTCCCCCCTTTCTCCTTGCTTTTTGGTGACATGTCTCTGGCCGGATAACAAACACATGCCGCTTGCTTCTTCTTCTCGTGATGTCTCTCGTCTCCTTGTCCGGGGAGGAACGGGATGGCCTTGGAAGGGTGGAAAACTAATGGAACAATTGTTTGTCCTCTTCAGCGGGCTGAATCGAAGAAGTACGAGCCAACCTCCTTTACAGCATTTCGAGTGCGTCTGTTCGACTTCGTTCTGAGGTGTATTGCTTTTTCGGTTCTCCTTCTTTTCGTTTTCCATGGCGCCATGAATCGTAGGTACTGTAGAGATCTAGAACGGAGGCAGATATATAACGCATGAAGCGGATGAGGCTCACCACGGTGAGAGCTTTCCTCGGCGTCAACGGCCCGTCGTTCGAGGGTTAGACCGCGATAGTACTCTCTGCCTATCTCAAGGGCTATGTCGAACCAGGGACCGTGGCGGCGGACCTATGCTCACCGCCAGCGTTGCCCTCTGGGCGTTTGAAAAGCAAGGAGATAATCTATTTTTGATGGTGTGCCGGCTCACACCTTTTTGATACCCGTCTCGCTTTGATGCCTCCAGCCCCCCCCGAAAATATCGGTCACAGAGACAGAGGTCCGTCATCTAGCACGAAACACGATTGTCTTAGAACGCCTCCCGTATCCACACGCCACCTCCTGTTTAAGTTCCGGTGCTCGAGCATGGCTTGAAGCCTCCAGGAGAAAAAAAAAAGTCAATTTAAACTTGTTCGAGAAACCTCATCCAAGACAAGTTCGTAAAGAGAAGGAACCCTTGCGAGAACTGAATGGTAACCCAAGAAAGATGCAAATATAGAACTCTGTTTTTAGGGCCTACTCACCCGCCGTTGCACCAACCCTACAAGATATCCGCCTGGAAACAACCCTCCTTGTCCCCTGTCCACGACATGTATGCAGCCGGTTCGTAAACCCGGTCTTGGTGGGGAAAGCCCTGTAAACTTGACCTGGAACGTGTTCACTGAACAGACCACAGGGGATATTTATGCCTTGCGTTTCTGACGGCTGTAACGTTTGCCGGGGAGTTGCATTTTCGGTACTGCCATTGCTCGACTCATCTCATTTCCTCGACATATTCTTCGCCCCGAGGAGAAGGATGCCTTGACTGTCATTACCCTATGCTGGTTGGCCCAGAATCGTTGTCGTGTCTCTGCAAAGAAGCATCTAGGTCTTGCACACGATGGCAGAGCAACGAGATTAGTATCTGGAAAAAGACAAACACGGTTGCATAGGCCTGGCATCTGTAGCAAACGACGAAATGAGCATTGAGAGGAGAGAGAGACCCGTGTTGGGGGAAAAAAAAGTACTCTGAGAATCATAGCTTGAGTCTATATAGGAAAGAAGTGATGAGAAGCGAAAGTGTATTGTAGAAGACGCAGTTTCCATTTCCATTATAAAAAATAACCAATTTTGGCGCATATGTGAATGACTGAGACGAGAGGGTGTGGAACGGACGACTCATACTCCTCGTCCCTCTCAGAAGCCTCTCAACCCGATGGTCCACCAATATTAATCGTACAAGTAAACTGAACTTAGCCCCCAAGACAGATTGGACCTCGGCGAAGGTGACAAGGAGAATCCCTATTCTTTGCTGGGGGTTTGCTTTCCTGTTTCTCCCCCTGGCACCACTAGAACAACATATTATGTTTTACAAGGACTCTCGTGTCCACGCGGAGTGGAAGAAGGCTTCGCAAGGCGGCCCGAGGAGATAAGATGACAGACACGCGATGTGATACGGTGAATCCTCTTTACAGACGGCTCTCGACACTTGCTAGCTTCTTCTCGTCAACAGCCCAGTGCGAGTTGGGCCAGACAAGTCGGATGGCATCGTAGATGTGGCTATTAAGTAGGGCTCGTTAGCAACGCTGTAATAAACGAATGGAAAGCGGGAAAGATTGTAAAGCTCTGATGTTGTTGGTAAAGGGGGGCGGAAGGGGGAACGAGGGGTCACACATACTTGACAAAGAGAATATCAATGCCATCCGTCACATCTGGGGGAAGATCCTTGAGATCCTTCCGATTCTGAGCGGGGAGGAGGACAGTCTTCACTCCCGCACGCAGAGCTCCGATGAGTTTCTCCTTGATGCCTCCGACGGCTGTCACCCGTCCACGAAGGGAGATTTCACCCTATAACACCTGTTAGATACCTAGTTCCGAAGAGAGAAAAAAAAAAAAAAGTGAAGAAGAATGGCGCAAAAGGCTAAAAAGGCAACATACCGTCATGGCCATCGTCGGCGGCACTGGGTTCCCAGAGAACAGCGAGATAAGCGCAATCGCCTGCGCAATACCACTGCTAGGACCGTCCTTAGGAATAGAGCCCGAAGGACAATGCACATGGATACTCCGCCCATCCATAATATTAGTGTTAGGCTCCGGCGTCAATCCCAACTCGAACGCGTGAGCCTTGACCCAAGTAAGCGCCACCTCGACGCTCTCCTTGAGCACGTCACCCAGCCTACCCGTGAGCTGCACGTGCCCATCCCCGGGCATATCGGCAACCTCAATGAAGAGGATACTACCGTTGCCTCCGGAGCTGTACGCTACCAAGCCCGTGACGATACCGGGACGGCTCGTCTTTTCGGCGATCTCGTCCTCAAACATCTCGACGCCGAGGATCTCCTCCACGTCTTCGAGCGTAACCTCCGGTCGGTAGGACTCGAGGCGGCCGCCGTCCTTGGCCTCGGCGTACTCGACGGCCTTGGCGCGGCAGACCGATCCGATCTCCCTCTCGAGGTTACGCACGCCGGACTCGCGCGTGTACGAGTCGATGACCTTGGACACGACCTTCTCGTTGAAGACTACCTGGCCCTTGGATAGGCCGTTGGCGCGCATCTGCTTGGGCACGAGATGCCTCAGGGCGATGTGTCGCTTCTCCAGCGTCGTGTAGCCCGGCAAGTAAATGGTCTCCATACGGTCCAGCAGCGGTGCTGGGATGTTCTCAAGGTTGTTGGCCGTGGCAATGAATAGAACCTTGCTCAGGTCCAGGGGTGTGCCCAGGTAGTGATCGGTGAAAGTGTGGTTTTGCTCGGGGTCCAAGACCTCAAGCATGGCAGCTGATGGATCGCCCATGTTGCTTGCCTTGCCAAGCTTATCAATCTCATCCAGCAGGAAAACAGGATTTGAGACGCCGACTTTCCTCAAGCCCTGAACAATCACACCAGGCATAGCAGACACATATGTTCGGCGATGACCCCGGATTTCGGGTTCGTCACGCACGCCACCGAGGGAAATACGGTGGAACTTTCGACCAAGGGCCGTCGCGATCGACCTTGCAAGACTGGTCTTGCCAACACCGGGAGGGCCAGCAAGAAGCAGGATAGGCGACTTGTCAACAGCTCGCTGCGCCTTGAGGGCTTCGAGCTTGGTGGAAGCCACCTTGGGAATCTCGTGAGGGTTTGGAGTTTCCTCCTTCGCCTCGGCCTCCCTCTCCGCATTCAGCTTGGCCTCCTCAGCCTCAGCCTTCCTGATCTGTTCTTCGATGTCGTCATTGACGGATTGCTTCAGCCTCAAGATAGCAAGGTACTCGATCAGTCGCTTCTTGACCTTTTCAAGTCCGCAGTGATCTTCATCCAACTGCTTCCTTGCCTTGACCAGAGTCTCCGGGCCTAACCTCTCCTCTGTGACAGTCGACCACGGCACTTCCGCCAGCGTCTCCAGCCAAGTCATAGTAATGGAGTATTCATTGCCTCCGGGCATCATATGCTTCAGGTGCTTCATCTCCCTCTCGGCAAGCTTGGCCGCATCGGGTGGGAGATTGGCAGCGTCCAACTTCTTCTGCAGCAGCTCAAGCTCATTCGGGTCTTTGCCGTTATCCTGGGCGCTCGGCGGCATACCCGAGGGCGGCGTCATGTTCAAAGCGGCACCCGTCGTAGGCAGGCCGGCGGGCTTGATCTGGCGATTATTGAGACGATCGAGGATTTGAGTGGGGATGGCCGTGACAGTGGTGATGTTCATGTTGCCCTTAATGTCGGAGACTTCGCGCTGGAGGAGTTCAATCACCTTTGCCATCCTCGTCTTGACGTTGACAGCAGCGAGGATCTGGAGTTTCTCCTCATAGGATGTGTCTAGGATATTCGCCATGAAATCGGCGAGGGAGCCCGCGTCCTTGAGTTCCCTCTTCATGATGAAAAGGTTGAGTCGCTGAGCAAGCAACGGTGAGAGTGCCGCTCGAAGGTCGGAGCGGTTGAAGAACGAGGATACTCGAAGGATGGATACGAGCTCGAGAGATTGGGACTTGAGGGTAGCGAAGAGCTCGCGTGTCTTCTTATCCTTTTGGCTCACTGAAAATGAGGGCGTTTCGGGTTAGAGAGAGAGGGGAGAATTAATTGAATAGAAGAGGATTCCCGCTTACCTTGGTCGGTGCATATTTCGAACTCGGTAGCCTCGAAGTACTGGCGCTCGTTGGCGATGGCTTTGAACTTGCACCTCGCAACACCCTCCACCCTAAGCTCCGCACCAGCCCCCGTGCCCTGGATGCCCAAGGCTCGTATAGTTACGCCATATCCGAACAAGTTCTCCGTCGTCAAGTCCGACGTGTCGATATCGAGGAAGGAGAGATCGTGATGATCTGGATCGCGGCCGGCGAGAGGTTGTCCCGACGGGCTAAGGTAGGGCGATGCGAGCGGCACGCATGCCAGCTGAATGGCGTCCAGAGGGTTGCTGGGGCGTTGCGAAGCGGCGCGTTCGTAAACACTGCTGAACAGGTGGGAAATGTGGGAGCTGGCGGCGGGGATGGGGATACGCTGTACGATGCCGGGAAAGAGGACGGTTCCTCGCGTAAGAGGGATGAGAGGAAGAGTGGTGTCGAATCTCGCCATGTCACACGATCGGCTCGGGAGGGTGCTTCGTGAGTGATAAATAGGGGATGAAGGGGCAGAATGGGAATAACAAGACAAAATATGGGAAAATAATGCGATGGAATTACAATTGAAACTGGGTGAAAAGAAAACGAGTAGAGTCTAAAAACAATCGAGTTCTGAAAATGGCAACGGTCTAAAGTGGGTATCAAATGATGCCTTTGTTCTCTCGCCTCCTTCTTGTGATGCCGATGGATAGTTTGGGAAGCCGAGGCAAAATGACGTTGGTTGGTTCGAGCGAGCTTCGTCGAGCTTCTCTCGCCCCCGGAAACGAAGATGGGAGCAGAACCCAGAACCAAGAAACCAACACACACGAGCTGCACCCACACTGCCAGCTGTCGAGCGGCCACTGCCGCCCGCAGGGACCGGGCTGTCGGACAGTGCTGAAAGAGCTAAGATCGACGACGCACAGAGAGACCTTGCCCATTGATTGATGCCTAAGGAGGCAAGGCATGAACCTTGGGTTTCGCGGGGTGCATTGGAGCAAAGCCAAAATCCATTTAACGAAAGTCGCGTCAACCATCCCACTTCACGCGTTTCCCTTCACAGTTGCCCTTTCGACCAAGATACCCCAAACTACGTTAAACAACCTCAAAACTACCACAAATGGGTAAGCAAGGTCCTTATCCTTATGAAACAAATTCCTATGGTTATTTAATATTTTCGTCGAGTATATTAACACCCTGCTAGCTTCCTACGGTGGCGGATATAAAGGCGGTTATGGAGGGGGCGGCGGGGGTGGTGATGATGCAGGCGGTTTCGTTTACGGATCTCAACAAGGCAGCCAAGGAGGCAACCAAAAGGTGAGCGACTCTTTGCACAACCATATTCGAGTTCAAGACGCCAAATCCTAACTAATGTCCCTTTTCAATCATAGTCCCAGAGGAACGAGACGTTACGTCCTCTAACGATCAAGCAAATGCTCGACGCCGAAGAGACCTACCCCGAGTCTGCCGAATTCCGCATTGACGGTGCCCCAGTCTTCCAGGTACACTTCTTCCGACGTTAAACATCGAAAGGATCACGCCTTCTCTAATTTTCTTTCTTCAGATGACCTTTGTGGCCCAAGTCCGCCAAGTAAACCGCCTCCAAACAAACATCCACTTCAAAGTCGACGACGGCACCGGCGTAATCGAAGGCAAGAAATTTATAGACGCAGACAAGTCCGACGAGGGTCCCGAATACACGATCCAAACGGACGACTACGTCCGCGTCTACGGCCACATCCGCTCCTTCAACAACAACCGCCACATCGCCATCCAGGTCATCCGCCCCATCACCGACTACAACGAGATCCACTACCATCTCCTAGAGGCTACCGCCGTTCATCTCTACTACACGAAGGGCCAGCTTGGTCAGCAGGGCGGAGGCGGCGCCGCTGCTAACCCTGCCGGTGGCGATAGTATGTTCGTTGACGATGGGGGCTACGGTGGTGGTGCTGGGGGCGATGCGAATCAACATGCGGCTGGTGCGGCGAAACTTGGGAACGTGTCGGCGGCGGCGCGGAGGTTGTACGACTTTATGCTTAATGCGCCGGGTGGTAACGAGGGTGTACACTTGCAGGAGCTCAGCAAGGGTTTGGGAATGACGGCGAGGGAAGTGCTTGCGGCTGCGGATGAGCTGCTGGGTCAGGGTGTAATATACACCACTATTGATGATGAGACCTGGGCCGTACTAGAGTACTAGAAGGGTTGGGCCGAGGGGATCGGCCGCGAAGGATTGGCACTGGTCATTCGGTCATCAAAATACGCGGACCGATGAGACACGCTTTCTAACGATTTTATTGCAAGAATCATGCCCCAGTTTAGATGTTGAATGAGGGGAGCTAAGATACGGCACGACTATGGGATTAGGTGGACGGTAAATAGGTAATTGCTTGAATGACAAAAGGAATTCAACCCTGTGAAGAGGGACTAATTTCATATGTGGTCCTATCTGTAATTTCAAAATTTGCAATACCGCAACTCCCATGGGAAGATGTTTCCAGTCTCCCATGAAGGCGTCGCCAGTGTGTGTTTATCAAAGCCTTAGCCAATCTGCCCAGTTAAAATCCAAATTGACATCTCATGTAGGAAATTATCAACAGCCTTGTGGTGAATAAACCCAAAACGAAATAGCAGAATAGTCGGAGGCAAGGCTCAGATATTTCACCGGCATAGCAACCAACACCAAGAAACTCAAACGCACGCACACGTATCGTAGCAAAAAAAGCACGACTACTTTCTCAAATCAAGCCTTGACTTCGGCGCCCTGAAACTTACAAGATTGGTAAGTAACATTGCGGGGCTGGGGTTCACGGACCATGGCAGTGAGCAGGACTGGCGAGCATCCACGCGTCAAAGTAATGTCCTTCTTCGCCTCGAAGCCGAACTTCTTGTAGTAGCGCGTGTTAGCGGGAGAGCTGGACTCGAGATAGATTGGACGGTTTTCGGCATCAGCCTTGAGAGAGAATAAGTAAAGTCTCAAAGTCAAGTGTTCCATATACATATTTGTATATACACAACGTGACCAGTTGGGGTTGGACTGAACTTACAACTCTTGCCATATCCCTCAGCAGTTTACTTGCATAACCTTGACCACGCGCCTTCGGCTTCGTACCAAGGTAAACAAGGTAATAGCAGTCGGCATCACGACTGCCCATAACCTCGAGCTTGGTGTTATACAGGAGGGGGAGGAGTTCTTGGAAATACCTTCTCCTCCCTTCCGCAGAAAGAAGGTAGTACATCCGCCAGAGCCCGCTCCGGAGGGAAATCCACCAGCCATCGGCATTGACGCCTGGGGGGAGCCTGTTTACGAGTGAATACCTCGGTTAGCTATCATGTTGTGTATAGAGAGCAACGTGGATCGGACTAGAAACCTAGATGCTTGGCAGCTAATAACTCAAGCTTCACCCCTAAGGACTAGAATGAAAACCCGCTCCTCAACTAGAAAACCTTGGGGATTACCACGAGTCATAGTGCAGAGAGATCATGGGTATGCCGCGTATCTTAGACTTACCAGACAGACACGCAATCGTGTTCAGGACCGATCGTGGTTACGATGCCTTTGAGCAAGTGAGCAGCGGTGATATATGTCATTATATCGACGTGGAGTCGCCACTTCTGTTCGGCAGAGAGGTAATCCATGTCATCCGCGCCTAGGAGGTACTGACTTAGATCATCAGCAGCAAAGGAGTGAGCCAGGGACAGCCCTACCTCCCTACACTCTGACATGCCAACTCTACGGACAGTGTCCTCCCAGGTCGGGGGAATGAGGGAGCTTTTCAACTCAACAAGGGTTACACTACTGCTTACGTGCGCCATGTTGGGTGGTTGGAAGCTGAGAAATGCTTGCACTATAGCTGCCAATTGCAGGTGGGGGCGAGATGATTCCTAGAAGAAACTGGTGTGTTAGTGAACGACAACGGCGAATTGATGTGACGAACAGAGAAAACCCTCGCGATGAACAGAGACGACAAGGAATAAATGCAGACATATGTATATCAAAGAGAAAAAAAAAAAAAACGAAAGAAAGAATCAAAAACTAGAGGGAAAAAACGAGGGGGAGAAAAGTACGGAGTTGGATGGGTAGACTTTCAACAGTCCGCCACATGCATATTAAACATAGGGATCTGGGAAGCTATTGATCAGGCGGGTGCCAGCGAACCGGACCGCGACCGTGGGGAGGCGCCAGCACACTCAAATGCCGGGACGTTGGGTGTAGGTATAGCACTTACAAGGTATTTTATTCTGTATACTATCGCCCGTATGGACTTTCGAGAGTTGTGTCCGAGAAACGGGCATAAATCTGGAAGGATGACGAAGACAATTAAGGCTGGTTCGGAGGTCAAACGACATCAATATCGCCTTGATATAGGGGGACCACTGGAGAAAGTTTCGGGTTTTCTCTGCTCCCCTTTTTCTTATCGGGCAATCAATGCACTTCTCGTGCCTACGGGTCGCCCTAGAGCACTATGAATTGATGAGCGGTTGGTGTTTCCGGCTTCGTCTGGGTTGGACGACTTGGTTGTTGTCTGCGTTTGGGAGGATGACTCGGCGTGGGCAGGTGAGTTGAATGATTCGAGAGCGTGTTGGAGGGTCCGTGGTAGTGTTTGGGTGAGAAAGCTCGAACACCTCTGGTGTGAATTTTAAAGACTGAGAAAGGGATGAGAGAACAATAGGTAAAGTATGTTGGACGAGGGATGCCAGGTGAAGGGGAAGGTGAGCGGGGACTTGGAGATATATGGGCAGGTTTCGGTGAATCGGTAGTGCTGGGCGGTGCTTCGTTAGCGTCGAAATCGAACAAGTTGAGGCCTGGAGCGAGTCGCAGTGGCGAAGTTCTAGTCTTGGAAGCACTAGAGAATAGTTGGGGCGCACGTGGTCGTGCCCCTTGGAGGAGCTAGAAGGCCGAGACTGGGATATGCTTGGCGACAGCAGGGAAGTTCAGGTCGGTGTGACCAGAGTCTAATATAAATAATGCTGGATGATATTTGGATAGACTCTCACTTCTCCTATTTTTGTTTGATCAAACAAGAGGATCAAAAAATATGATCACGCGGAGAAGTTTGTGTTGTTCAGCGTTGTGTTGTGTCGCAGCGGTAAATGGCGAAGGTCGGCTGGGGGAAGTCTGATGTTTGATTGATTTGATGTTTGCTGTTTGGGTGTAAGTGCAAGTAAGTAAGTGCAAGGCGGACAAGTGTTCCGATCTTCCCGTACCCTCAAGAGGTGGGAAAATGCGAGGTATCCCGTGAAGGAAAGAGGAAAGAGGAATCTGCGACGATGAGACCACTTTTGGGAGAAGCTTCAGTTCAATTGCACTAGACTCAGACGGGCGGACACCGGGTCTTATGTAGTTTGCAAGATTTCGGAGCCAAGCCTGAAGCCGTCCCACTTTGCCATTTGGAGGACGTTCAAAATCGTGAAAGGAGAAGGACAAGGAAGCAAACGAGGCAAGTACGAAGTAACACGATGGTACTCTGGCCCTCCACATGAGCCGGGGAAATGCACCCGGGGATGGGGGTATGTGTAGTGTGGAGTCAGGGTGGGTGTCCACCGTGTAAGTGGACAAGTACATACAATTGTAGTGTATTGGGGTAGTCATTGACAGTCGTTGATTGAACTGTATGAAGCACAAAAAGGAAGTGGAAACAGTCCAATGGACCAGGGTATCTTGTCAGCCGAGCCCAGTGCTTGTTGCCCCTTCCTTTCCCCGTTCTCCACGGATTGGTGATCGAGGTAGTAGTGTTTCCCACGCCAAACTCGGCGAAGAGGCTCGCGGCAAGATCGGAGCTGTAGTTTACAACGACGGCGTAGGCGTAGTGCCGTGTCAGGAGACCGCAACTAGTGGCAGGGTGTCCTTTCCGTCGCTGAAGAGAACAACATCAAATACAACAAGCCCACGTATAAGTCGCTTACAAAACCTCAACTCACAATTGCATTCGGTAGGACCGGTCAGTGACCGCCTCAAACTACATCCGTTTGGAAGGATGCGGGTACCAATAGTACGATCAATATGGGCTACACCACGTACGAGTACCAAGAGACTTGTGATGCTCGTATTGACCGATTTAGACAAGGGCAGGCACTGGGCTGGCTGCCGGGGGTCGGGCAGGCGGCGTTGGGATGGGATGGGATCAATGGTCGATGGGGAAAATGGGGAAGGAACATTGAATGGAATGGGATGGACTAGCGGTGGCACCCCCATTGATTGTTCTTTCCAACCCCGGAACAACAGGGAAGGAGTTACCTACCCCCTACGTGGGGTGGTACGACGACTCAAGCTGTTAGTAAGAGCTGGGAAAGTGCGAGTCACAGCGAAATAATGGACTTTTTTTTTTCGTTTCTTTCCTTTTTCTCGTCCTTGTTATCTTTTTAATGTTGCGGTGTGTTTTGTAAAAAGTGGTTTTCTAATTATTCAAGAAAATACGCGGATGATTCAAACCCGGATGCATTTCCATTTTGGCCATTGCCGACCAATGCTTTTTGTTGCCTTCAGTCCTGACCCGGGTACGGGCCTGAGACGGAACGGAGCGAGCCTGAAAGGCCGATGTAGGTGCCCCGACAGGTGGAGCCCAGACCCGGAGCCTCCTTTGGTAGAAGCCACAAACTCTGTGGGTAGGTTTGCTGCAACTAACAATTGCAGGAGGGTGCACAAAGGGACCATCAAATTTACAGCACCAAGACCCACTCAAAACGAACATTGGCCAGCCAGCCAGGCCGTGGTTTTTGCGTATAGACATGTGCGCAAAGCGGACTTGGTATCATCGATAGGTGGTTAGTGTCAGAGAATGCAGGCGAACGCTCTCGCTTCGGCACCAAATCCAGATGTCGGTCAAGAGAGCGAGACAGACAAATTATTACATGGGGAAGGGGGGGGGGCTGAATATTTGTCAGGGTTGCTAGGGGGCACCAGCCAAGAGAAGGCTGCAGGGTGTGGAGAAATCGTGTCAGCTTGCTTTTGCGCATCATGCCAGAAGCAGACGCACGCATATTTTCCGTTGGGAACGGAGCCCAGTCCAAGGTGGTGTGGGTGGTCATGGAATGTCAGTGAACCCCGTTAATGCATGTACAACTACGAAAGTACGACTGCACGACCGACCAAGGAATACACAACCCCACGCAAAGTTGTACGGTGTACTAGTCACATCAACTCGAGATAACCTTCACGGGGCCGCCGCAAGACTAAGATTAATACTGCGTGGAAGCATGCGATAGGATTGCGAAATCGAGATCGAGAGAGAGCAGCACCCCGGTGGGCCGCTGATGAGCAATTCCCATCTTGGGACTGGACCGGGGCTCTCAACGGCGACGGGCAACTTTTCTGCATCCCAACTGTTTGGTGTTCGGTAACAGGTGGGGGGAGCAAACAGGGGGGTTAAAACTTGGAATTTGGGACACAGTCAGAGACCGGGGTAAGAGCATTCCATGAAATGCAGGGAAGGAAGTTGTTGCGGTCTCCGACTCTCCGATGGCTGGGCTCTTGGGGATAATATCCCTTATCAACACCGCCTGAATACTCCGAGATCGAATGGGGGAAAACACCCACTTGCCCACTCTGGCACTCACCCACCCACACTCACACAGTATGCGTATGACACCGCCTGCGGCTCACGAAGTCTTTGACAACCTTCCCGGCTCTCATCCCACGCGCGGTCGCATCATGTGTACTGCACTGCACCGGCGGATGAGACACTCTCGTTCGTCCTGTACACGTCCTGTACAGCTGGGAACCTTGGATGGATGCTTCCCCCCTCCAAGTACCAGGAGGGGGGTATGTCACTGACTTGTTGTTTAAGGGGCAAGAGTTCGAATTTGGCCGCTTGCTTCGTACGGGGTAGGGCTATCCCCTACATCCCATTCCATGTGGATGGTACGGGAATGGACGGGACGATGGCAGAGCCCCTTCCCGTCCAAGAGGGTCAGAGCACATGGATGTTGCTTCTGGCTGCAAAGAAGATGTGTGGGAGGCCTGGTCGCTTGCAGGAAATATATGAACGGATGTACAACCGCGGATTTCCTTGAGCTACGCCAGGGGCCCAAAAGGATTAGAAAAAAGTAAGCATCCTTTCCCCCAATGTTGGCGAAAAAGTATCTCAAATGTATCCTTATCACCCTTTCCGAACGCAAGAGTACACCGACCAGCAAACATCGTCTACCAATGGTTGAGACACAGCTTTTTGCAGCTCGCAGTCGCAGATACCCGCACAAGTGCAGGAGCAATCATCATGTGATGGTTTCCGCACTCCCTTGTTCCCCTCCGTTTGTTTGTCTTTCTGGCAGGAAACTGAGTTCAATTGCTTTCTTGTTTTCGTAAACCCATGGAATTGGGAAGTTCTATCCGCCTCGGGTTATGATGAACCCCGAAAGAAGCACGTGGAAGCCCCAATCGACGATCACCTCCTGAACCTTCTTCCATCCCGGCCAGTCAACTTGCAGGGACCCCTGGGTCTAAACTCGACAGGAGCCTAGCTCAACATGTAGCTGAAAAGGAAAAAAAGGGAAGAAAAAAAAAATTAACATTCGAAGAGCAGACACCAAAGGTAGTCCCAATTTTTATGATTACTTCGACCCGGGTGCGGACCGCGTTCGGTGTGTGTGTGGGCGCCTATTCACTGTGACCCTGGCAAACCCGCCAATGCTCAACGTTGAGTACAGGAAACGCCGAAGATAATGCTTGTATGCAACAAGTTGGGCCCGTGGGGTGAATGACACAGGAATGACAATAGATAATTGGTATAATGGAGACGCCCAATGCCTCCTCAATCCATCAATTGACTTACATCGGATCAGGGATTACCTTTGTAGTTGTTGTATCATTTACATAGAGATCATGAGTTCCGACTCGCTGAAATCTGATATATTTTGATTTTTTTTTTCTTTTATTGTTTCTCTTTATTTTTGGGTATTATCCGACTAGCTCGAGGGGTTTTATGTAAACGCTACGCTCCAGCTAAACGTGTAGGAACAGAAAAAAATAAAAGCTAGATGAATCGGCAGGCTACGCCTCAAGTTACCTCTTTAGGTAAAAGAGTATGTAAGAAAAGGGCACGATACACAGGAACAAGGTGAACGAGGTCCAAAGGGGGACGGCTTTTCCTCGTCATCGCGCGAATTAAGAGAAGAGAAATGATAACTGGAAGCGCCGAGATATGTGTGTGTGTGTGGGGCGTGAGGGAAAAAGTGTTTGTCCCCGAGAGAAAGGCGAATAAACCGCTTAGGATTATTTACATCCTTACGATCTCGTTGTTGGTGTACTTGCTCAGATCGCCGTCGATGTTGCTCCACCACTCGAACAGCATCGTGTCGCAGATGAGCTTGAACCAAGGGGTGAACTTGAGGGAGGGATCCTTGAATTGGGCCTTGAGCTCGTCGGCGGTGACGTATTGCGTGGCCTTGACCTCATTCGCATTGACATCGAGGTCGACGTTGGCCTTGATGAAGAGGATGTAGTCAACTAAAAGTAGTTCGTTCTCTAGTTAGTCATTCTTTTGTCTCACAGCCTTATAAAATCCGTTCCACGACATTCCCTCAGATCGGCAAGAGCGCCGCCGAGAAGAGAGAAAAACTGTATGCGAGAGAAAATGACGACTTACTCTCGTGTTCACCCCACTTGCCATCGCTTGGCGCCTTATAGTGGATGCGAGTCAAGAAATGAAACTTCTCGATAGGCACCTGCTCGGGCTTGATGCCCAACTCGTGCTCGAGCTTCCTTTGGGCCGCTCGCTTGGCACCCTCGATGGATTCGGGGAGCGTCGAGCCCGTTTCACCGGGAATGTTTAGAGGGTGGGAGCAGCAGGTATTGGTCCACATGTCGGCGAAAGTGATTTTCTCTTCGGCTCGCTGCTGCAGGAGGAGACGGTTCTGGTCGTCGAAAAGGAACACGGAGAAGGCGCGGTGCAGGAGGCCCTTGTCGATGTTGGTCATTAGATGGCCTACAACGACACGGGGGTTAGCTTAGCTATTTGGAGGCAAGAGATGCGATGTCGTCTCTGCTACCGAGTCGCGTGCATCGCGGCGGCGGCGGGGGGAGGGAGAGAGAAGAAGCGGGGAGGATATCATCCAGTGAGCGGAGAGAGGAGGACCACGACTCACAAATCTTCTTGCTCGCAGTGCCAATTGGAGAATCATTCTCGTCCAGCACGATGCAGACCTCGTCCATCAACCTAATCTGCTCCTCATCGTGGCCGGTCAAAGCTTCCGACCTCGTGTCGATGTCGGGGAAGAGGCGGAGAATGGTCTCAGTGGTGATCGGCTGAGCCGTCGTCGTGGTAGTCGTCGACATTGTATGGAGTTTACGGCCAAAAGAACCGGAAATGAGGCGATCGCTAACGGGCAACTGCGCAGTTTTTGGGAAGAGGGAAGCAGAAAGGCAGACGTCGGGCAGAACTCAAAGCTCGATTCAAGGAGCAAAGGCGGGATTTCGATCGAGATAAAGACGGTGGGGTTGCGGGGGGAAGCGGGCGCAGTCAAAAAAATGTTGATGGGCCAATTTGATTCAATTGATTCTGGCCAAGGGGGGACTTAACCCCACCAAACCTTTTTTGGGGACATAAATGGTGGGGCAAAGAAGCACCAAGACGCTTTGCTGAGGGGTTTGGTCATTGTATTCGAGTCATTGGCATTGGCAGTAGCATTGCCATGGCCATTTGGTGCTCATGCGAAGTCGTGAAGTGTTGAGGCTCCCTGTCATTGATCACCGATTTTATCTGGATTCTGGTCGAGTCCCCCTCCTCACTTATAAAGTCCCGTCTTGATTGAGATTGCAATTGCAGCTGCTACACTGCTACACTGCTACACACATTCTCCAACACCCGCCACACTCGACACACTGTCATGAATCAATCGACCAGTAGCAACGCAGAAGCATTCGAGTCTTGAAATTGACCCAGGAAGCGAACTGGCATCATCACGGAGATTGAGATCGAGGCCGTTGATCTTGAATTGCCCAATGATTGCTGAGAAGAACATGCTGGTATGAGGGCACGTCTTGCACTGTTCACCGATGCTTTACATAGACTAACGGTGCACAAAATAGTGTAATATCCCTGCCCGCCATAATGATCCCAACTTCAAATGCCATATTGCAGGCCATGCAACATGACAATGGGAGTCGAGGATGAATAATCCAAGATTAAATAATCGGCATTGAACTACAATTGTCAACTCAGACATTGAGTCTGCGAACATTGATGGCGACTTCCGATGGCTCGTCATGAATTAATATCAATCTTGAAGCTATACACACTCAAATCTTACGACTTTTAGAACGCCCTTTTACGCCCTTCATGACCTAACATCGGAGGTCGATGTCACAATCCCGCGAGGCTAAGATCTTCTCCATCTTCTTTGATCCCTCGATCCAACAGCAGAGTGCGAATGGCGCGTTCCACCCCAGACGACCCGCCATGATTGGCCCATTGAGGAATCCGAGCGACAATCCGAGCGGCGCTCCTCGGCATAAGAGTCAGCATCACAGCGGTTTCCCCCGTCAGGTCATCTAGCGTGCCTTACGGCCCTAACGGCATGCTCTCTTGCCCTTCTCCTCCTCCACGGACCCTCTATTTAAATTTCCGGATTTTTCAATCTGGGCATCCGTTGACATACATTGCATTTGACTGCGCTATTCACGGACTTACGTTACACTAGATGGCAGTGTGCTTGCGTAGGGTAGTAGGGAGCACGGTTTTCCGTCCTTGGATCCACAGATACAATTTACATCCTCCTCCCAGCCTAGTGTCGACTTGGAGCGGGCGGCGAATAATAGTAATATATTTGCCAATGCCTCCGCTCTCCGAGTATGACTGTTAGTGTAGTGCCTTTTCTTCTTCCTCCTCAGTCACACCAATTGATCATTGATCTTTTTTTTCTGCTCTCCCTGCGGTGACGTAGACCTATAAATATCCTTCTGTGAAATCCTCGTCACATACCTCTTACACACGACATCGCCGCCTATTGGCCCTCCATGGATCGAAATGACGATTCGATAGCCGATGGGGCAGCCCAGAACTCCTTGGCGGCCGTGCTATCCTCGTCCTTCCGATCCCGGTCCCCCATCGCGGAGGAGGCAATCGCTAGGGATGTAGCCCAATGCCACAGACACCATGGCGAGGAAGCTATCGATTCGGAGTCCGAGGCCCCCGTGGACATGCTAGGTCCCACCATGTATCGGCGGCCAAGCGGGGTCGCCTATGGTCCTGCGCGACCTGTCTTCGACGACCTATCAGTCGATGCGCCCGTCCTAACCCCAAGGGAGATGGTGCAGTCGAGGGATGCCGAGCGTGTCCTCCTCCAAGACAACCACATTTTGCCTCCCACGGAAAGCGAGACGAAACCAGTATCGTCTTGGTGGGGTCGATGGGTTGCGAAGCCAAGAAAGCGCAAGGAGGGTCGCGAACCTCAAGAGACGACCCCCCTCTTACCAGGTCACCACCATGAGGCTAGTTACGGAGATGAGGAGCTGAATCAGCAATGGAACGAGGCTGTATCTGCCGGCCGCATTCGGACGACCTGGGCGCGAGAGGCGCGAACTATCGGCTCCTATGCCGCGCCGTTGCTCGTTGCATTCATGTTGCAGTATTCCATTAATGTCGTCTGTATATTCGCTGTGGGTAGGATTGGAAAGGTGGAGCTTGGTGCTGTGAGCCGTACGTACACGAAAACTTACACAACTTTTTTTCGTCAATCCCCCGTCGCATCGATTTTGCTAACATGATAGGAGAATAGTCGCGAGTATGACATCCGTCATCACTTGCTATGCGCCATTCCTCGGCCTCGCGACGAGCTTGGATACGTTATGTGCGCAAGCCTATGGGTCTGGACACAAGCACCTTGTTGGCTTGCAGTTTCAGCGCATGACCTACTTGCTTCTTCTATGTTACATCCCCATCGCCGTGGTATGGTGGAATGGAGAGTGGATTCTGGCCAAAGTAGTCCCTGAGCCTAGATCCGCGGAGCTCGCGGGTCAATACCTCCGGGTCTTGATCGTGGGCGGGCCGTTCATCGGGATCTTCGAGGCGGGCAAGAGGTTCGTCCAGGCCCAGGGCCTGTTCCATGCCGTTACATTTGTTCTCCTTGCCGCCGCGCCCATCAACGTGTTTGCTAATTGGCTGCTCGTATGGAAGCTCGAACTTGGCTTCATCGGTGCCCCAATTGCCATTGTTATCACTGAAATCTTGATGCCTGTATTCTTGCTCCTTTACGTACGCTTCGTTGATGGATATCAATGCTGGGGCGGGTTTAGCAAGCGTGCCTTTACAAATTGGGGTGAGTCGACCTGATTCAAAAATGGAGCCCGAATTTGGTTTCTCACCAACAAATTTATAGGACCGATGATTCGTCTGGCGATTCCTGGTATGATCATGATAGAGGCTGAGTATCTTTCATTTGAAATCCTCGCCTTGGCTTCTAGTCAGCTGGGGACTTCCGAGCTTGCCGCCCAAACCGTCTTGAGCACCCTCATCTCTATCGCTTACCAGTTGCCGTTTGCACTCTCGGTTGCGGCGTCTACTCGAGTTGCCAATCTCATCGGGGCTGGCCTCGTTGACGCTGCAAAGATCAGTGCTCAGGTGGTACGTTGCTTTCCCTTTTCCTTTGAAGGGAAGAAAAACACAACGACTGACAATCCAAAAGACTGTGTTCTTAGGAACTCTCCTCAGCGTCTTCAACAGCTCCGTGATGACAATCTTCCGTGAATCTCTTGTAGACCTCTTCACCAAGGACCTCGAAGTCAAGGCTTTGGTTCTCGCAGTCATGCCTGTCGCCGCCACCATAACAACCAGCGACGGCCTGTCTGTCAGTGCCCACGCCATCCTCAGGGGCATCGGCCAGCAGCACATTGGCGGATACGCCAATCTCGTCGGCCACTATCTCTTGTCCATGCCCTTGGCCTTTGGCGCTGCGTTTGGACTCGGATGGAAGCTGAAGGGTTTGTGGCTCGGTCTCATGTGCGGATTAATATTGTAAGTGATTTTGGTTTGGGGGGGGGGGAGGGGGTTCTCAAATTTACCATGCTTTTTTGCCTTTGATGACCGTGTGACTAACTGTGATTTCTTAGTGTTGCTCTTGTTGAATATATTTATATATACCTTACGGATTGGAAGAGGGCGGCTAAGGAGGCCGAGGCGAGGAACACGGCAGAATGAGTCGAGAGCGAGTATGGAGCCTTTTTTGGAAATCGAATGGAAACCGAATGGCTGAAGGCTGTAATTTACGATGATGAATGATATAGGGAACGGGTGCATCTCGATATATCATTAATGAGTTTGTAGAGTCATGACGATATAGATAGCATTGTAGCGGAATAATTAATGTTTCTCTATCAAGAAGACCATAAATACCATGAGACCTTAGAGAAGAGCCCGTGGAAGTTTGTTGTGATTTCGTGAAGTTCTCGCCAGCGGAGAGATATCAATTCCAGTTCGGTGAGGAACCCCGCCTGTGGACCGACCAAGCTTCCCTTATCACGTCACCGAGGGCGGCGCAACTTGGATCGCAAAACAAACAGACCATTGACTTCTGCCCACTTTTTACATCTGCATTTAAAGCTTTCCTCCCACATCAACAACCTTACCAGTTACCACGTAATTCTACAACGAAAAATGGTACGTTTTCCCAAATTCTAGCAGCCTTCGAAACGGCCTCCAGCTCCGCCAAAAGTTCCCGTGCGACTCTCCCCCCGCACCAAAAAGAAGACCCGAGAACTGACGTGAACTGACGTGTATTCTCTGACAAGCTACCCCTCGGCCTCCTCAACGCGGCGCAAGGCCACCCGATCTTGGTGGAACTGAAGAATGGCGAGAACCTCAACGGACACTTGGTCATGTGCGATACGTGGATGAACCTCACTCTCAAGGAGGTTGTGCAATCGAGTCCGGTATGGAAATGACCCTTTCCTCTCGAGCACGCGAGCTTTCCCTACAAATTCTCCCGATGAATAATGAACACCAACTCGAAAGATTTTTCAAGGAGGAGGCATGGCTAATTTACACGGGGAATTTAGGAAGGTGACAAGTTCGTACGGTTACCAGAAGCCTACGTCAAGGGCAACAACGTAAGTTGGGAATCTCCTTCCAGCCTACGCTCGCTCAACAGATGATCTGATATCTCTTCTGTATTTGCGCTCTATAGATTAAGTACCTGCGAGTGCCCGACGAGATTATCGACATCGTGAAGGAGTCTCAACAAAGCCAACAGGCCGGGTTCCGAGGCGGAAGGGGTGGACAACATCGGGGAGAGCACGGCGGTCGCGGGGAGAGGGGAGGACGGGGAGGTGGCCGGGGCCAGGGCCGCGGAAGGGGGAGGGGTAGGGGTGCGTGAAACGCTTGACAACATGAAGCCTGCTTTCCCTGGTGTTTGGATGGTCTCAAGCTACGGTCCGTTGGCTTGGAGGGACGACCTTGAGGACGCCCTGCTGCTACTACACTAGCCTGCCTTTCTTGGTCTGGAATAAGCCTTCGACTATGGGCTTTTATACGCTCGCGATCTAATCGTCGAGCCTTGGGTGACAGGGAACGGCACGAAGTTTGGAAGTGGAGAAGAGGCCATACCGGCTGGTAATACTCGACTAGGAGTTCCTGGCCCATTGCGTTTTCAAAATATATGCGGTCTCGAGAAAGGAAAGCCCACGACCTAGCTTATTTAGCACATCTATACCAGCGGACATTAAACAAAACCTCGTCCAGCAGGGAAGCTACAACCCATCGCCTGCTTCGGAGATGATCAGGTTGATGACCCGACAAAACACTCCGTTGGTTGAATTGTTGGATTTTTTTCAAAGTCGCTAACCTTTGTGATATACAAAATAAATAAAAAAAATCGCGCCCATGCCACACACAGCCCAACCAGATGATCAAAAAAAAAAAAAAAAAAAAAAAAAAAAAAAAAAAGAAATCCGTGGCCCTTGAGCAAAAAAGGGGAAAGGTGAAAAAAAGATGGGAGCCAATGCTCAGTATGAGGGTCGAACTCATGACCTTGGCATTACTGGATAAACCGGATAGTTTATTAGTACCACGCTCTAACCAACTGAGCTAACCGAGCGATGATCCAACCCAGTGAGCTGGGTGGTCGGTGTTTTCGTTGGGATGTGACAATCCTATCCTGTTATATAAGGCCAAATCGACTCCCCACGACCACTGAGCTGAAATGTTAGCGCAGCTGCATCCGGCTATCATCCTTCCCACTTCTTCATCGAAATTGAAAGGCTTCAACTTGCACTCCACCTCCCCTTCCATCGAACAGCTAAATCTTGGCAGTGCTCCACGCAAGAGACGCAGTGGAGTACAGAATTAGACCGTCCTCAAGTTAGAGAGGATATGACATGGAGAGCCGCACTAGTTAGTATTCCAATTGGCTAGGTTAAGAGCGGCGATCGTCGCTTGAACCCTACCACGAAATATTTCAGTATGGCGCCTGGCTGGGTCTTATACGTTAGGACAGGAAATAACAGTCGAGGAGATGCCGGAGGACATGTCTACCTTGAGAGTTAATCGAGAGTCGGAGGCTGATCCATGAAGGTGCAGCTGCGAATACAGCTGGCCACTCCTAACACGAGGCTCCTCATCAAGAGCAGAATGATCTCAGCAAAGACATAATAATGTAACAGACGACTCTGACCATTGAGTCCGCCAAGTTGTCGTTCGCTTCCTTCACTCGATCCCGGAAGTAGATCTGATTGTCCTTGTCTATGCTGTCTTTTGTACTTTCTTTGTCTGGGAAGGGGCGTTGCCATCAGCGACACTAGCCGTCTCCAAACAAGAAAGGGGTACCGAGAAATTGTGTAGCCCCAAGACTCCCTTAATCAATGTGTCTTTTGTGGTCAGTAATCGATAATCGGAGGTAAATGGTCGAGGACAAAGGCCTTGTTTATATAAGAGCCAAGTGTTAGCGTCAAAGACATTGTTAGAGGACAAGAAAAGGTCTTTAGCTAAGGACCAAAGAATTTTTGATATGATGAAATCAAAGTTATTGAGAATAGAATATATATATATACTAAGAGCATAGGCAATGAATTGATGCGGTGTACCCTGGAGAGCTCTTACTTAAAGCCCTGGACCTTCACTGGAGGAGCAGCAGTGCCTTCCAAGATCATGTAAGTCACCTTCAAGTGAGAGAAAGAAGCCCCTTGACGACACGACATTCTGCTTGGCAATGCTTTCCAATTACTAGCTACCCACGACTAAGAACTTGCTGTGATCTCCATCGCTGTGGGCAACCGGGTGTTGAGAGGCTCTCCCTCTCTATCCCATCTCTTCAAGAGCAGCAACACTTCAAAGAAAAAACATTGTAGTTCCAAAGACATTCATCTCTACCATCCATCTTCCATCAAGATCCCACTTCATCCAACTGGTTTATTCATTCAGCATCTTCTCAAAGACAAGCATCGTCTTATCGTTCCGTCTCGTTTCGAAACCTCTTCATTCTATATCTAGTATGCGACGAGGTAAATATCAAACCGTCCCGGCAGGACGTAACAACAGGGGAGGCACCTACATTGGTTCTTCGGTCGGGCCATATGTCTCCCGTCGTAGCCGCGCAGGATCAAATGTCAACTTGACGTCTTCCGCCATCCCTAACCCTACCGCTGGGGAATCCAGCACCAACTTAATCGACTTAACCTCTCCCACTTCGAGATCCGGCTTGGGAGAACCAGACGCCAACTCGGCGTCTCTTCCTGCTCGATCTGGCCGCCAGAGTCTGCTTCCTCGACGGGTGGCAGGTCGCGGAAAGACCACCACCTTCGATCCACGCGAATGCCTCGCCCCAGGGGCCCAATACCTAGACAGCCGCCACGAGGAGGCAATAGATGGGGACGCAACACCTTCAGGTGATATAGACGAACCGGCTATTGACCAAGGCACGCGTGACTCTGACAACGGTGACGAGACACTTGTGAACTCGGACGCTAAGGACGAATTATCCGTTACCATTTCTCCCGATGCGTCAGAAATCCGAAGTCTGCCTTTGAGCAATGCGCCCCGGAACGTTGAAACGATCGAGGAACTTACGGCTGCTCTTCCAGCTGTTCCTTCATGTAACGTTGACGAGCCTCGTTTCGGTTCGGGCTCGTCGTCAGTTTTTTTCGATGCGCCAGATAGTCCAACCCTCAGTATTGACGATGAATCTGGCTCGATCCTCGGCGGGATCTCGAATCTTGATGGTCAGGACGAACAAGGACCTAGCCAACGGCCTTTGGATACCCAACCCGGAGGCTCAAACCTGGGAAGGGGTCCATCGTTGAACTATTCAACCACCACGACGCTTGTAAACACCGAGTCGGCCGTTTCAACCCTGCCTTCTGCCCAGGAGCATCGCGACCAACTGGTATCTACTGCCAATGCCACCCAACAATACCTCCCTCTCCATCCGGTGCCGACAGACGCGGCGGGCGCATCAGACTCTGGCAACGAAGCGCGTTCTGACACCAGCCCCATTGACATCAGTCTGGCGGCATTGACAGCTCCGTGGAGTCCTCTAGACGGTGACACTGGCGTCGGTGGCGCCAGTGTGACGCCCGCCTCAGACGCAACTACAGTTGTTGTCGTCGGCACTTCTCGAGTAGAGCAGAACCGAGAGGAGGAGCGGCCCGAGCCGACGATTGACAGCCATAGCCCCACGGCTCCTCCCCGACAGCCTTCACCAGTCTTGCAGAGACGGCCACCGAGTCTCCCGCGTCTGCCGGTTTTTGACAGTGGAGTCTTTCACCCGGCGAATGCGGCCACAGTAGGCCCGGGTGTTGAAATGGTGTCGAACACCTCGGTCGAGGTTACAACCGTTGATGTCGTCGAGGATGTGGCGGATTCCACGAATGTAAGCAGCGATCCTGATCCCGTGGGCGCCGGCCCCACTGGAACTGCTAAGAAGGGCTTCAAGGGATGGTTTCGATCGATGTGGAGCAAGCTTTCCCCCTCGGCTGTGAGGAGGAGGATACTAGCCAAGTCGAAGAGGAAGCCTAAGCTCTCCACTAAGAAGTCGAAGGTCTCGTCCCATGGCTCTATTAGGAAAGGGATTTTGAAGAGGATGCCGGGAGCACGCGTCAAGGAGGTGTCTAAATGAAGAAGGGTTGGTCTGGTGAAACATTACTAGGGCATACTCATGAGAGCATACTCATGGAGGATATGGCTTTCTCCTTGCTTCTTTGTGAGATTTTGTTTTCGTTAGCGAACATGGGGCGGAGTTTTGGGAGGGAAGGAAGATGGAGTAAGGCTCGTTTTTCTTTCTTTTTTGAGGTTATACCCAGCGAGCTGAGGGATGTCAAAGGGAAAGTCGCAGAAGGGACGGTACCCGTCGCATTATATATTTGTGGCGTTGAAGGGTTGGAGTATATTGGTGTACCGGGTGTTTGGGATGGCAAGGCTTGGTTGATATTGTTTTGACGTTATGTTCTTCCTGGCCTAGAGCCAGTGTCATGGAACCGACCTGTATTATATCGATGGATCCCACGGATGCCACTCGGGCACCGATATCAAAGTTCAAAACCAAACCAAGAAGCGCCGTTCATTCATAGCGATGTATGTATAATTAAAAACCCATTGACATCCACATCCATTCAGTTCATGCATGCAACCCGCCCCCACCCCCTTGAAAAGCAGAAGAAGAAAGCGCCGAGCGGTGGTATTTATACCCAGTTTAAATCATTGCACCAGATGCAGTATGTGTATCCCATATTTCCCCTCACAAATTAGAGCATGTACCTGAACGAAGTCCGAGAACTCTTCCACCGCGAACCAGACCGCACAAGACCCTCCTCCTCCTCCCCATCAACGACCTCGCCGCCCTCAACGGCCTCCCTCACATCCATCTTCGCATTCCACCAACGCATATAAAACCTCAACGCCACAGCCAAAAACGCCACGCCCAACATGGCAGCAGCACAAGCGTGCATGCCCCTAGCATAATAGGGCGCATGAGAGGCAGGATACAAACGTGTGCCGAGGAGGGGACCGCACTGGCCGATGACCTGGAGGAGGGCGAAGCCACCACCCTGCCGGCTCTCTGTGGGCTGGTTGTTAATGGACCAAGTGACGGTCAGCGCGACCACGGAGAAGAAGCCCACCGCGGCGGGGAAGAGGGCGAGGTAGCGGATAGTTGGGGACAGGCCTAAGGGCTCAGCGTAGGCGAGGAGGGCGTAGCCGGTTAAGGATTGAAGGGCGTGGATGATGATGAAAGGGGAGCGGGAGCGGGCGTTATCGGAGGCTCGGGCCGTTATGAGGACCATGAGGAAGGCGACGAGGTAGGGCGGGGCGGCGAGACCCTGGGAAGCTAAGGGGGAGTGGCCCATTTCTTTGAGGATGGTGGGGAGGAAGACGGGGAAGGAGGCGTAGGCCATGTTGGTAAGGAAGAAGATGAGGGCTGTTAGCCAGGAGACGGGGTCGATGAGGGCGGAGAGGACGTCGCGGAGGGAGAGGCCCGAGGAGGGAGCGGAAGATGAGGCGGTGGTGGTGGATTTGGGGAGGTGGGCCTTTTCGGGGCGGAGGCGGAGGCGGGCGACTTTCTTTTGGCGCGGGGTGAGGTACCGCGCTGTTTGTGGTGAGTCTGGGACGATATGCCAGGCAGCGAGGGCGACGACGATGGAGGGAAACCCTTCGACGAGGAAGAGCACTCGCCACGGGGCGATGGGGCTAGCTTCTCCGAACTTGACGATGAGCCATGCTAAGCTGGAAGCGAAGGAGCTCGCGAGCGGCGCGGCGGAGATGAACATGGCGGTGCGAAAAGCAAGTTCGCTCCGCTTGTAAAAGAAGGAGAGGTAGAACGGCACGCCCGTGAAGCCTGCCTCGCCGATTCCCAAGAGGCCCCGCAGGCCGATGAGCATCGGGTAGGACGTGGCGACGGCTTGCAGGGAGGCGATGACGCCCCAGGAGAGGACGAGGGCGGAGATGTAGATGTGGGCCGGGAAGACTTTCCAGAGGAGGGACATCCATTCGAAGATGATGTAGGTGATGTAGAAGGAAGAGAGGGCCCATTCGTACCAGTCTTCGCGGGGAGGGTCGGTTTGGAGGTCTTCGTGCATGCCGGCGATTTTTGCATTGCCGATGTCTGTTGGTCCATGTTAGAGCATTGCCCAGGCAGATGACTGAAGTAGCCAGGGAGACAGGGAGACAGAGAGACACTTACTAGACCGATCAATAAAGCTTAACATGTACAAAAACGCGACAAACACCACCAACTTCCGATCAAACGTTCTCACGACCTCCTCCTCCTCCTCGTGGGTGTACAACTGAAAGCTAGCTGTCGTACTAACACTTGCACTCCTCGGATGCAACCGTATCCCCGAAATCCCCCGCTCCTCATCATCGTCGTCATCGTCGTCATAGTCGTCCTCGTCTTCATCGTCGTCATCGTCATCTTCGGGCGTCCACTCGTCGTCAGCCTCCAAGCTCGCATCCTTCCCTCTCCCCTTCCTACCGCGCCCTCGTTCCTTTCCCTTTAGGGCGCGGGTTTCTTCTTCCGAGGCCGAGCCAAGACCGCCGAGGCCATCGTCTTCGGAGGCGGAGGAGCCGTCGTCACTGGAGAGGGTGAATTCGGCGGTGGTCTGGGCGAAAGTGGGAGAGACGGCGTCTTCTTCGCGGGGAGGGGTGGTCAAGGTCATTTCTGGGGGGCCACCACGCGGGCTGTCGCGTGCCGGCGTGGAAGTTTCGCGGGGTTGTGTACGAGGTGGAATGGCAGTTCGGTGCTAGAGGGATCGTGGCATTTTCGGGGGAGTTTCGAGGGGACTGGGCTCAAAGACGGGAAAACTAGATGTGTGGATGGAAGTTCTTTCTGGGTCTCTCCTTCGCGTTCGAGTTTTGAATTTGGATCTGAACCGGATGCGCAGGATGTTTGTCTAGTTTGCCGAGCCGTTGGAAGTTTTGGCGCAGGACGTTGGAGCGCACGCGTGCGCACATCGATCATTATCAATCTGCACTGCTGACAGGGTCAGGTGCGCATCAATTGTCAAATGGGGAGCGAAGGTTTGGAGAAAGTCCAAGACAGAAGGCCTTCGTGCCCCCCCGCACCTCCGAGACTCGGCGTCGCCCTTGCCCGGCTATGGGTGCCGACGATCCAATTAAGCTTCAAGCATCAACTTGGGGGATGATCTAGCGTACAGTACCAAAACGAGACTGGTGCTGTTGCTTGGTTGTGCTTCGTTTTCCAAGGTTTTTAGTTGGTGATGACAGGCGGGGTCACTACGACCCTGCTCCAGCGGTGCTCTGTGCTTTGTACGCCCTGTGCTCTTGGCATTTGACAGGACGAAGCCAAGCCCACTTCCTCCACGCCAGCGTCAAATTCATTGATTGATTGAAAAGCCAGGTCTGCCCAGCCTGGTAAGGATCATCCAGTGTTCCCGGAATACGAGAGCTTTAGATTGAGAACAAACCCGACTACGCGCAAAATCGGTATTTCCTTGGTGTCGTGTCGTGTCATGCCTGTATCTGTCCATGTAGGATTGCGGGACCAGACTCTTGCCAAATATATTTCAGAGACTGGCACATATATCGCTTTCATATCCTGTCGTAATCCAACGCCGTCTCCAAGCAAGTGCTAGGAAATAGTAAAGAAAGACAGCATAGAATAGTGTACGGCCAATCGTACACCATCACCATTAGCACCATCGCATCATTCATCCCCTACGGCCGTACTCGGTCAACGCCCCAACCCGGATCCAGTTCCCAAAACCACCCCAAGCCCGAGGCCGAACTCTACCCCAAACCATCCTGCTTCTTTCCGAATATCCTCCTCAATCCACCTTGTTTCGCCGGCTTTTCTGACCCACCAGACCCCCCGGACGGTGGCCCGCGCGACTCTGCCCCCGGCGTGCGTGGCCCGGAAGAGGACGAAGAGGCACCCTGATGGCTCCGCGCAGGTACCGCGTCCCAATCACCTTTCCCCCGCTGCACATCCCTTTCTCGCTGTCTATCCGTCTGCCTTCCATCCCTGGACCTCTCCGTCCTTATCTCCCGCTCCTTCTCCCGCTCCCTCTCCCGCTCACGCTCCGGTTCCCGATCTTGCTCCACCACCTCGTCAAAATCGTCTCCGTCCAACACGCCCTTCATCCTCGGCGGCTCCGGCTCCTCCAGCCCCTCCGGCACAAGCCTCTCCTCATCCCCGCAAACGACCACATACCACCGAATATCCTCGTTCCTCTGCAATTGATCCCTAAGCTTCTCCAACCAACCAGCCTTCTTCCCCGCCGACGATGATCCTCCTCCCGCGGAAGCACCGCTGCTTTTCTTCGTCGCCTTCACAAACTCATCGCTCACCGTCCCCGCCATGGGCCGATCCTCCGCACCACCCCTCTTAGCCAACCTCTCCTCATACCGCGCAATCTCCTCCGCAACGCTAACGTTCAAATCCACCCTCACCACATAATCCGCCACAAACGCATATGGCCTGCTCACCTCCTCCAAATTTGACGGATCATACTCCTCTAACAACTTCACCGCCGACCAATCATTACTCAACACGGCGTCCTCCTCATCGTGGACCGAAGGCGAGGGGACATCGAAGTCTGCGCCGTCAGCGGAGACCGCAGCCATCGCCATCGCCGCCGCCGACGCCGGCTCACCACCACTACCTTTACCCTTCTTGCTGGATCCTCCCCCGAGTAATGTTCGCTTCTTCTTCTTCTCCTCCCGCAGCGCTGTGGCCTTTTCCGTCGACCGATCGAGGAGTGTTTGGTCTGGTTCGGGGAGGAAGTCGAAGAGGGCGTAGAAGGATTCGAGGATGGCTGTTGATGAGTGCGGGGCTATGATCCATTCTGGGGCCGCGTCGTCGATGTTTTGGACGACTACGTAGACGCGGATGCTACGGCGGTGCCACCGGAAGCCGTGGCAGAGGTAGGTTGGCATGGTTTTTGTGCTCCCGCGGGGGGGACAAGACGTGGTTGTTTCCCTTGTTCTTTTTAAGAAATAATTTTTGGGGTGATTTTTATTATTATGTGATGAGCTAGCTAACTAGCTTTCCGAGAATGGTTCGCGAATTTGAAGCTTGGAGCTTGGCAGAATTTGGAGAGAGTTGGGAGGGAGAATCGAGAGGCGATTGATGAATTGATAGAATTGATCGAGGTTCTGCCGAACGAAAAGAAGAATTTGGAAACGCCAACGTGGGGTTGATCTCCAATGGAACCTCTGATTCCCTTACGCGGAAGGGATAGAAAATGTTGCGAATCTCCTGCAGGTTCCAATCGATCGATTCATTCGAGATCGGGAGGGAGAAAAATCAATGGCTAAAGCTGCCTTCTCTGCTTCGTACTCAGGTAGACTTGAATTGATGTACCAAGGGCGGAATTTGACCGGACTCGCAACACAACGCAGACTGGGAGTGGGGAGCTTGTGCGGGGATAACCGAACTTAAGAACTCAAGCTCCGTTTTTCTTGCCAGCTGTTGACAGTTAACTTGCCAATCTGCTCTTTGATGGTCAACCATTTATCTCAGAAGAGCACGTCGAGGATGGACGGACGAGATTTGATTAGAATTCCCATCTCACGACAAGCCGGAGGGTTATTCCTTGTGCTACTAATACCAGGGAATCGTACAGGCTCGAAAATTTCGACAGACGAGACAGAAGATTAGCCCGGTTCGGCGTATAAATCGTGGGAAGATGCTCCCCTAGCGCCCAACCCATCCTCCCGAGGGCTGAGAGTTGTATAGACTTCGATGGAGGACTGGATCGGTGCGTGAGTAAGAGTAACAAAGGACTAAGTCAACCATCGAAAAGAAAACCTCAGGAAAGACCTAACAAGCCGAACATATTTAACATTCATCATTACCGTAAAAAGTAGAGATTTGGTGTTCGCTACGAGAAAATCCAATGACCTTCTAAACCCCGACTAGCTTTCTGACAGTATTTGATTCATATTATCACCACTTCCGCCACTCTCTATCATCGGGAAGATCCATCATCGCCCATTGCCATGCTCTGCTGACCAAAGATGGTATCAAAATCCATGTCCTGCACAAGCATATTATTAATGTCGTCATCCGACATACTAATATCCATTCCCGCCATCAGTCCCGGTGTAGGATTGGTTGAAAAATCCAGAACCGCTTGGCCGAGCGCGGGACCCATAGTCGAAGCAGGGACTGGAGTCGGAGCCGCAACCGGGATCGGGATCGGAACGGGTGCCAAAATCATGTTCGGGGAGGTCTCCCCCGACACTGCGGTACCCACTCCGCCAAGCTCCTCTCGAACCAGAGTCTTGAACTTGTCAAGAAGCACTGGGTCATCCGCTGCCGTGTCTTGCGTCCCGAGAATATCCCTACCCCTCTGGCGTAGAGTTTCGTCATCAGGGAATTGTCCCCTGTTTTTGACTTCGAAATGCACCAGCGACCGCAAGCCCTCCTCGAGTTCGCGCGCGCAGAACACTCGTCCAGGCCTCGGGTATCTGGTCCCCATCGTCTCGATGAACCGGTTCGCCGTCGAGGTTGATGTCTCGAACTCGCAGAAGGCTGGTCCGACTGGCACCTGCACGACAGAATCATTGTAGTGCGGAGCTGAAGTAGCTTTGAAGTACGTATACGGCGGCGCGAAGCCTGAGCCACCTGCTTTGACGGACCATGGTTTTGCAGGGGGGAGGCCGGGTCCCTCCTTGATGATTCCAACATCGCGCTTGAATCGTTGAAGCCACTCCGCATTGTCGGCAGCAGTTTGGTTCCAGGGATCATCGCTAAGACCATATTAGAATAATAGATTCAAAAGAAGAACACGGATCGAGGAAAGCAGGAGGGGCATGAGAGGACAGCAGCAACCCTCGGGCGGAGGGAGAGAAAGAAAAGAAAAGAAAAGAAAAAGAAAACAACTTACTCATCATATAGGATCCATCTCGCCTGGTGCTGCAACTCTTCGTCGGAAGGGATATGTTGGTTAGGGTTCTTCGCCGACATGGCCGACTTAACATATCGACCCAGCTCCCCAGCCAGTCGACGATAACAGTTTGCGTCGTTGAGGAAGAGCTTTCCGGTTTCAATTCGCTCGCTGCCGCGAGTCAAAAGTGTCGCTTCGCCCGACAACCCGTTCCTCGGCCCTTCCTGCAGAGTATGCGATGTTGACCGCGTTCCCGTGCTATTGCTCTGTGGCGAGTTGTCTTGCCCTGAGTCATCCTTAGGCGATCGGCCTTGGTTATTATGTCGCCGTCTAAACGCTGCTAACCAAGTGCTGTTGTCTGCTGCTGTTTGATTCCAACCGTCCTCTAGTTCGTAGATGATGATACGCGCTTGCCTCTGCAAGTCCGCATCCGTGGGCTCAACTCCAAGCGATCTCTGGAAGTCAACATACTCTCCAAGTTCCCTCTCCAGCCTGCTGTAGTTGTGGATAGTCGAGTCGATCTTTGTAGGATCCGCCGGCCGTCGCTTAGAATCTAAGATGTCTTCGCTCCGCGGCAGCTGGGCTCGCGCTCTGAACGGGGCAAGCCAGTTCGTTGACATTTTAATGACCCGAATAAGCCAGTTGGCCACGACTTCCGATGGGTGCGTGGATACTTCTTCCATCTTACCCACAAGACGGCAAGCTTCTTCTTGGAGTTCGTCATCCATAGCTGTTAGCCCCAACAGCTTCTTGGCTCTGACGAAATCGTGGAGTTCAAACTCGAGGGGGCAGGCCTCGAAAAGATTGTCCTTGCCGTTAATCTTCAGGATAGCCATTCTATTTTCTGCCTGCGATCGAAGAGGTCCGAATTGTGCCTGTTCTCGTATTCCCGCAGGTGCCATGATGAGGTCTCGCAGCCACGAGACGGTAGAAGCGATTCCTTCCAGGGATACAACTTCGGAGGCGAAAATAATACGACAGGCCTCGACTTGTAGCTGGTCATCTGTTGGCATTCCCGACTCTTTCGACCTTTGGATGAAGAAATCCAACTCGATCTTGATGAGCTCGTAGGCGTTTCGCGGGCTCTCCGGAGGTGCGTTGTTGGCCACGTACGGAAACGGGCTATTTCGTTCATTATGAATAAGATCTATTGCGCAATAAAAGAAAGGTCAGAAGATCCGATCCGGTCGATGGGGTATTGGAGAGGTCGCATACACGGTGGAATCGAATTCTCGACTAGCTCCAAAACATCTGGTTCGAAACCCCAGTCACCCTTCCAGTCCTCCATGGAGTAACCCATCTTGAAGTGCTCCGCCAGGTGGTCTACTCGTATGCTCCACGTGTTCATCGATATACCGCAGAAACCGCACACGGACCGGATCTCTGGAGTTGTCACTTTCCAGTCTTTCATGGACCAATCGACAAACTTGACGTTGTGCACAAGCCTTAGGTGCTGGTTGAGATGATCTTTGCGATAAAACGTCCTACCCTCCACGGGTTTTTCCTGGCAAGTAGAATAGTTGTGGGTTTCGATATGCTCATCCGTAGGCTCCGGTTCCCCACAGAACACACAGGCCATAATCTTGATATCCGGCTTCACAGCTTTTGGGCCTTTGTTGCAGCACACCCACCTCTCGAGAGACAAATGAAGAGATTTTTCGTGTCGCTGCCAGTCATGCTTCGTCTTGAACGTTTCGGTACAGAAAGTACACTGGTACGTCCTCAGTGGAGCGGCTAAGGGGGCCTTCTCACTGACGCCCTTGGGCGCATTCCTGCGCCTTCTCCGTCGGCGGCTGTTGCGGCCAAACGAACTAAACGAGCCGAACGACCCTCGGGACGCATGCGAATAGGCAGACGCAAAGGAGCCGCCGCTAGAGTGTGATGTACCCACACTACTTGCCGAAGACCCGTGGAGGGAGCGTCCAGACCCATCATCGGTATAGACATGGCTGGAAGGCGTTGCCCTGTCAGAGGAAACGGTAGATGCCGTGACGGCCCTGGCAATGGCTATGGCCGAGGCAGGTTCGTGCTCCGGGGGCGAGTCAACCCATCGCTGAAGTGGGTTCATGCTTTCTAATGCTGGCGTAGCCCTCCTAACTGGGATATCGACGGGTGTACCGAAACCAAAACCGACCTGTGGCGAAGTAGATCGTCCTGGAGTAGGGAACTTGCCGCGCCGGCGAGCGTTGGCCAGCCAGTTCGTAATCTGAGTCTTTGTAAGGCCAGTCTGGCGCTGCAGCATGTCCTTTTCTTCGTCGCTAGGGTAAGGGTGTCTTTGATGTGTCGAGAGCCACTGCCGAAGAATGCGGATGGATTCCCTAGATAACCGCGCACCGATCTTGCCCAGGGCAGGAGTGGCAAGTTGGCTGGGAGTGAGTTGGGTTCCTGCTCCAGAGAGATTCCTGGACAGTATTTGCTCGGTCTGAGAAGGATTGAAGGCGGCTTCGTTGGTGGGATTCATGGTGGTAGTGGTGTTAGGGTTCTGGTCAAGTGAGAAATCAAGGCTAGCCTGCTCGAGTCGAGCCGCCCAGGAAGGTTGTTGGTCAATCGGTTCAGAGAAACTAGTGGTCAACTCCGCAGCAAGACTACATTCAAGCCGGAGGGCAACGCAGCTTGTGCAGTAGCCTTTATGCTGACCCTCCCGGATGATTTTGCAATGATAGCCAGCACCGGCGCATTGAAAACAGGGGACCGGGGGGATTCCAAAGCAATTTGCAGACATGGGTCCTAAGCTGCCCCCTTCCGCGTCAAGGGCGAAGTGGACGGGGTCCAGCTCGGAGGCAAGCATGCCCGGAAGCGCTTGTTCACCGGAGAAGTGCTGCAGGGCAAAGAAGCCAAAGTCGTCATCATTAACATTTTCAAGGGCGAGGTCGATGTCAAGACTGGGGTCGTTGCCTCCGACATTGTGGGCGGACGGGTCGAACGGGTCGGTGAGAGGGGCACCCCCGACCTGATCCCAGTTAATGAATTCATCCATGGCTCCCGGTTGGGAGAGCAGCGCTTGCGGTTGACTGGAAGGGCGTTGACGTGAGACTGGAGGCGGCTAGATGAGCTACACGGCGGCAGCGGCAGCGGCAGCGGCAACGGCAACGGCAACGGAGTTCGTGCGGATAAGCTTAAAGGGGGTTTGTCAAAACGATGGGCTGAGGATCATGAGGTACATGTAATTGGAAAGGCGTAGACGATCTACTAAGTTGGACAAAGCCAGCGTTCGACACTCGGGATCCTGTAACAGAAGTCTCGTCAAGGAAGGAGACAGGTAGCGGAGATCACAAAGGACATCCACTAGTCCTGCAACAAACTCGAATCCTACCCTCGACAAGGTATGACGACGCCCTTCGATGCTTCTTACACTATGGCAAAGGGCGTCGAGTGACGGGGAGAGTCTTGCGCTAAGAGACAGAAAAAGACAATGATGTAGAAATAAAAAGGTATAAACGACCAAATCGAGAATTAGGCTGGGACGAGAGACCTTTTATTGGGGTACACCAAAAAAGTCACTTGGTCCAAGAGATCTAAACCGGGGAAGCGATGCCAAGTGCCCTTGGCCGTTTTTCTTTCTTCCTGATTCGAGAGATTCGGCCAGAATACAAAGCAATTATCTCTCCTCTCTGGAGACCCGAAGATTTGAGGACAGCCTAGTGCCGGACGGGACAGTGACGGCGAGGATAGTAGGTTGCTAACAAGATTTTTTGGGGATGGTGAGGCAAGATGCCGAGGCGCTCATAGGTGAACCAAAGGACAGCATTGAATGTTGCGGCACGTCTGCCTCCCGCCCATGTACCAAGGCATGCACACGAGGTGCATGCACAACTCGCAGGGGACATCCAGCGATACGGAAGGTACTCGAGGTTTGCGGCGATGTGACTTCGCAGCGGAACTAGATCGCGTGGGAAATGAGAGAACATCTGTTAGGAGAAAAAGTTCCATCCAGCGACTCCGGATGGAATGGCCGATAAGACGAGACCCTAAAAAAAGTTCCCCATTACGGAATAAGGCCGGGTGGTGTCGTAAACTAGTGGAAGGGTTGTATGGAGATCTGGCTGCAGCATGTCAATTCTGCGCCCTTCGAATGACCAGCCAAGCCCTTCCAGACAAGGGAGCAGGGGGTACATGTAGGCAGTGGAGGAAGGGTGTCAGAAAGGTATTACTGGAGTTCAGTGGTGTGTAAGTTTAGGACCAGCCAGCGTATCAGAGGCCTAAGAATATTCCTGACCTGACCCATTGAGGCTTCGATGGTGTCAGAACAGCGTTGGAACAGCGTGGGATGGTTAACCAAGGCCCACACCCGAGGTGGATAGAGAGAACATTGAAATCGATTTTGGAGAGTGGATTCGAAGTGGGTTGAGTGGGTTGAGCCTGGGGGGCGGGGAAATTCGCCTCGTTGCTGACCTCCAAACTGCGGACAGAAGGTTGGATAATTGACCGACGAAGGAACGTACCCCATTGTTCACTCCTACTTGCCTCTTCGTCTACTCCACGACGACACCAGTGTAGTAGTATACTTCGCACAGTTTGTCCCTCATCCAGTTCCCACTGGCCCTATCCACATTGGATCCACCAAGATGGCATCAATGTTTTTTGCAAGTGTCAAGCACAATCTCAATTCGCTGCGAATAGGGGAGAAAAAGAATGAGAACTGTTTGATTGGACTTCCCGACCTCCCTGCTCCGAGACCGCGGACGTGGACACCTTCTTCCGCACCAACAGTGGCCAAAGACTTCAAGCGACGATGAAAATAAGGTCCGAACGGGGAAGCATCTGGGGCTCTTAGTGCTCGATTCATCTATGCATATTCCCTCAGTAGTGGAGAGTACAGTGTCTAGATTCCCCGAGCCCATGCTGAGCTTGTAACCACCATTAAGCCCGCTCCTTCCTCCAACAACTATTCACTCCGAAGTACACTACACCACACTTAACACCTCCTACTTAATACTCCCAAGTTCTGCACCTGCTCTTTCCTTCTCGCTCGGCCCGGTCAAAAGTGGTACAATGTACGGATGGACGGAGACTCTATAAACCAGCCCACCTTCTCTCATTTCCTCCTCCGCTTTCGGGCCCTACCACACAGTTCCTTCCCCTCAAGAATCTGCCCAGGACCGCCAAAGCCCCGCCGGCCCTCGGCCGATACGGCGTGGAAACTCGGTCGGTCATCACGCGACCGCCGCCATCTGGCTTCAGCGTCCACTTCTAGTATAGCATCTCAAGGTCCCCGCTCGAGCGGTCTGCGTCAACCCCACGACTGACAAAAAGAAAAGTCCATTGGCCCCTTTGTTGCCATTATCTCTGACAAGCAAGTCGCTCGGATAACGTAGGATTTTGAAGGCTGAAGCTTGGACTATTATGTGGGTTTACTCCGCCGGGAATAAGATCTCACATGCTCGAGATGGATCTGTGGGATATCTTTATTCCAAATTCCCATTCGGACGATTATCGAGTGTCATCCTGCGCTCCGAACGATCGGGTCGCTTTCCCATCTAAATCAACTCAGCTTGTTAGATTTCCTAGTGCTGACTATTTAAAAAGATACCCCTCCGACGACCTTAACTGGGAGAAAATGATCCGACCCGCTAACTTTGATTCATATCAGTGACTAAGTTGGTTGTTCGAAAAAAATATGATAACAACCACGCCTGTGATAAGCCGGCTACTCGTAGAACTGGTACCTCAAAGAGAGGGAGAGACGCAGTGTGCCATCGTCGAGGACGAAAGGGAAGTAAGGGACGGGAAAGAATGGACTAGCATTTCGCGACGGGTCTATCAGCTTTGAAGGCTACGAGGGTATCTCTACCACCGCACTTGCACCAACAAAGGGGTTCGGTACCATGTGGCGGGTTTCATTGAAGCAAGGAGGGTCTGGCATGAAAGGGAAGTCCTTCTCGGGCATTGTCGTGGAAGCAGATCGTCCGCATCTCTACGACTAATCCAGTCTTCCTAATGAGGGCCCGTTCGAATATAAAAATGGACGTTGTTGATCTAAGAGGGAGACCAGTTCGACGGGAAAAGGCAGCATACCTTTCCTTACCTCTCCTCGTTCTGCCAGATTCAATACGTTATCCCATCTTAGGACAAGTAGGCGTGGCTACTTCAAAGACAGAGGCGACAGAAAGGCTCGCATCAACATTGTCGGCTTAAGACTTGTTTTAAGGTCACGGCTTTGTCCATGTTCTTTGGCGCCTTGCCCCCATTACGCCTCGAGCGAGTACGAACGGGTTCATGTGCGATTTCTCCGCGTCGAACACGGCACAAGATGGGAAAGAAGTCACATTTTATGGGCTTATCCTGTGAACGACATCCGAGACCATCCAAGTTCACAGACCTCCCCGAGCAATAACAATCAAGAGTCGCAACGTCACTACGGCGACTCTGTGAGTACCGTTGATAGGTAAACTATGAGCAACACTCAGTCGTATCAAACAACCATATCTCAAAATATGGATCCATTTCAACCCTGATTCCAACCCCGGGCATCCTGGTCCCGGCACTCGCCTAAGTCACCATCGCGCAACTTTACTGTAGGCTTCGTAAGAACCCGGGCACATAACTCTTGCGAAGTACTGGAAAATAGGCTCGTCATTCCACCAAAACCCCTGATTCTCAAAACTGAGGCTCTTCCTAGCTACCTGCCGTGATTCCGAGCTAGGCAGCGCGTGTTTGGAGGATGTTCTCATGCTCCGGGAAGGCCCGCATGGAATGAAAGGTATTAGTGATCATACCCAAACTAGACGGGATTATATGAAGAACTACTTATCCTCCTTAGCTTCGACGTGCTAGACTGTCAAATCTACTTTCCAACGCCTTGTGGGATCCCTGGCATCCTTTCTCCTCCAGTGGCACATCCCACAGCCGGTGCTCACTCCCTCGCATCCAATCTCCTACTGCCTCACCACATCGACGACCCTGTCTTGAAGAGCATCAGATATTAGCCTCAGCGTTCTGCGGGATGGGATTAAAAATGATAGATCGGCTATTGCTTTGAGTGCTCCCCGCCGATGTGGCCGCCTCGCCAAGAGTTATGCTTCTGTGATATGCCTCTGCGTTAGGTGTTATATGTGCCCAAACAGCATATCACGCAGCTCTTTCACTTTGCTGAGGAGTCTTGAAAAGCCGGTCTTCCAAATAAATATATCCCGAGTGTAAAATATTGTAGACTGGTTCTTGTCCTCTCTAGCTTTTCCAAAAAGAATTCTCCCTTCTCTCTGCAACATTTTGAGCTCGAGCCGTTGGAAATCTGCTCTCTTCGGTCTTGAAGACTCCCCATCATAGACCTTCCACCATCTTCCACAAATCGGGTATTGAAAACAGGTCCCCCAACCATATCTCATCTGCACGAGTTTCTGGGGTCTGAAGACTCTAGGCAGCAGAATTAATCAGCCCGTCGCCTCGTCATGGCTCCCGACCGAGATACGCAACATTCCGTACTCGTCATATCCTCCTACAGCGTTGGCTAGTTGGTGAGCACTGAGCTAATCCTCGACACTTCTCGATGAACTTATAGAGTCTAATCGAGAGCTCGACTTACATCCAGGTGCCGTACAAGCAACCAATGACAAGCTATTATTGTCACAATTTTCTTCATCTAACTTCTCCCTCAAGCTATCACATGGCAATTGTCCACATTGAATCGGTCTCGGAGTCTCTGACAAGATCTCCTTCCAAAACAAGAAAAGCGATGGGAGCTGAGCTAGGTCGTTTCTGATGGTCAGTTTCTAAAAATATATCCATACGGAGTACCTCGCAGAAATGCGAAATCCTGTTAAGATATACTTGATTGCCCTTGGAAATAATATCAGAGACGAGGTACAGTATTATCCGTTATGCTGACACAGTGTCAATTTATGAGCGTTATGCTCAACAGCGATTTAAACTCGAGATGTTCCGACCCCGAAGTCATCAATCATCGTGAGGAGTAGACGAACAGCTCCTAGTTTTCTCCCTTGAAAACCCTCGGCAGAACAGCTCGTCGAAACGCCAAGGAAAGCCGAGTTCTGGGAGTGTCACCTAGCAAGGATGTCAAGTCAGGGAAGCTCGCCAGAGAAGAGCATAGAGCTCTCAAGCGATCCTAATGCTCCAGCAAGCTCTTACGTCCCACCGCGGACAAGGCAAAGAGCCTACAAGGCTCCGCCTCCGCTTGCGGTACCTAATATCGATGAAGATGCGGCGGAAAGAAAGAGAGTTTTGAATGTTTTGGCACAGAGACGATACAGTACGGTCTTACCCATTCTGATTCCCAGATGAGCTCGCCGGGCACGAGTCACTGAAAACCAAAGACTTTATATATTGTGACCAGTTTACTCACATTTACTGTCAGGGGAGCGGAAGAGGCAAAAGAAAAGAGCCGGGGGCGGATCCACTGATGCCACAGGCTCAACACATTCGGAAAACTCACCCCGTTCAGCCCAAGAAGCTCCGTACAGTGAAGGGGCACTACGACCAGCACCAGCTGGAGAGACGACCACATCCGGGGAATTCAGCGAGATAATGACAACATTACCAGAGATCTACTCAATTCAGCCAGGAGATATCCCAACCTCCAGTTGGACCAGCATGTCCTTAACTAGTCCTGGCATGTTCGGCGCGACGCTGGTCGGTGGCCTTGAAATGCCGAACCCTTTGTTCGACGAGAGCGATGGAGATGCTGCGGGCACTGGCTCCGACCACCAAATGCCAGATAACCTTATCAGCATTGACCCGACATCACTCAGCCTTCTAGACGACTTCTCATCCAGCTCGAGCGGATCGGGAGTATCGGCAGACAGCTACCTGCTTCCCGTGAACGAGCTCACGATTCTCCGAGCTATTCTTCGGATATCTCAGCGTATAGGCTGCGACGGCTCCTTTTGGCAGCTCGAGGCGGCGTCTCCTTTCTACACCGGATGCGGAACACCGTCCGAGCAACTCCCAGAGTGTTGGCGCCCAACCCCTTCGCAACTCCTAGTCGCTCACCACCCCTTCATAGACTTCCTTCCCTGGCCCGGTGTGAGAGAGCGTCTGATATCACTCATGAGCTTGCCTCCGGAAGCGCGGCCGCCCAACGCAGCCAGTCCACTCGCACTTGTCGAGTTCGCTTATGATGTTGAAGATAGCCATGAGGGAATGAGGATCTGGGGCGAAGATGTATATGACCCGGCGGCGTGGGAGGTTGGACAGGTGCTGTTCGAGAGATGGTGGTTCATATTTGATAGAGATGTTATCGAGAATAGCAACAAGTGGAGGAGATTAAGAGGCGCTGCAGCTCTCGAGATGGGTTCTTAGCGGGCTAAGCCTCCATTTGATAATCATCTGTAGAGGCGTGGTTGGAGTTTGGCTGTTTGGGTGTTTTGTTCATTCGCAACACGTTTCCTTGTGGATTGCATTCAGTAACTTCAAAGTATAGAGAGAGAGAGTGTGTGTGAGAGTATAGCATTAGATTCGGGCTTGGGAAGCAGAAGCCGGACAGTTAGAAACTTGATGGGATATAACTGTATTTTCGAAATACCAACAACTCATTCTGCTAATTCAATAACACGGAGAGGGTAGAGATAATATCATCGACGCGTATGCTGAAGCAAGTTGTTCCTCCCAGGTTCTTGAGCTTGAACTCTTGCCCGTTAAAAGGCTTTATATAGGACAAAACAAGGTCAGTGAAGAGTTGGTCCGATAACTGTAGCAAGATGCCTTTGTGGGTGACCGAAGCCAAGTTTTTTGATATTGAAGATCCCTGGATGAGAGTTCCAAGCCCGCGTTACCCCCAAGAGAGGCCCTCGCCAAAACCCCAGTCTTTCTCCTGGTTAGTACGAAGTAGAGTAGTGAATATTTGTCTCATTATTTATTCACTCGTTTCTCCCAAATCGCGCCAAGCACGCACGTTAGCTGAGACACGTTTACGTCTAAGTGGGCCAACGTCAGGCAATTGCCGGAGTTGGCAGGGACGATGCGCCAAATATCATCGTGCCAAACGTTCGAGAAGCCCCAGAAGTTAGAATACTTCGTAGGTATTTTGAGTATTTCGAGATAGCGATAAGTAACGAGGATGGCCGTGTCTGTCTAGATTGTCTACGAAGTACGATCAAATGCAATATACCTCGGCTAGGTTTTCCATTGTTGGATGCGGAGCTGGGCTCTTGGGGCGCCGAATCTCGACTAATCAGAAATACCAGGTACGAGGTAGAATGTTGCATTGGGAAGGGATCAAGGGAAATATAGAATGGGAGTCGAAGTTCATATGTTTCTAGTCGAACCGCTAGACCCGAGGCGGTTGTTGTCAACTTGTTGAGCATAATCGGCGCATTTATCAAATCGATTATAAAACACCCAAATAATCATTGTCACTGGTCTCTGATTGCGGTATGAAGTACGAAGTACCTTTGTGGTGCTATTGATCCAATTACTTCGTCCTGCAGGCATCTGGTGGTAGAACCCAATGTAGATTATTATCGCCCTGGGGCACTGCGAAGTATGGCGCTGTTCTTAGGACTTACTGGCTTCGAGCAGGGAAAGAGCGCCTGTCCTGTCTCGTCTTGGTGCGAGTTCGAGTCGGTGACTTCGGACTTTCGGACCTGCCCCGCCATGCAGCTTCCAAGGCCAAGTGTGGGCGGAGGGGATGATGGAGGGGTCGAGCGGGGTTGTTTTCCTTTGCATGCTTCCCGTTGTGTGTGGTGTGGTGGGTGAGGGGTACAAACACAATACAACATTGATCAAGGTCATGAATGTACATGAACATTTCAGCTGCGTGTTTTATGATCAATTCGTCAATTTTTGATTCTCTCCCCACGCCCAAGCCTTGCCGCCTTTTCAGGAACGGGCTCGGATGGGAACCGGGCGGGACTTGGAGACCGAGAGAGACCAAGTTTCGATTCAATACTTGGCACCACGACAACGTGTGGTCGATCGACAAGAGTTGGGGGCAGACTGGCAGGTCACGATAACATCGGGCCATCATTCAAGGGTCCCCGTTGGGTTGACAGGTGATGCGATTGGCCTCGATGTCGACTTGGACCTTGCTGGTCCTGCCAGCTGCTACGCGGAGTACTGCCTGCCCCTTACGTTTTGTGGGGATCAACACGTATTACTACACAACCAAATGTAGGAAGTACGACCACACATTCTCACCGACTCTTCGACTCCTCGACCAACTCTTGATCAACAGGCAAGTAGACCCTTGCTACAGCTGCTGCCGGTGTCCTTTCTGGATGATGTATCAGAAAACAAATGAAATTGGTGACACCCATTCGTCTATCATACGCAGAGAACTTTGTAAGTTTATATAGTATTCCTGTGCGCCGCCGCATTGAACACAGCAGGCCGCCGAAATGCAGATTGCCACTTGCTCACTCGGGAATGTCTAAGCTGATATTCCTCTCAATTGTTTCCTGCTTCGTACTTCATACTTCATTAACAATGACTTGGAAGGGAGACGAGAGCTCACACCTGGCATCAGCGGCTGGCCCCAAGTACACAATACAAATCTCCCAGTGTCTGATGATAACGCGGAAGGGTATAACTACGAAGTACAAAGAACAATGCTATTGACGGGGCAGGACATGAGAGGAAACCTCCACTCTGTTTGCATTTTGTATTCCACAGAGCAGATTTCAGTCATCATCAAGTGTAACTTGTAAGCCCAGATACAATGGTACAATATACGAACCGAAGTCCTCAGTATTGACAGTACCACAATACAATATTGATCCATTGATGACCTCAGATGCGTCATTGGAATCTACTATCTTCTTCCAACCTTGCGTCGAACCGATCCCACGACACCCAACTCCTCTTCTGCAGGAGTCTAGAGGTCCATCGTTGATGCTATTTGCTATTGATGAGCTCCCGCCTCGAGTCTCTCATGTACATTGAGGTATCCTGCATCTCCGAAAGACACCTCCAACCAATGACATCAAGTCCATATTCGGAGCACACGTTCTCCAAATCCAAGTCCACAGCCAGAAGAGTCTCATCGAGAATTTAGACTTCCAGAATGCCCCGTCTAGACTCTTTCTGAGCTAGTCTCAAATGCTTCTTTGTCTATGCAGAGCTACCCTCGTCATCCCCCTAAGCATCTCCCAGGGAATTTTTTGAAATTTTTAACCTTTTTGTCCTCCAGTCTTCAATCGCTGACTTTCCTTCTTGAACTTACTCGAGGCCCTCAGCCACCAAATTGATCAATCTCTTAGTTATTTCTTGTAGTACTAGATATTCTCCATCTTTCCTGCTCTCTTTGCTGTTTGCAGTATTAGCTTGAGGTTTGTCTATCCTTCCCGTATTTACCTCTTGCAGCAGCCAGCACCACAAACCCCTTACACTTTCTTTGGAGACGTTACCACCGTTTCCGTTCTCGGCGGTCGCAGAGGTTCTGGAGTATCCACAGCTCAACTCCCAACACACAAACCAGAACTTAACCTTCTATTTTCCTATTTTGCTCTTCTAACATTTACCACAACCCCAGGGCTCTTGGAGCGACCAGCTTCACCCTCATGCCTTTATACTAGGCAATTCACCTCCTCTATTCTTCCTCTTGTAGCCTTCTGAACATCCTGCTCGACCTCCGCCTCTATACGCCGCATTATCCCTATCAGGTCTCACCACCTTCGCCTCCACCCAACATGCATATCCGGGACATGCTCGAGGAGGCCAAGAGGACTCATCAGCCCTCTTTCTCCTTCGAGTACTTCCCTCCTAAGACCGCTCAGGGTGTCCAGAACTTGTACGACCGTATGGAGCGCATGTTCATGCTCGGCCCCAAGTTCGTCGACATCACCTGGGGAGCTGGTGGTCGCATCGCCGAGCTGACCAACGAGATGGTCGTCCAGGCCCAAACCCTCCTCGGTATGGAATCCTGCATGCACCTTACCTGTACCGATATGGGCCTCGAGAAGGTCGACGAAGCTCTGCGAAAAGCTTACAAGGCCGGCTGCACCAACATCCTCGCCCTCCGTGGCGATCCGCCGCGAGACAAGGAAAAGTGGGAGGTGACTGAGGGCGGCTTCAACTACGCCAAGGACCTCGTGGAGCACATCAGGAATACCTATGGCAGCCATTTCGATATCGGTGTGGCGGGGTACCCTGAGGGCTGTGATGACAACAAGGACGAAGATCTCCTTCTCGAGCACCTCAAGGAGAAGGTTGACAAGGGCGCCGGCTTCATTGTCACTCAGATGTTTTACGATGCCGACAACTTCCTTCGATGGGTCAAACGCGTTCGCGAAAAGGGAATCACTATCCCCATCCTGCCCGGAATCATGCCCATTGCCACCTATGCTAGTTTCCTGCGCCGCGCGAACCACATGGGCTGCAAAATCCCTCCCGAATGGATGGCCGCCATGGACCCCGTGAAGAACGACGATCTCGCTGTCCGAGAGGTTGGTAAGAGGCTAGTCGCCGACCTTTGTCGCAAGCTCCTCGCCTCGGGCGAGATCTACCACTTACACTTCTACACCATGAACCTCGCGACCGCTACAACTATGGTGCTGCAAGATTTGGACTGGCTTCCTTCGGCCGAGCGGCCTCTCAAGCAAGCTTTGCCCTGGAAGCAGTCCCTCGGTCTTGGCCGCCGCCAAGAAGACGTCCGACCTGTCTTCTGGCGCAACAGGAACAAGTCGTACGTCCTACGTACTCAGGAATGGGACGAGTTCCCCAACGGTCGATGGGGTGACTCGAGGTCTCCTGCTTTCGGTGAGCTTGACACCTATGGGATTCGCTTGCCCGGAACCAGTGAGCAGAACAGGAAGAAGTGGGGGGAGCCGAAAACCGTCCGCGACGTCGCCAACATCTTCGTCGACTACCTCGAGAACCGCTACGACAGCTTGCCTTGGAGCGAAAGCCCTCTCACGTCCGAGGGTCAGGTTATCCGCGATGAGCTGGTCGCTCTCAACAAGCGAGGTCTCATCACCATAAACTCTCAGCCTGCCGTGAATGGTGTCAAGTCTAGCCACCCCATCCATGGTTGGGGCCCCGCCAACGGCTACGTTTACCAAAAGTCGTACCTAGAGCTGCTTGTTCACCCGGCTCTTTACCCCGACATTATCGACCGTATCAAGCGACACCCCGACATCACTTACTACGCGGTGACCAAGGACGGCACGCTCGAGTCCAATGCGCCCACGGAGGGGCCTAATGCTGTTACCTGGGGTGTCTTCCCCGGCAAGGAGATTGTCCAGCCGACCATTGTCGAGAGCATCAGCTTCCTCGCATGGAAGGACGAAGCTTTCCGTCTCGGACTTGACTGGGCTCAGTGTTTCGACGCTTCCAGCCCTAGCAGGGCTTTGATTGAGGACATGATGAATAATTGGTACCTCCTCAACATTGGCAAGTTCCTCTCTCAACTCGAAGAGTGTGCGATCCATCCACATAGCTGCTAATATGACCCTTGATAGTCAACAACGACTTCCAGCAACCTAAAACCATTTTCGAGATCCTCGAGGGTCTTGAGGTGAAGGATATGGACGCCCCTGCTATCCCGCACACCCATGAAGCTCCCACCAGCGCTCCCGATGCTCCCGCAAATGGCCCCTCCGCCAAGGAGCCTGCTCAAGCCAACGGCGCAAACTAAACCGCAGTCTCTTGAGATGCCTGCTGTCTCTTTTATTTCCTCAACCTCTAAACCAAATCCCACTCTTTATACTCTGTATGCTTTTTACTCCTAACCTTCTAACCTCCTCAAAATTCCAAGGCTCCAACGCCTTCTCTTCCATCCGCCCACCCTTATGAAATAAAGATTCCATCAACTGCATATCTAGAACGGCGTTCAACATCCGGATTATTCCATTGTCTTTTCAAAATCCTCTCTCCCTCCCCTCTTTCTTCATCACCTTCTCATGAACTTAACCCTTGCCATCACTGATGATGGCTGGTGCTTTTCATCAAATTCGTTTCATCACTCTCATGATGCGATGTCCTTTTCTTTTCTCATGCTGTTTCCTCTATGCTGTATGCAAGGAGCAGGGAACCATCTCTGGAAACAACACAAGCGGTTTTCTCTTCTTCTTCTTCTTCTTTTCCTTTTCCCTTTCCTTCTTCATCTGTTTGATATGTGGGAGGGAGAGACTTTATTTTTCTTTTTTCAACAAAAAAGATACCCAGGGAAACATTACACTAAAATGATAAAAATCACCTTGATGAGATATATACATCTTCGAAACGCCCCTCCTTGACTCGAGGGTTTCGCCTTTTTTTGCCCCCCCAGTGATTGTGACTGTTCTTGAGTATGAAAACAAATAATCTAACAATGAGCTGGAAGTGAAGTTCTGCCATCTCTGAGGCTGGGGTTCTCTATCGACATTGACTTGATGTGATGAGAAGACCACATGTGAATGTTTTGTTTGATATCTACGAACCGACAGCCTCATTACTTTTCCCATACCCTATCTATTTAAACAGCTATTTGAACATCATCTCCCCATCCTTACTCCTACACCCCTTCACCCCTTCGCCTTCGACCTCGCCTCAAAACATCCTCTTGGCAAATGGAACCCCACCACCGAAAAAATGAGGCAGGCTAAGCACCCCACTCATTCTCATCCGCAACTTCATAATCCATATCCCTCTTCCCTTCATCCTCGACAACCTCTCCATCCTCGAGCATGTCGTCATCCGCGCCGTCCACTCCCCCGATCTTCTTCTCATCCGTGACTCTGGCCGTGTCGCCGGTAGCAGTAGCAGTAGTAGTGGTAGTGGTGGTATTAGTAGTAAGACTGGGGGTCGAATTCGGCACCCAGGTGACTTTGAGAGTGCCCTCGACTCCGGGGAGGGAGTTGTTGTGGAGTTGGAGAAGGAAGACTTCAGCTGTCTTTCGTTCTTTGAAGGTGATGTGCGTGGTGGCGGGGGTTGTCTCTACAGCTGCGAATTCACCAACGCCCTAGAGTAATAAAAGTGTTAGTGTGCAAAGACACAATCGTGGGAACAAAAGAACAGGAACAACGAAAAAAAGTGTGCAAACTGCAATCCAGGGCAAGAAAAGACTTACAAGAAGGAACTGCCGCAGCGCCTCATCCTTCTCTGGCGCTGTGAAGTCAACACCCGTAACGGCAACCCTCCTCGGCCGATTATCAAGTGAGTATGCCGCATACGCCTCGTGGACATCGCCAAAGCCGCCGCGGAAACCGCCCCGGTAGCCGCCCCTCGAACCCCTGCCTCGTGAGCTACCCCTAAAGCCTGCGCCCCTACCGCGATACCCGCCGCGAACGGGTCCGCCGACGGATTCGTCCAGCGGAGAGGCGTCCGAGTTGGGATCCAATCCGAGAATCCTGGCCTCCTCCTCAAGTTTCATGAGCTGCGCCCTTAGAGACTCCGTCGTGGAGTTTCCGGCCGCGTTTCCGCCGTCGGTACCCTCGCTTGAGCCGGGCGTGTTGCCCAATTTGGCTTCGAGCTTACGCTTAACCTCGAGCTGTCTCTCCAGCAACTCCTGCTGCCGTTTGTCCAGCTCCTCTTTTTGTTTGAGAAGCTCGGCCCGTCGCTGCTTCTTCATCTCAAAAATCTTTTGCGCCTCATCCTGCTTTCGAAGGAACTCATTCATGTCGAACTCCGGCTCACCTTGGTGGCCATCCGCTTCGGCTCGCGCATCGCTCGATCCTCCGCTTCCCTTCGTGGGGACGTCGGCTTCTTCCTTGTACCAATAGACCTTAACAAATCGGTTCTCGAAGATCGCCTTCGGACACTGATACGCGGCGTTCGCTGAATCCCACGTGTCGAATTTTAAAACGGCCAGGCGCTTATAGGGCCGCATAGAAATCTCTTGGATCTGTCCGAACTGGGAAAAGAAGCCACGTACGGATTCCTCGTTGAAGTTCTCTTCGGGAATGTTCTCGACGACAATTGCCGTTCGGTTCCGGTCCTTAATCGGTCCCTCAAAGGCGAACGCAGTCCTGGGGAGTCTGTCCCGGGTGCCTTTACGCGACTTGTCTCCCCGGCGGCGCTTAACCGGTCCCTTTCCATTAGGAGGGGGCACGAATGGCGCCAGAGATTGTTGGGTGGCGTAGAGGATAAAGTTGGGTTCGTTCGGGTCATAGGCTGAAAACAGGAGAACGAAGTGTCAGTACAATTGCACTCAAAGACTTTTCTCAACCCAACCATACGGGACGAAAAAGCCATGGGGGTCATAGCAGGATTCTTACCATCATTAATCTCCATGGTCATCGGAACCGGTTGGACTTGCGTAAACTCTGGTAGGCTGTGATCATACGGGCATGTCAGACCTCTAGGACAAAATCCCTGTGTATCAAATTGGCGACATCGCTGCTTCCGTCGCGGCCTGCTACCGCCCGCGCCACTCTTAGCCTGGCCGGGATAGATGAACGGAGGAGGAAACGGAAGCGTCTCCGGAACTTGGTCGAATTGTGCAAACCCAGGAGGAAGGGGAAGGTTGGAGATCGCTGTAGGCGCTAGGGGCAAGTTATGGTTCCTGCGTTGTGAATCTCTACCTGCGCCGTAGCCTCGCCGTGCCTGTTTGATAACTCGACTAGTGTCGCCTGGTTGATATCCTGGCACACCGTGCTCTTCTCCGTCATCGAGACGCTCCTGGTACGAACGTTTTCTTGAGCCGTTGAGAAGCGTTTGCCCAGGATACTGCGGTTGCAGGCTTTGGATCTGGGTCGGGTTGAACCCTTCGAGGGGCTGGTTGGGGCCGAACCCTGCAAGGGGTTGGTTCGGGTCGTAGATGGGGGTCGGATTCGCAGATGGCCTCGGGGGGCGAGCTTCGGGGGGTAGGTATAGCTTTTCGGCGATAGCTTTGAATACATCGTCGATGAAAAGGGAGGAATCTATAGCATTGAGTAGACGCCGGACGTTAGCAGAAACAAACAACTGAGAAAACGCGACGCACGCATCCCTGGCGAGTGGCAAGGACTCGACGAAAGAAGAGGACGAGGAAGGAAAAAACCAAAGAAAGGACCAGCAAGCTCACCATCGTCGTTTAGAAAATCGCGTATCTCCTGCTTGCAAAGCTCTCGAATCGAATTGACGTCTCCATCGTGTCGCAGAAGCTCGATAACATATTCGGCGAGCACATCTGCGTCCGCATCGGACCTGGAAAGCTCTCGGTTAGCATATGGAATTCGCCTCGCTAGGCCTGGCGGAGGCGCGGAAAAGATATATCGAATCGACGCACGTATTTTCAAGGCGCTTTACAATCCAAGCCTTCAGCGCAGGCACGTCCTCCTTGGGGAAGAGCTGCGAGGCCATTGCTGTTAGGTGAGCTGGTCTGGGTTACTGGATCGATCGAGTCCAAGTCCAGGGTGTGGGAGCTCGCGTGGGTCGGGAAAGGGAGCTGTGGAAAGAGGTGGGAATGACTCTATTGAAATGTTTCCCATGGGGGGAAAATATCATAGACTATGGAAAAACATTGGGTGATTATTTAGCTCGCCTGGGAAGAGACGCATATCCCTGGACCACGTAAAATTGAAGAATTGAGGCGATGATAAAGGGAAGGTAAGGCTGGCAGCTCGCGTTCCCCAAGGAACATTGTAATATGATTCACATCTTGGGTCTGGATTGCTGCTTTTGGGCGTCCTCGAATTGCCAAAGTTGCTCGCTCCATGTCGGCAAAACCGCGGCTATACACTTGGCCAAACCTCCAAAGTACTTTGTACCTCCCCGTGAAACGAAGGCTCTCTCAGCTTGCGCGATTGTGAGTGCGACCATCACCAGGGGAGGACTTCCCTCTCGGGGATGCTCGTCACCGACCTTTCTTTTTTTTTTTTTTTTTTTTTTTTTTTTTTTTGGGCCTTTTCACTGCTTCGTAGATACTGCCAGTACTCCGTAGAGAAGATTACACGACCCCAAGAATACAGCACCGCAACTCAAGGGATAATTACAATTCATAACTGTGAAGTACAAGCTTGAAAATCAATTGAGAGAGAAAGCTGGACCATGGGGAGTTTGCAGGCCAGTCACTTCTAACTACACATGTGAGAAGCTTCAAGGGGGAGGAGCCTCGACAGAATAGACCTCCCCGCCCCAATAACATCTAGTTTGGCCTCGAAGGCACTTCTCATTAATCGACTGAATGCCCATTTTCGGAACCCGTCTAACCATACACCTCCTTGCATCCGAGCAATCCGAGGTCTGGGCCCCGCTTGATTCGAGGCTGTCGTCGTCGTCGTTATGGACGGCCCTACATTCGCTCCACTCGAGCCATCCGGCATCATAATGGGGTGGTCACCCATCCGGGTTCGCTTACAACTTGTCGTAGTACTATTGTCATCATAACCTATTAGCAAAATCCGAACGAACACTGATACAAAGGGGGGGAATGGGAGCGAGAGGAAAAACTTACGTTCTCAACACCGGGCACCTCAACCTTGAGACCCTTGCGCTTACGCATGGCCTGGACGACCTGGCCGGTCTTGGAGGTGGCATCGAGAGGCGAGCCACCAGGAAGAATCTGCCAGTGATCGAAGACGGACTGAGGGAAGGCCTGGCCGGACGTCGCTTGACGGAGATCACCGTTGAAGCCGAAGGATTCCATGACGGGGAGGTAAGCCTTGATGGTGAAGAGAGGAGTACCAGGACGCTGCTCTTCATTGAAGACGTGTCCTCGGCGGCGGGTGAGCACACCGTAGACACCACCCATGGCCTGCTCGGGCACCTGGATCTCGACAAGGAAGACGGGCTCGAGAAGGGTGGGGTCGGCAAGGAGGGTGGCGGCGTACAGCACACGACGAGTAGTGGGGATGATCTGGCCACCACCACGGTGGATGGCATCGGCGTGGAGGGTAACATCCATGATGTTGAAGCGGATACCACGCATAGGCTCCTCTCCGAGGGGACCCTCGCGGGTGGCCCACTGGAAACCGGAGGCGACGGAATCCTTGATTTCGTGGAGGTACTGGACGGCCTTGGTCTGATCGACAATCAAGTTGGCACCAGTCATGTCGGGACCGAAAGCCCAGATCTTTCGGGCGTCGGTAACATCCCACCCGTAGTTGTCAGCGAGGACACGGGCACGGGCCTTCATATCGTCACGAGGAGAAATCTTGCCGTCCTCGATATCCTTGCAGAGCTCGTCGCTAAGAGGCTCGGCATCCATGTAGATACGGTTGTGCTTGTTGGGCGACTTGGAAAGCGCGGTGATGCTGGACTTGGTCTGGACGGTCTCACGGTACTGCACGACAGGGTCGGAGATGATGAGAGGAACGCAAGCGTGGTCCTCCTCGAGATCCTTCAAGCAAATCTCCAAGTGAAGCTCACCAGCACCGGCGACGACGTGCTCACCAGAATCGGAAGTGTAAGTCAAGACGCAAGGGTCGGACTTGGAGAGACGCTTGAGACCTTCGACAAGCTTGGGGAGATCCTGAGCGTTCTTGACCTGGACGGACCGCTGGACGACCGGGGAGACAGAGAACTTCATGACCTTGAGGTTGTGGGCGGTGTCGATGGTGGTGAGGGTACCGGACTTGAGCAAGAACTGATCAATACCGACGAGACCGACAATGTTACCGGCAGGCATGTCATCAATGGGCTCGACCTTGCCACCCATCATGAGAACGGTACGCTGGATAGCCTTGATGAACAGATCTTCCTTCTTACCGGGGGTGTAGTTGGGGCCCTGGATGCGGACCTTGAGACCGGATCGGACGGTACCGGCGAAGACACGACCGAAGGCGTAGAAACGACCCTTATCGGAGGTCGGCACCATCTTGGAGACGTAAAGCATGAGGGGACCCTTGGGGTTGCAGTCGCGGATGGCAATAGCGGCCTCATCATCAGGGGGGCCCTCGTACAGAGTCTCGACACGGTACTTCTGGGCGGTGACGGGGGAAGGAAGGTGCAGAATCATCATCTCAATGATGGAGTCGGCAGCGGGAAGGAAGGTTCGCATGACGACCTTGAGGAGAGGCTTGCCCTCCTTATCACGGTCCTCGGGGGCGATCTTGAGGTTGAGCTTCTCGAGAAGCATGGCCAATTCATCCTTCTTGGAGTTCATGACGGCGTTGAAGATCTTGAAGATGGGATCCAGGATGAACTGGTTAAAGGCACGCTCAAGTTGCTTGCCGTCGTGGGTGCCGGACTTGGTCCACTTCTTGGTCTTGGGGTTGAAGTAGTTATCGCCCCAGAGACGCTCCATCATCTTCTTTCGGTCGACACCGAACTTCTTGGCGTACCTGACGGCGAACTGGCGGATGGTGAAGGCCCAGCCGTGGAGACCGGAACCGAAGGCAACAGTGCCCTTGTCGGGGTAGACCTGGACATCACCGAGGGACTTGTCGAGGTAGGTGGAGATGATGACGTTGACGGACTCGATGGTTCGGGAGAAGGACTGGTACAAGTCTTCCTTGGAGACCTGAAGCTCGAGAAGAGCACGGTCGACCTTGTTGACAATGACGACAGGCTTGATACGCTCACCGAGTGCCTGACGGAGCACAGTCTCCGTCTGCACACACACACCTTCGACGGTGTCGACGACAACGAGAGCACCATCAGTGACACGGAGGGCAGCAGTGACCTCGGAGGAGAAATCGACGTGACCAGGGGAGTCAATCAGGTTGATAAGGAAACCGTTGCCATCAGCGGCCTGGCCGACGATGTCCTTGAGGTCGTCGTCATCCTCGAGAGCACCATACAGGGAGATGGCGGTCGACTTGATAGTGATACCACGTTCCTGCTCGTCTGCTCTGGTATCTGTTGCTCTCGTCTCACCAGCCTTGGCGGTGGAGATGATACCGGCTTTCGCCAAGAGAGAGTCGGTCAGGGTAGACTTGCCGTGGTCGACATGGGCAATAACGGACATGTTACGGACATTGGTAGGCTTGTCCATAAGCGCCCGGATTTCGTCGATCGTGAAGCTATCATGAGGAAAAAGATGAGATTAGCGGTCTGCACAGGATAGTTTCAGAGCTCCGTGAGGGCCATTGGGTGACGGGGGAGTTATCTGAAGCATGATCGAGAGCGAGTACGAGGTGAGGTTGCATATTTTTTTTTTGTTCTCCCTCCCAGCGACGAGACGTCCCAGCCCAGACTCGGGCAGGCAGGCGCATCGAGACGAAAACTCCAATTCGGAGAAGAAGAAGAGCTTCAAGATACGATGACGGATGAGACAAGAACGAGACGACTTACTTGACCATTTTGGCGGTATTTTTTTTCGATACCGTTTAAAGATGGTTGTTTGGAGGGAGTTGGGTGGTGAAGAGGTGAAAAAAAAACCTGTCGGGCAGGCGAGGGCGGAAAGCGGGGTTTAAAACCAGCACCCCGCGATTGCGGATTTCAAATGGCAGAGAGAGTTTGCACGAATAATGAGGCGACCTCCAAAAGTTGAGAAGGAACAACCCAGGAGAACAAAACAGGCGAAAGTGGAACATGCACAGTGAGCCAATTCGTCCTTCGCTATTTATATCACCTGTGGGACTTGGGATGTGTTTGATGAGGGAGAAAAGAGGGAGAGAGAGTTGGGAGAGGTTTGGGAGGGAAAAGGCGAGAGTGTACGACTGTAAAATCGAGCACAGGCAGGGCAGTGGCAGCAGACAGACAGGAGGGGGGTGGATCAAGAGCTGGGACAATGTGGATGTGTATCAGAACACTCTCGTACTACAGTCCAAGGTACCTCCAGCCCAGAATTTTTTTTTCCTTCCCTTCGGTTTTTTCGCCCTGGCGCTTCACCGTGGCCTCTCTATTTTCTTCGCCTTTTGGCGGGGTAACTCGATATTGTTATGGCAACTGCCACCGTGCAGCACCCACTCGCAGTCGTTCCTTCCCACCTTCCCATCATCTAGACCTGTCAGGTCCAAGCCATCGTCCCTCCTCCATACGTTGCTGTGCAGTAGTGTTGTACTATGTCGTAACTGCGCCGTACTCCCAGCATCGACTTTTTAGCTATGATACTTGGCGATGATACTAGCAATACCTTCTCAATTGGTGTGTGCTCGGAGCTGTTGCTCATACCCCGCTCCTTCCAATCGTCAGCAACTTGACCCCACCATCATGGAAGTACATCAAATTGTGTCGGAAACGAGAGGGTTAAAAGCCCTGCTACAGTGACTTTTTAGCCACACAATTGGTATTATCCCTGATTTGTGTGTGTCCACATGATAGCTTCAATCTTTTACGAAGTAAGAGAGTACACTACTTGGAGGTATCCAGTGCAAGCAGACTGCCTCGAACAAGGCCGGCGTCAAGGCTTGCTTCCTAGCCTTGATCCGGACCTCAAATGGTTTACTACTCCGAACCCTAGTCGACTCTTCCCCATACTAGAATATCGGATCGGAAGGGCATCAATTGATTTGATATTGTTGGGATATCTTTCCAAGATATGCCCGCACGAACACTGGAAGAGTCCTTTCAGATGAGGACCAGACGACTTGGAGGGGCACTCAGCAAAAACTGCGATGAATAATGACGCCACCTGTTTAAGCTGTCTGCCATCTGGTGGGGTAAAGGGAAAAAATCGAAAGACTCGCAGACAAGCAAGCCACCCTCGTCCTCATACATTATGCCCTGCCCAAGCCTGCACGTATCCTGGCCCGACCTGATGGGACATGTACAGCACAGCTGCCTGATGTTCAGTAAACCCCCCTTGGCAAGGTCACGTCAGAGTCAACCCGCCGGATGAGCTAAATGTCATCGCTCTACCTGTGTAAATGTACGGGCCAGCACGGAGTGCTATCGCCAGTATCGACAAACATATCAAATCATTCCATTTATACCTTAGCCTGATTCACCTCGATGACTCTACGCCGAACTGGTGCAACTCTCCTTTTTGGCCACCCCCAATAGCATGATGGTAGAGATGCACGAGCCTGTTGTCATCCTCGGGTCGAGTCGTCCGCACCAGGCATTGGATCGTTAACTCCTAAATCCGAGACTTTCTCAAGCTCGACTTGCAAGAGCTTATTTGCAGGCGAATCATCTTCGACTTCATACTTCGTGCAACTTTTCAAAGATGAATCGAATTTGTCATTGCTTTATTAGGATATCATAATACATTCTACTTCATAGGTAATCGTACAAAGCGTACAAAGAAGAGCTTCGCCTCCTCCACTCGCCCAACCTGGCTTCCACATAGATAGATATGAACTGAAAAATGGCCACCACCGTGACCTTATCTTTCACGAGGATCCCAAGATCCTCGCGTAAGCATCCTCAACCTCTCCAGCCAATTCTAGAAGCGACACGATGACAATCTGATGCGTCAAATTCGGCAGCCTATCCCTATGCAGCCCGATCCATTCCAAAGGCGGCGTAGCCTCGCCCATGTCCCTCAGCTGCGGCGTCTCGATGACGGGCTCCTCCAGCGCGACGTACTCGTATTTGCTCTGCGGCACGTTGACCTCCGCCGTGATCTTCTTCTGCTTCTGCCGACCCGAAGCGCCCTCGCCACCCTCACCCTCCTCGCCCCCTTGGCCGTCCGGAACGCCCGTGACTTTGATAGAGATGACGGCTAGCTCCTTACCCCAAGTCTGCTCGAGCGTCTTGGAGTGATTGGCCCACATGCCCCGTATGTAGCTGATGCGGGAATAGTTCCACCCTACCTCGACCTTGCCTTCGAAGGCGCTCTTGAATATGTAGTCGATCCGTTTGCCCTTGGGTGATTGCCACGTCTCCATTGTTGCGTGCACTCGAGGCACCTTGAGAATCGTGCCGCCGCGGGAGCCCGTCGCGCGCTCCACCACATCTTCTACTGAGATCTCGTTGAGAGTCTTGGGCGCGTCTATGTTGCGGACGCCAGCGAGGCCGATTCTCAGTTGTCCTAAAGTGAGATCCAAGATGCTGTGAACGCGGCGTTGCACGACATTGGCGGCAAACCGAGCCTGTGCATCCAGCGCTTCCATCTTGAAAACCTGGTGGTCTGAAAATGTGCTTGGGAAGACACCGAGATTTAGTGCCTTCAAGGTCACCACGACGTCAGTATCTAACGAGATGGGCGACTTGGATAGAGTATCGTCTCCCGGAAGTTTCGGTAACTGGCTTGACTGTTGAGATGTCGATACCAGGGATGATGGCGTTCGTCTCATAAACCTTTCAATCTCCCTCAAAGACGTCTCAAAGTTACCCTTCCTCTCCTGGATAAGTTTCTGGATTCCCTGATAGAGAGCGACTGCTTGAGCGGCCGATGTCGTAGTACCGAATACTTGAATTGCATCCCCATCGAAAATAGCAACTAGGCGATCTCCGCCTCCTGCCATCGAACGCCGGACGTTGTACATAAGAAACTCCAACGACGTAATATCGGCAACCAGGAAGGCTTGGTAGTCGAATGCCGCCTTCAGTCGGAATTGGCTAAAACTAATAGACGCTTGAACCAATGGTGTTTCGTTTAATGCCTGTTCTCGCATTGGCCACTGAATAGAAGTCCGGAGCCGGAAATCTTGGAGAGCGACGAATCCGCTGAGTCGGCCGGTGCAGTCCGCGCCGACGCGATCGAAGCCGAGGCACAAATTCTGTTCCCAGTCCGACGTCTTCTTCGACGACACCCAAAAGTCATTGATTGCAAAGACTGATCTGCCAATTGCCTGGCCAAGGTCAAGACTGATTTCCAGTGAGCTGATGGCAATGGTCGCTGTCCACGGGAACGCGGCGGTTGCGGCGACTTGTTGGTATCTTTGGACTAGGTGACCTTGTGACGTTTCTGTCTGCAGCTTGGCGACGGGCGCCACGGATGTCCGACGTATATCCGCCGGGTACCAAATCTCTCTAAATAGGAGGAAGTCCTGCAGCTGCTTGGCGTTGATTGCAACCTTCATCGGGCTGACTTTCAGTATCGCGGACACACCGCTCCTTCCGCTGAAGTGCTTGCTGTTCATGAGCGACAGGACAATAGATTCGACCTCAAAGCTTCCCGTAGATTCCCTCGAGTAGACATGTTGGACAGAAGCTTGTAGATTGCTAATGGTTGAGGAGATAGCAAGGAAGTTGCCAGCTTCGCTAGACCTGACTGTGTTAACTGTGAGGTATATGTCTTCGAAATGTGTGGTAGCCGAAACACGAGCGATTGGCTGACAGCTCAAGGTAAACTCCTGTTTGCAGATTCGCATGCCCAGGTTTAATCTCAGACGTCCCAATACCTCGTCGGTATCGGCCGTCAGAAGCCTTTCCTCTTCGCCCTGCTTTGGCGATGAAGTAGGCACTGGAATGGTGGCGGGGTTCTCTTCGTCACTGCTAACAACGTCCTTGATACTCGAAGTGATGTCCATGAATAACGGAACGACTGAAGGATGCAAAACGTTGCTGGATTCCTCGATCTTGACTTCTCCATATAATGAAGGATCGTCCTTTCCGTTATCTCTGAATTCCATCTTCCAGGCCAAGCCCGGAGAGCGGAGGGACATACTACCTCCCGTGTCATCCGAGAATTGACCGTACTTTCCGCCCGCACCGGCTCGGCCTCCCCTGTTGTGGGGCTTTTGGGACTCGCCGGGTTTCTTTGCCGACACGTGTACTACAGCACCGGCAAAATCGGCATCAACGAGGATGGACTCCAAACGTTTCGCACCTAGGATATTTCGGGCTGCTGCTGGCTCATCCGGCTTCGTCGACGAGATTCCCGTGTTCCAATTCTGGGATGCCTGTTGGACATTCTTGACTGATAAGCCGATCGAATTCTTCAGGTAGGACGCAGGAATAATGAAACCGGAAGTAAGGCGAAGGTCTAGAGACTTCCCAACAGCTTGGAAAGCTAGACGACGGGCATCGGGAGTAGAGAAGTAGGCAACGTTGAAAACAACCTCTGGTAATAGCGCTGAGTGGTGAGATCGGACAGACGGGTCAGACCCTGCAGGTACCATCTGAAGTTGGAAGTTCTGAATCGCGAGCCGAGCGGACTTTGTCTTGCGCGTACCAAACTCAAGCAACTGGACCGATAGAACAAGGTCCTCCTCCCCAGGCCGCGGCGTTTCAAAGCCATCCATAATTAGCCAGGTCATCTGAGCATTGTGGACTTCGAATTGGTAAACGATTGAAGACAAGAAGCTATCAATGAAGTCCGCCCCATCAGCTTCCTCCTCGTCATTGATTGCGATTTTTGGCGTTGACTGTCTGAGTTTTCGCAAGTACTCTAGTTCTCTCGAGGTATCTAGATCCTTGATCTTATCTCCCAGGTATCCCAACACATCTACAAGTGTTGATATTGTCTCCGGGGATAGGTTAATTTCGAAACCATCACTTCTGAAGCTGAACGCTCTCTCATCCTCACCATCGGTCCCGGGCCGCGTGGTTGCCGATATCAGGGCACTGAACGATACATTCCCGCAAGATTTCATCTCGCCCTCCCGCCCCTTGCGCAGGTCGAACAAGATCTCGCCGAGATGAACGTGCAGTTCGGGGTGCTCTAGAATAGGACCGCGAGCCTCAACTTGGTTAGACATCTCAAAGTGCATCCTGTTGAGACAGGCCAAAAGCTGTGCTTCGGGCTGGGTTCGCGAATCAAGAGGGGTTGTTCCGGCAATCTCTAGTCCCGCAAGTGTGAGGTGGACAGTGTAGACGGTCCTCGACTTGGTCGGCGAGACGGGCGTGGCCTGAACGACGGTGTCGGGTTCGAACAAGTCATCCATATGTGCGGTGATGCTTTGCACTTGCTCTTGGATATCGTGAATCGTATTGGATATCTCTGGGCGGTTAAGAGCCTTAAGAAGACTATAGACAGCGGAGGCGTCAAGTTGCATGAGCTCCATGGACGCGAAGAGTGCTAGAGCATGCTCCGAGTCTCCAATATGGCTGGTGAGCCGACCGTTCGTGGGCGGAATGCTGAGGAGAGAGATGCTTCTTGGCTCATTGTTGACCTCGATTTGAATCTCGTGGGAGTTTTCGCTGATGTCAAAGTCGAAGATGAGCTCCTTGCCAAAATTGGCAGCGATTGCGGCCCTGGAGACAACACCAGATACGTTGTATGTGAGTGATTGGAGTAGTGGTGCGCTGATCTTGTACTCATCGAGGAACAAGGCTACGTTCACCCTATATGCTGATAGGCGCTCGGCGATCTGCTTGCTACGCCTTTTGGGCTTTGGGGAAGACGATGGAAGTTGGTCTTTGAGCCGGTAGAGCTGCATAGCCTCATCCCTTACCAAGAGATCCAGAACCTCTAATAGCGCGATGGGGTCTTGCTTCACGATGAGAGTTAGGCTCCTGCTACTCGCCGTAGATTTGACTGTGTGCGAGTTTACAGAGTCGACCTCTTGCATCTGGTGAGAGGCGAATAGACTGGGCTGCCGAAGTTGCACCATGCCTAGTAATTCAGAACGGCCGTGAAGCCTCGATGTTATGCCGTCACAATTGACGAGGAGATTGCTGCTACTGCCTCCCGCCTCTACATCATGGCTGAGGAACGATACCGTGAGGCCATGCGCGAGAGTCTTTGCACTTAGATTGATCGTATCAACTGCTAGTGCACCGTTTCCGAGAGAGACAACCACATGGAGTGATTCGGGCTTCCTTGGAGAAGGTGAGCCTACTTCACTACCGGGTGGTGGTGATCGAGAAGGCGACTCTTCGGCCGCCAGAGTCTCCGAGTAAAGGCGCAACACATTGTTCGCCAGTTCGCAGAGCTCCCAGTTGATATTAATTGCCGCCTCATCACAATATATGTTGAGAACAGTCAGCTGCCCTTCAACATCCTGGAGGTCTTGCGACACGTCGTGTCTCTTGTTGCTCCGCTCAAGTCTAGCAGTGAGATCAAGAATGGTCGTTTTGTTCTCTTTCGGACCGGGATCTAGGACTAACTCAATCTCGTCAATTTGGCAAGCCCCTAGCAAGGGGAGAGAGTCCTGCATCTGAGGTTTTCTGTCTGGCAGGTCAAAGACCATCTTGAGTAGCACTGATTCTTCAAGATCTCCCAGGTCCCAACTCCGCCATTTTTGAAAGGCATCCATGGTTTCCGCAGCGGCGTTCTCTGGAGGTGTCGGATGCGAGGCCCAGCAAGCCAAATAAAGCGCCTCTTGTTCCTCGATGCTCATCTCAGACCAAATCTGTCTCAGACGTAGTATTAATTTCCAGGAATCAAAAGTGCGCAGGTGAGATTCCACACATCGCAGGACAGCAGATGGTCGGGTAAAGAATGACGCATCGCCCGTTTGTTTGCTCAGAACGGCCAGGTGGTGTATGAAGTATCTTAGGCGGTCCTCGGTCTTTGAAAGTACATCAGAGAACAAGTGCTCCATCTCAGATACCATGAGGTTCGTCCGGTGAATGAGACCAGCAAGGTAGTCAATCTTCCCCGAGGCAGTGGTGGCTCTGATAGCTCCGATAGTTGCATCGATGTAGGTCACATCCCGGGACCCGACTGACACAACCGCCTGCTCGATCTGGGCCATCACCGCCGGCTGCGTCTCGTTCATCTCCGGGAACCTTTCGGAGACCGTAATTTCGGCAGAGCCCAGTCTCAGGTGTAGGGACCTGCGAGACTCCTTAGTTTCTGGTTTGAAAGGGTCATCCCACTTCGTGGTGCCCCTAGTAACAAGGGCAACATTGCGGCACAGAGCATCATATTGATCGTGTGCTGGACTTGTCGTTCTCTGAAACCCTACATCTGTAGAGTTTATAAAACGAATATTTGCGCTTGGAAGTTTAATCATGATGTCTGTGATCTCCCCACGGACCTTCGCTAAGTTCTTGAGATCGACAATTTCCGTCATCGAACTCATCTGCAGTCCGTCGAGAACGTCCTCCGGAGAAGTTGGCTGGAGTGCCGAGAGCAGAGATGCTACATATCGTGCTGAAACTGGATTAAGGAAGCCAGATATGCCCGTTGGAAACTCGATGATGAAGCTGGAGTATATGTGATCTTCGCTGAGAATCTCCGGGTCAATGTCCTCAAGGTCGAGTTCCAAGGTACCGAAAGAATCGGCATCTTCGGTTTCCACACTTGGGATTGCTGTATCACTAGTGTCTGGCTGGAGATTTTCAAGAGGAAAATGAGGCGGGTAATACTGGCTCGAGAATGTGACGACGGATGGCCGGACGGAGTCACCGTAGATATTCTCGCCCGATGCGCTGTAAAAAGCCGAGTGGCGCTCAGATGAGGTTGAGAACTCTCTCAGATGCATGGCTGAGCGCTCTGGTCTAGCTCGAACAAAGGAGGCCTTACCACGGCTGCGAGATCTTGACGGGTCAGTACGGACTACGCTCTTTTGGCTTGCGCTGGATAAGCTCAGAAACGAGCTTTGCCTTCGGATGGACGGCATCGGCATAGACAGCGTTCCTGTGGTAGTTTCGGATTTCCCGTCATCTTGAGGAAGTGTTTCCGAGATGGGCTCGGGCATTGGCGGAACAACCTGAGCCGGAGGGTCGATTCGGGTTGGGTTAAACTCATCTAACGGCAATCCCGGAAGCAGAAGGAACTGGGTCCTATGTGTGCGCTGATCCTCTCTTCGGACCAGCTCTTGCTGTAGCTTTCGCTCCTGAGAGAACTCAAACTTCCGTCCAATTAACGCAACATGAACACTGGTGTGAAGAAGTGCTTCCGGGGTGATATCATGGCGGTGCCTCGACTTGTGTCGAGCGGCCGTTTCTGAGTCAAAACAAGCGAGCTGAACATTGGGGATGTTTACATTCCCCCGCTTTGAATAATGAGTCCGAGCCCAGTCATTGAAGCTAACACTGATAGACTCTGTCGAAAATAAAAAAGCCGCTTCATCAACATGCAGCCATACTTTTACGGATTCGACCATCACTCGAAGGAAAGTGACATCGTAGAAGATGAGAGATGAGTACGGCACAAGAGCATTTTCTTCGTCATCAAAACCGAAAAGAAATGCCTTCCCTCCTCGCGCCAGCGAGGTGAGAAATTCGGCGGTGCACTCCCCGGTGATAGAGCCAACCGACAAGTCCCAATTGCATAGGTATGTGGGTTCAGTAGGCGGGAGACCAAAGAGACGGTTCCCGTATACACGAATCCCGTCAATGAATAGCTGTGTCGATGACACGGCCTCAGTTGGCGAACCGTCGTCGCCTAGTTCTCCCACGCCCAGTGACAAATTTAAAGGGCTAACTGAAAATTCCAGATCCATATAGTAATTGGTAAATCGAAGATCGATACCAAGAGACGCGGTCTCGATCTGGATGTTGTTGGATGCATCATAGATATTGGCGGGAACGAGAAGTCGGGGATCATCGACCCGGAGGTTAAGAATAACGTCCAGGTCATTGGATATCTGATGAGGGGGATGGCTATTCTGAGCGGCCGCCGAATCTGGCTCTTGGCGTAAGGATTTCTGATACTCCTCTAACGTCCGAAAGTGGACATGGTCCCCAAAGTAATTGTCTTTAAGAGACAAGAGATATCTGACGAGGAAGCCGTAGGCAGTCACAGTTGGGGACTGCCCCGAAATATTCGCAATGAGCGTGTCTGTGTTGGCTGGCGATGTTGTTGCATTGTAATGGTACTCGCCGCTTATAACAGCATTCTCAGCCCGGCCTATTGTTTTAGAGCGTAGGAAAGTCGCCTGTGTATTAGAAAGCGGTAGGTGAAGTGACGCTTCAAGAGCGTCCGCCTTGATCTCGAAAGGGATGGCATTCTTCGGAGGTCGGAAAGTATCGATTGGAATAGAGACGGAGGCGGAAAGAAGTTTGCTGGAGAGGATGAGGTAGGTGTTTTCGTCCAACGAGGTAGGGTTGTTGATGACGTTTGCATCATTGACATTGAAGAAGACTTTCACATTGTTGAAATCGAGGTTGATATTGTATTTGAAGGGGGTGAAGACAAGATAATCCGGTGGCGGCCCTGTCGTCCAGTCATCCACGAGATCAATGAGAAGAAACACATGCTCTCTCAAGAGGAAAAGATCAAGATTATCGCTGGAGATGTCGAAACGCCAAGTTCGAAGAGTATTCCACTTCAGAGGTGAAGATAAGTCGCATGAGATTCGCTGGGGCCCGGACCTCCAGAGCAATTCATGATTGACACTGCTAGAGAGTTCCGTTTCCGGCAAGTCGAGATCAACAGTAGTTGAATACCCGGCTGAACCAGCAAACATGTCCATTGCAAAAGATATAGTAGCATTTGCGGAAACTCTCAAGTCAAGCCATCCAGCAGGTCGAATTCGTGAGGGGTCGTTAGTGTTCAGCTTCTTCTCCCGGTTCCGTTCCTTTCGCTTTTGAGTTGGCTGGTTCTGCTGGGTTGGAAGCACGGTACTCTTGAATCGCCAGTTCTTCGAAGGCTCTTTGGTTGGGACTCGGATCGTTACCTCCTTATCGAGCTCAACAAATAAAGTGAACTTGGTAGCCACTCGATAGTCCCCGACCTTCAACCGCTGTGCCGGGATAGCGTCTTTGCAAGCGGCAGGGAAGAAAAACCGTTGGAGTTCAGCTCGTTGACGGTCCGCCCAAGGCCCGTAGTTTACCGTGCCCCCCTGTATAGATAGATGAATACCCCATGCTGGAGGAGTGTCGTCGCCATTGATGTTTTCGACGGACTGATCAGCTGCTTGGGTAATTTTCGCCGGCACATCCCAAAATAGGGCAACGGTCGCCGAGGGACTATCGATGATGGTGGTATTCGCGGCATACTCGACGGATGCCCACCGCGCTTTATCCTCCATATCATCGTTCAGGTACCTTGACAGCCCTTGCCAACCATCCGTGCCTGGAGGGCGAGTCGGCAACGGTCCTTCATTACGTATCGGAGATAGAGACTCTACCGACTTTCGCCAAAAAGGCACCATATTCCTCAGACGTTTTGTAAGCCGTCGTCCGGTTCGGAGGAGAAACGCTCTCTTTTTAATTGGCGGGATATTCTGCACGGGGCGCTTCCCTCGCGTGGCGCGCGACTCTTGGTCCTCCGTATAGTCTTCATTCGGTCTCATCTCGACAACGGGATGGCGGAAATTGAACTTGAAGAGCTGGCGGTACAGGTCCACAGAGCCTGACTCGGCGGCGTCGATGTCGCCAGATGCCTCTCCAGTCTTGATAACGAGCACGGCTTTCGTATTCTCATTACCCATTACGAGGGCGGCCGTTCGGCATTCAACATGAATGGGAAAAAGCTGTATCAAGAAGGGCAGGTCGGAGCTTTCTGAAGAGACACTATCATCGCAGTCACCAGGTTCCTCACAAGCCTGAACGTTGTCCGGGCTGGACAGAATTCCATACTGTGGTATGGAGGCACCCTCAGTACCCGATTGACCAACTTTCCCGGTCTTCTCCTCCGCCGAATCCTCAGTGCCCAAGTCGGTAGGTGGCTTGTCATCGGACAGGTTTTTGAGTATCCCGTCATAAACGGGGCTTCTATTGTAGACGAACCACTCTAACCCGTTCAAGGACACGTTGACTCGGCATGGCAGGCTTGAGTTTTGGCGCTTCTCGTCAGCCTCGTGGGGACTCGTAGATTTCGTGCTGATATCAACATCGCGGACTCGACGTAACCAGTAATTCCAGGTGATGTGGCCGTTCTGGACATGGAACGTCTCATTGTTTCCGTGATATCTTAGACCTGTGAAGAATACTCGACCTCCAAGGAAAGATATTTGAAGGGCTTGGAAGTCGATGTATATACGATATCGGTGCCATGTCCAGGTTCGAATTCCGTAGGCCGCCAGCCAAGCGAAGACCCTGTTAAAGTAGAGGAGGAAGAAGATGCTCAAGCCGGTACAGATGAGAAAGTAGACGACAAACACCCTAGAAAAGGAGACGTTAGTTCAAGACGTCGACCTCGATAACTGGCAGGCCGTGGGCCATAGCTCACGGATTGAAAGCTCGAGCTTCGTCCAACGGCAAGGCATTGGGATTGGTGTTCGACATGGTTCCAACAGCCCCTGTCCAGTGCTATAATCGCTTCCAGTTAGCTGAAAGAGCTGAGCACTCTATCTTTCTCGCCCAAGGAAATAGTTATTGCAGCATCCGCGCAGCTGTATGGTTCAACCAGACGGCGGTTGACATGATGTTGTCGAGAGTGTTGAAGCTTCGGACCTGGGTGTGGTTCGTTGGAACTCGCGTCTCGGTCAGAGCATAATTGGAGCCGTTCCGGCCAACTTCGGTCTGGAGATTAAATCGACACTCGCTGCCGTCGCTCGAAGGACTCGGTGAATGGTAGTTGTTGACGTTCGTCAAGCGAATCTCCTTTTCGGTGACAAGAATTACCGCCTTCAATGAATGGGAAGTCGCGACAGGGTCCTCGGGCCATAGTGGATTTGACAAGTTGCTTAGCATGAATAGGTACCTAGTACCTTTCATATGTTGGGAGAGAAGCGGGGACTTTGGGCATAACGGCGCAAATCTTGGTGATGAGTGGCTGGATTTAGTGGGGACCTGCGCATAAGATAGTGCATCTATGTACTTAATACCTTCTAGCAACCAGTAGTAGTCGAGCTCCAAGCTTCTGCAGCAGCGATCATAGATGCATAAAATTGCAGATGGTGTCGCGTCATTCCCCCCAACTCGATTAATCTGGGTGCCTTGCTGATGCCGCCTCCATCCTCAGACGGTCTTGATATTCCTCCTCATCAGCACTCAGCAGAGGGATCTCGCCCGGGACCGTTAGCAAGTCTAACCACAGAGACCTAGGATTTTTGCTTGCGCCGTCTGCTTCTACCTGGCCGTCATTCACCGCCCCGAAATTCGAAAACCGAAAGGCTTCTTGTGAAGGTTTTTCCGACATGGTGTCGATCTCGACTGAACATTAGAGGAGAGATCATCTTGAGTTGGTCGACGCACGCGACAAGGCACCGCGTTCCGAATCCGAAAATGGGTGGTACGGGTCATAGGCTTGCCAGCACGACTATCGTAGTCGCTGGCGTCGCAGCCTTGACCGCGACACTGTTGTCCACCATGTAAGTTCCAAGTCCCTTTGCCATCTTGATGTCACCCACTAATATCGCCTTTCCTGATAGCTCAATCTTCCTGCAAGCGTGAGAAACCAACCGTATCTAACTTCGACTGTCTTCGGTGTTTTGGTACTTATACCCTCCATAGGAAAAACTATCGAAAACCTCTCCTCCAGCGATATGTAGTCCGAATACTGTTGATGTACGTGTTGTCGAAGTTGGGGAGGATCAGGCTGACACGTTTCGAGCAGGGTCCCAATCTACGCGATTGCATCGTGGACAAGTATGATATCTATTACGGCGTCGCATTTTCTCGATCCCATCCGCGATATATATGAGGTGCGAATCCAATTCCGACAGAGCCCGGTCCGGATGGCATATTAAGATGCTAACGAGTGCAGGCCTTCACGATTTACACCTTCTTCCAGCTCCTCATCAATTATATTGGGGGCGAGAGGGCGTTGATCATCATGATGCACGGGAGGGCCCCGGTCAGCCATCTTTGGCCTCTCAATCACGTTCTCGCCAAGGTCGACATCTCCGATCCGCACACCTTCCTCGCCATTAAGAGAGGCATCCTACAATACACGTGGCTGAAGCCGCTTCTGGCGCTAGCTGCCGTCATCATGAAGGCCTGTGGTGTTTATGAAGAGGGCTACATTGGCTTAAAATCGGGCTACTTCTGGAGCGGCATCATCTACAACATCAGCGTGACCGTCAGCCTTTACGCCCTGGGTCTGTTTTGGGTCTGCATGAATAAGGACCTGAAGCCGTTCCGACCCGTTCCCAAGTTCCTATGCATCAAACTCATCATCTTTGCTTCGTATTGGCAAGGGTTCTTCCTCTCGATCCTGGTCTGGCTAGGTGCCATTCCTGATGACGTGGATGGATACACCCCTGACAACCTCGCTGCCGCGATCCAAGACGCCTTGATCTGTATTGAAATGCCTGCATTTGCCATCGCGCACTGGTACGCCTTTTCCTGGAAGGACTTTGCTGATAATAGCATCTTCTCTGCGCGTATGCCTCTCGGATATGCCTTCAAAGACGCATTTGGGCCGAAGGACCTCATCGAGGATTCAAAACAAACTTTCAAGGGAGACAGCTACGGATACCGCTCCTTTGACTCGGGCGATAAGATTATGGCCCACGAGGACTCTCGATCAAGACTCGCCCGCATCCAGGAAGGTATGAGATATGAGCGAGGAGGAAAGGGAAAGTACTGGATTCCAAAACCTGGTCAGAGTCAGGTTTCGGCAACCACGCCTCTCCTGGGCCCGGCTTATGCCGGCTCTTCGAGTAGGGCACAAACGACAAGCGACTCAAGCGGAAGCACGTTTGACGAAGAGCTGAACCTAGATCCTGAGGAGGAACGTCTTTATGATAAAGCAAGAGAGCTTGAATATGGAGATTGGAACGTATGTTTCCACCTTACGCTTATCTCTCTCAAGGCCAAACGCTGACACAATCATAGTATCCTGTCATTACCGCTAGCGAGCCTCTGCACGCGAGATATCAGACTCCACCTCTACGGCCTACGCCGAATCGGCGGCCTCCCTCGAAGCCGGCTGCGCAGAACCTAGGTCCTAGTGAAGGAACTCCAGTCACGAAGAAGAAGAAGAGACGCCCGCCGCCTCAGGAGAGCACCCAGAGCGATCGTGGTGGCGGCCGGTCATCGCTGCAACAGGTAGCAACCGAATCTCGACCACATGCCTTACCCCCGGTCTCCCAAGGGTATACTACTACTGCTACCAGAGACGAACCCACATTAGATGACCGGGGGACGTCTCCTCAGAACGAGGAAACGATGGAGGAGCCGACATTCACCCCACGGTACGAAGTGAACGAGAATGACGAATTCCGCAATGTTTGGGGATAGAAGTTTTTGTTTTTGAGGATACACAACACTTTGAGAAACTATGGGTGATTTTTGTTTTCCTTTCCGGCCTTTTCTTGGCGCACCCTCGATAGATACCCCGTATAACTATCCAAGCACTCTATACAGACTCGTAGGCAGAGCATAGCAGTGGCGTTTTCTGGAATATTAAGTTTACTGTTTATGACCAGGGAACATAGACCCGAGATGGTGAATTCTTTGAACTGAGATGTTTCCTAGCAAGGTCAGCCGATTCTTCGATTCCGTTATTCTAGGAATCCCAACTATAAAATACCATATGAGTGTGGGGTATTGTCTAGTATCTCATGTTGCCCTCCGTTTAATTCAGTCATCGTCAACATCCCAGCCCCTTTAGACGATTAGGAATATCATAACTCTATCCAAGACTCATCATATCTTAAGTCGTTCCCTCTAGGCGAGCCAACAACGCCGTCTGTAAACAAGAAAATGGCAAGGAAAAAAAGGTTAAGAATAAAAGGTTAAGAATAAAAGGAAAAGAAAAAAAATTCCCTGCTATGTTGCGCATCATGTCCAACCCTAGCTCCTCAACGCACTTCTCCTGCTCCTGCTCCTCGTATCCAATGCCCTCTCCAAATCAGAGTCTGACTCTTCAAAAGGCCGGTCACTTTCAGGCTCTTCACCCGAGTCACTCACCCTCGCCCTCCGATATCCAGACTTGGCCGTCTTATCCTTCTTCTTGCTAACATGCTTATACCCCAGAGTAATAATGAGGCCGACACTCCCTCCTAGGGCAACAACGATGACGCCGCCAGCGATGTAGTCACGAGTAGTCAAAGACCTCCTCCGCTCCGGAGACTCGGGCGGCTCGGGCACGTCAAGACCGTCGCCGACAGCCGGACTAGGCGGTGGCGGTCCGGTAGCCCAATTAACGGGGCTTTTTCCGAGGATAAACTCCATCTTGCCGCCGTCGCGGAAGACGTCGTTCCAAGAAACCCAGGCCTTATCCCAGTCCTTCCCGTTGACCTTGAGAGACTGGACGTAGATTGCATCTTCGGAAGAGGCGCCTTGAGCAGTGATTTCGAGCTTAGCCCCGCCTCCCAAGTTAATCGTGAGGTCTTTGAGCCAGGGAGATCCGATGAGAAAGGTAGTTTGTCCCGTGAGAGGGTAAAGGCCGATCATGTTCCACAACAGCCAAGATTCCATGGCTCCCGCGTCGCTGTTGCCGGGCAGGCCGCCCGGAGTTGGGCTATAATACGACTTTGCGATAAAACGGCTCCGCAGGGAGGAAAGGTCCTGGCGACCGACAAAGTTGTAGAGGTAAGGGGTGCCGAAGCTGGGCTCGTTGCCCGGGTTAAAGATGGTGTGGTCGAATTGCTCGTTGCCGGAGATGATTCCGGGCCTGAAGGTGAGCTCGAGCCGGTCGATGAAGGCGTCTTTGCCGCCGCTCCAGTCGATGAGGGTGGAGATGTCGTGGTGTGCGTTGAAGGTGTATTCCCATGGGAGACCTTGGTAGTCTGGAGGCTGTGAGTTAGAACCGTCAACGAGAACTTATCCAAGAGAAACTCACAATGATTTCCCCAGTAACATCCGCCGCAACTGAGAGGGTCCTGATCAATAAAGTTCCCTCCCTCATCTCGCGGGCCAAGGAAACCACTATGGCCCAAGGCCGCCATGTCTTTATTCCAATGGTTTCGCCAGTTTCGCGATCTGCCCAGATATTTCGCAGCGTCCTCCTTATGACCCAACCCCAGCGCTACCTGGTACAGCGCAAAGTCATTTGTGGAACTAAAAGGGAAAAAAATGTCAGCTTTTGCGATACTTAACGGGAATCCCACCGACTCCCGGATCGGATCACTTACTACTCTACAGCACGAGTCACAGACCGAGCGAACTTGGTTGTGATATAGCCACGCGAAAGCCAGTCGGGAAGTGCTCCCCGACCCTCTTTTGCTGACCCTCCGGCGTCGCGGTTATCAGTCCCAGGAGGTGGCGCGACCTCAGCATCCGTCACCATTGCTTGATAGGCGTCCTCCCAGTTAATCTTGCCTCTGACACCCTTCACGTAAGCATCGGCGAAGACGTTGTCGACATTTGAACCACCCTGTACGGCACCGTTCCAAAAGGAGGATCGCGCGTCGGACATGAAGCCCTCGTGTCTCCAGATGTCGACCCAGGACCGGATAAATTCCTCGTATGTCTCGGGCTGGAGGATGTGGAAGAGAGACGTGGTGCACCGGAACTATTTACAATGTTAGTGGATTCCACGACTAAGACGAGTGAATGTAGGGCGTTGAATGCGCATACGGTATCCCAAAAGGTAAATATATCGTCGTAATACGGCTCTTCAGACTCCCAGAGTGGATTCTCCCCCGTCTTGTTCTGAGGCAGAAGGTTCATAAAATAGAGCGCGGAGTAAAGACGGGCCAACAGCTCAGGATCGGTTTCGGTGGTTGTCACTTTGGAAAGCACTTTATCCCCCCACTCCTTCCTCGTATCATCTCGCAGTTTTGACAGCGAAGTTCCGTCCGGAATCTCATTATTCACATTCCGACACGCCTGGTCAGTGGAAATGAAGGACACGCCAACGCGAGACTTCACCTCGGTGTCCTTGAAGGAGAAGACGGCACCCAGCCTGTTGAGCGAGAAATCCACCTTGTCCCTCTCTTCATACCAATCGAGATCTTCGCCGTCGGGTCTCGTTCCCAAGAATGTCTTGTACGTCGCCGGCTTGTCGAAGTATCCGCAGAAATAAACAACCCACGTCGGAGCTTTGTTCCAACCCTGTGCGACCAGTTAGCCCCGGGGGCGAACTTGTGGGAAGATGCATGGTCGTGCTGTGACCGTGCTACCTACATTATCGTATCGTCCATATCCACGATACGAGAGGTGACCTTGTTCGCCCTCCTTGTGCACAGAAATCCCACCACCAAGATAATGTTGCTCTAGGCCCATGCCACGATACGACTTGAGGACGTGGGATACATCCACCACGATTGCCGGGTCGCCCTGTCCCTCGGGAAAGGTATACTGATAAAATCCTGCTCTGCTTGCCGCAGCAAGCTCGATTTCGATGCCATTTTGCGTCGTAGACCTATAATAACCAACTTCTGTCACGTCGTCCGCCCCTCTCGGTTGACTGATATCGGCGAGAGGATTTGGAATTTCTCCAACAACGGGCATCTGCGCAACAACACCATATTTGGGCGCACCACCAGTGCCACTCTCGTGGAGCATGCTGAAGCCGATAAAGTTGCCATCGGGTTGGTAGCCCGAGTAGCTGTCTCTGCCATTGTACAGGTCGGGTCCGAGTTTGATCATACCAAGCGGGCGGGTTACACCGGGGAAGGTATTGCCTCCACCAATAGAACCAGTCTTTCCAGACACATGTGGGTGTTAGTGAGGCCGTCCCGCTCTCGAAGATCTGCGAAACGCAACAATATACTTACGTTTGTCCGGACGAAGCCGGCAAGGTCGGCTGCCTCGACCGTCGCTAAGCCTCCGAGAAGAATATGAGCGAAAGAAATTCGGAGACGCATCATGGCGGGAGAGGATTAAGGAAAGGCGGAAGCCCCGGATATCAACAAAGAAATTTATCTCGTCATTAGCTATAGGGAATGCTAAAAAAGCCACACCTCACGAGTCTCAAGACGGTATAGAGATCATAAGACGGGGACATAAGACAGGAAATGAATAGTAAGGAGCGGACGAGGTCGTGTCTCCGTGAAGGCCAAGACTGGAGAGAACCAGGGTTAGACGGCGATCTCGAACAACACAAAAGCAGCAAATGAAAGTGCAAAGAGAGAAGAAAAGACAGAGTTGGCAAGATCGCGGACAGGATTGGGATATTCTAAAGTAAATATGTATTCAACCAGGAAGAATCCGTGGTTTACTTTCTCAACACCAGTACGTCTGTACACCTGTACACCTGGGGGCCAGCACAGCCAGCGCGATGTCGCTTTGGACTGACTTAGATCGGGGGCCAAGACGAGCTGGGAATGAAAGGTGGAAGGGCATTGGCGATTAACACGAGCAGCCAAGACTTCCGCTCATTTATCGATTCTTGGCCCAAGCGAAACCGAACCAGCCCAACTCCCTCGTCTCATGACCCGAAAGCCCTTGCATGTGGGAAGCACAAAATGCAGTCTTGGTTGGCAGAAATGCCACGCGCCGAAGCTTCCTGGAGCCGAGACTAAATACGTGTGATGCATATTGCAACGTTGGTCGAACGTTACACTTCCTTCCCAAGGAAAAAAAATATTGATCTAATCTTGATCTAATCTTGAATCTTATTATGATTAATTGTCTTAATTGCCTAGATTGATCTTTATCGACGTCGGTTTAAACGGGTGGGTCATTCTCGTTCTCGTCCGCCGCGTCGGAAGAGTCACCGGAAACCTTAAATTAAGTCGTTATGCGGATTTCCTCTCGCCGGGACAAAATCCTCCGAACTCTCCAGGGGTCACTTTTCGTCCGAGGGCAAAGATCCATCCCCATCACTCGAGTTTCGACCGTGACGCTGTGCAAGTCACGCGTACGCTTGCCTTCCGGTATCGATGGATCGATCCTCTCTGTATCATCAATCCGGGATGACGAGACTGGCTGGGAAGTGGATTCCGCCGTGATGCACCAATAACGCAAACAGTCGCTCTTAACGACTGCGTCTGGCAATAGCCCTGGCTGCGAAGGCGGTCTATTTCGAGACCGAGATGTGGTCCAGCCTTCGGGAACTGGCCATACGAACTCGATGTCCCTGGCTCGAATTAAGTGGTTTCGCAGAGCTGTTCGCTCTTTGCAGGCAGCATGTCCGGTGCAGATGTCCAGTTTATCACAATCATTTGAGAAGCATCCGCTTTACGGGCCGAACATGGGGCCCTCCAAGAACAGGCTCGCCGAGGATCTGACATCTGCCCAGGATTCCATTTCGGCCATGTCAAGAGGCACGCTCTGATGCATGGTTCCCCCTCGCAACAAGCACCTCGAACCCACACACAGCCAAGTCCCGTTTCGCAAAAGATGTCAAAAAGAAAAGAAAAGAAAAAAAGAGAAAAAGCCGAACACAAAAACATACAACACCAGGGACTCGCTGGTCGTCACAGGGGAGGGGACGGGACCCTCAATTCTCTGCGAGCTATGGCCGTATGTATCAGAAATGTCTGGATTTGCTCTATAAAGGGTCCTAGTCAGGAGTAGGGAAAAGGCTGCTTCCTTCCCGAGGATAGGTTCCTCCCTGATTGGGGGCAATATAGCCCTACAATACACTGGACGCTCGGGAATATATCATCGAGGTTCGAGCATCGGCTTCCTAGCGGCAAATTATCGCTGTAGCGGATTGCTCCGGCAAAGTGCTCAACATGGAGTTAAGAGCCATTGGAAAATGGGGTAGGAATCGATGTGAGTATCAAGTTGGAAGTGCCTTAAGGGCTTGACTTTTACATCCCAAGAGCCACGTAAAATTGGCAGAGGGTTTGGCAGCTTCATTGCCATTCGGGGGGTGCCATGGCACCTAGGCCATAAAGCGCCGTTGCAGGCCATTTTATAGTCCCTCGCCATCCATCATCTGCCAACTGGTAGCGGTGGCTGGAGATGCTGCCGGGAAGAAACCCATGAGCTCCCTGGCCGGATTTTCCCAGCTCATCGGCGTCGTGACGTCGAAGACTGGCAAGTGGGTGTTGTCTAAAAGGCCGAGGGTTATTAGATCCAAGGATGGCTGGCTCAGTACAAGGACGTATGCTTCATCACTCACCTTGGACATAGTCGCCGGGACGATTGTAAACGGAGAATGAGAGACTTTCGAGTAGGGCACCGCTTTCTATATCGGAGTCTGGCCTCAAAGTACTATTAGGGCGTTTCAGGATCACATTCAATGCTTTGGCAGCCTTTTGTGCCTCCTTTGATGAGCTACTCGACTGAATCCAAATGTCGTGCGACCGCTTTAGGGATTCCTCAATAGTCTTCGCCATAGGTGCTTGAGTATCATCCGCCCGAGTCTGCTGCAGGTAAAAGCAAAGGATGCTCGTCGCGAGAAGAAAGTCGTGATTGACCAAAGAAGAAACCTTCCACCGGTCCTGATAGAGCCGGCCAAACGGCAGCGTCTCCCCATGTATCATATGCTGGTAGTCTAAAAGTTTGAGTGCTGCGCCGAGACATGTCTGTCGGGAACGGGCATGTTGCTGAGTTTTCGTTGGCGAATATTGCAGATACTTGCGATGGAGGACGATTCGTGCTCTGTGATAAATTATCTCGAGGACTAGCTTCTGCAAGACAACTCGTGGCGAGTCCGTAATGCAGTGTGCCATGGAGTGCCACCTGACGCATTCGGGGATGGACTCGCGGGCGGCTTGGAGCATCGTTTCCATCCTCGTCACTTCGTTGTGGCTATGCGGCCTGACGTCGCCCGCAAAATCCCAGATGAACCCGATAACTTTCATGATCCGCGCTTTTACGAGGCGATAGAGCATGGGCGTAAATTCAGTCTCCGGTCGTGATGGGGGCATCTCCGTTGTAGTTTTGTCAAAGTCGGCGTCTTGCAAGTTTGAGGGCTCGCTGGTGTCGGTATGCCATTGCTTGATGAGCCGCGGGAGGCCCATTTGCGCGGAAATACCAAGGTCGAGTTCGACAATGGTTGCCCATACCCGCTTGCGCATCTCACCTGTGAAAGGGGACATGCCCTTGAAATGCCTGGGGTCTCTGTGATAGCCCATGTGCATTGCAAGCTGAACTATTGTGCCTAAGAGTATCCACAAACCGATCTCGGCATCGTTACGAATGAATAGCTCAGCGGCAATGTGCAGCATCAAAGTTTCTAGCACGTAAGGCCCTCCTTGAGCATAATTTCCGAGTACGAGGCATTGTATCGTTTTCTGCCTAAAAGCCTCTATCATGCTCTGGAGTTCTTGCTCCATGGACATCGTCTCTGGAGTTTGGAGTCCAGGGCCTGATCTCGACATCTGGAACTGAGCCGCCAGACACATGATGGTGAAGAGGAGCCCAAGCCATATAATAGGAGTAGCCGTGGGGTTCTCCCAGAACTCCTCGTACTAAATGCCATTGTTAATAAGGAACAGGTGGGACAGTAAGGGCATGGAGGAAGGCAGCATCACCTCCTTGAGAAACTGAACGCTATGCAGCACGGCTAAAGCTCGATAATTAGTTGAATCCAGTTGCCGCTCTGTGACCAATAGACTAACCGGGAGACATCTCAAAAGAGTTAAAGTATCGCGATACTAGCCGATCAACAACCTGCCGGGCGGGCATCGCCGCAAGAATCTCTTCCTTGGTTGCAAGTTTAGGGCAGCCATAAAGCAACTGTGGGCATTTCAAGTCGGTGCTATGCGGTTCAAAGGCACGATAATGGGCAAGTGAAGCCTCTTCTTCTTTCTCAAAATGGTCCCTTATTTCTGCGATGCCATCGAGGATCGCAGCCCAGTGACTAGCATCGACATAGCTTCCACCTGCTGTCGTCGCCTGCATGCTGCCACAGTCCGAAGTGGTCGAAGGAATGTCCGCCACATCTTCACTTGGAGTTGCTGTTGTAACTGGAAGGCTAAGGTAGTGGATGGGGCGCGGTGGCGATGATGATTCTGGTGTGAGAACAGGTTCTTGGCCAGAGTGTTGCATCAAATCAACCACGAGGCTCTCGAGATGCTGAATCCTTTCTTGAATAGTACCGAGAGGCCTCTTGGCACCGCCTGGCGACCTAGGTACATTTACGACGTACGCGCAAGATTGGCCGATACCTCTCTTGGAGCAGGAATCACACGGCTGCTCCCGGTCGCATTTCAGCCTAGGGAGACTCAGAGCCGCTCTACCCACGCTTTAGAGAAGGGGCAGGAAACTTACTTCCTCTGTCTGCAGAAGTTGCAGGACAGCTGCGGTTTGGCGCGCCGTCTGCTCAAAAGCGGACGTGATCTACCTCTCGGCGTCTTCCCAGGTCCCCATTCAACGGGGTCTTCTTGCACCTCTTGGTCGGCCATTTTCTGAAATCACTGCAATGCTTGGGCGGGAAGATGATGTTTTGCTCTGCTGAGCGGCGAGGCCTATTTGTTTGACAACAATCTTGATGCTCGTCTTCTGTTCAGCCCAAGGATCGCGGCTTTGGCGTGTTACACTGTGATACAACCCTACTTTACACTTCACACTGACGGATGACCTTAACTCCGATCCTCCGTCTCACTCACAATAGCTCTACGGCCTAGAGCAGCGAATCAAGCAACGTCCCGTTGAACCACCACTTCCTCACTGGTGCCCTTTCCTGTTAATTAAATCCACCATGCACAGGGATTCAAGTAGTCCAAACCTCCGTTCTGATCCTCCGCTCCGATCCTCCGTCCCACCCTTATACATCCCACCAACATCACAAATCACATCCCATCTTGACCGTACATTTGCCATCCTTGCAACGGACGGTGAGGATGACGGACTTGAGCGTATGTCCTTTCACGGTTGGGGTGGGAAATTATTTGGCTTATTTCATCTCCGGCGAGTGGAAATCCACTGGAGCAACGGACAACCGGACATGAAAAGCCTCCCTATGTCGCATGTCGACTTCTTATTTCCCCTTTTCTTGGGCTGGAGATATTACCTTGGGAATGGAAACCCTCTATTGTTCGAAGCAAGAAATAAGTGCCCTCTCATCAAGTGGAATGCCCTTCAGCCAAACTATATGTCCTAGTCTTCGAAGGGTTCTTTCTCGCTTGAAGCCACGGTAAATCGCTGTCGAGCAACCTCACAAAGGCTTTGAGATGCCTCCACCCGAACTTTCTCCTCCTCGACTGGAGACAGGCGAGACTAGCGACTCAAAAGACAGCGGGCAATACGAAAAAGGGTTATCCGAAGAGAGCAACATTGTTGACTGGGATGGCCCCGACGACCCGATGAATCCGCTCAACTGGTCGGCGGCAAAGAAGCATACGCACGTGGCTATCGTGAGCTTGTTCACCCTCTCAGCGTTGGTGTTTTCTTCCTCTCCAATTGCTCATAACAATGCGGATATGCACATAATAACCTGTGTCATTAGAAATCTGGCCGCAACCATGTTTGCCCCTGGCGTACAAGAGTTGGTTTCCGAGTTCTCCATCACCAATTCCACGGTCGCAGCCATGACCGTTAGCCTTTACGTTCTAGGATTCGCTTTGGGTCCTATAATTCTTGCGCCTTTATCTGAGCTGTATGGTCGGCTGATCATTTACCTCGTGTGCAACGTCGTCTACCTTGCCTTTACTCTGGGTTGCGCTTTTGCTACAAACACCGCCATGTTTCTCGTCTTCCGGTTTATCTGCGGCTGCGCTGCTGCTGGTCCCATGAGCATTGGAGGCGGTACAATTGCAGATGTCACTCCTCAGGACAAGCGAGGCAAAGCCATGGCGTTGTTTGCGATGGGACCAATCTTGGGGCCTGTAAGTGACCCTCCCTTCTCCTCGTTGAAAGAAATCTTTTATTTTAAAACTTTGGCAATAGGTTGTTGGGCCCATCATCGGTGGCTTCGTGTCCGAGGATATTGGCTGGCGCTGGACCTTTCGGATCCTCTCGATTCTGGTGAGTTTTCTCGAGTCCCGAGCGCTTGCCGCACATCTCTAACTATATCCTCTTCACATAGTCCGGAGTCATCGCTATAGGAACTGCCATATTCATGAGAGAAACCAACGCCGCGGTTTTATTGAAGTGGAAGGCAACCCGCTTGCGCAAGACTACCGGCAACGAGAAATTAACACGGAAACTATCGAAGGAGGAGACACCACGCGAGATGCTTCTCCGTGCTATTGTTCGACCCTTGAAGCTTTTGGCCTTCTCTCCCATTGTTCTATTCATATCGCTTTATACGGGTATACTATTCGGCCTCATCTTTTTACTTTTTGCTACCTTTCCAACTGTCTTCCAGGGGGTCTACCATTTTAGTCCGTCAACTTCTGGGCTCGCCTATCTTGGTCTTGGCATCGGCATGATGGTGGGCTTGGCCGTGTTCTCCATTCTTAGTGATAGGCTCCTTCGACCGAAAGAAGGCGCTGAAGCGAGGCCAGAAGATCGCCTTATCTTGATGAAATGGATTGGGCCCATCAGCCCCCTAGGCCTATTCATGTACGGCTGGTGCGCCAAGTACGAAACTCACTGGATTTTGCCAATTTTGGGAACCTTCATCATCGGATTCGGCTCTCTATTCGTGGTCATCCCCGGCCAGGTATATCTTGTCGACGCATTCGGGGCGGAGGCTGCCGCATCGGCTCTTGCAGCCAACTTGCTCGTCCGATCCCCCTTCGGAGCGTTCCTGGACCTTAGCGCCGACCCGTTGTATGAAAGGCTGGGATTGGGTTGGGGAAACAGCGTCTTGGGCTTCATTTGCCTCGCATTCACGCCCGTCCCATGGCTGTTTTATCGCTATGGTGAGAATTTGAGGACACGGTTTGCAGGTGAGCTGTAGTTTTGGAGGAGCTTTTTCGACCTCCAGTGTAGGGATCGGCAGAAGTGAATGTCTCTGGGGATTTGTACATGTGTTCTTTTCTGGCAATAGGTCTTTAATCAGAGTCGTTTCTAGGAGATAGAGGAGTCTTTTCTCTCTAGTAACGCTGTATTTTTTTTGAGGATAGATGGTCTATTTTCGTTATAATTCCCACGAATCTCGGCAAAACGAGACCCCCAAAACCTCACTTTTTCACTGACATCTCCTGGGGCATGGAGAAGAATTATGGACTCATGTAACTCCTTCGGCGATATAAATCCTCCTTTAATGTTGGAGGACGGGCACTCATGCCGGTCGGGAAGAGTACCCTCTTAATCCCCACGGTCATGAAGAGTCTGCAAGTAGGAATTCCTCCTTTTCCAACCCTTATTTCTAAATCCACTAGATAATAGCCCAATTTCCAGTTTTTTGGTGATTTCTTAAATTCCTACCTCATACCTGGGGTGACACTAATTTCGGCAAATCTGATCGCTGCTTACCCAACGGCTCGCACCGTGGGTTTGTCTTCTCTATTCTAAGACGAAGTCCGGTCCGTATGTCGGAGGTAACCGACTTGTGGCTTTTGTGGGCTCGAGCGGGTGGTCTATATCATTCGCGACCCTACGTCTAGCAGAAAACTTGATGTTTTCGGTTGTTAAATGCTCCGATTGGAAATCTCGAGACGGATCTGTGCGGTCCGGCCACAGTATCGCCCATAAGAAGAAACAGAAAAGTAGAAGTGAAATAGGCGGGCCGATACTCGTTTCCCAGAACTCCCAGAAAAGATGAGGCAAGCTCACTGACATACTGACAAAAGCCGGAACTGTTGATCAACCGGAAACAAGTTGAGGACATAAGAGGGGAGCTCTAATGGAATAGAAGGGACAACTAACACGATTAATTTCACCAGGACCAAGCTTTTCCTTGAGTAAAAGTTGGTCACTGTGATCAAATGACACGCTGAACGTTATTTTATTTCTAAGGCCCGAGGCTTCGGCTAGCGCCAATGCATTCTCAACACCGAGACTTCCTTTGTTCCTGCTTGACTTGTTGTTCTAGATCTGGGGTTGGGATTTGGGACTGAGGGACTGGTCCAACGATGGGAGGAGACTGCTCCAACCTCCAACCAATGAGGATCTCCAGTCCAGCTTAATTGGGAAACAATGAACACGTCTCTCATCCGCAGCTCCGACCAGTATTTGAATTAATGTCCAAAGCTTGCTTTCATCTCCCTTTTCAATACAGTGTTCTGGCCTGCATCGGAAGAGTGATCGGAAGTCCTAGATTGGATTGTCTCTTTCCACAAGCCTGGGAAGATCCAGAACTTTACTTCGTTGTGCAAGGTGGAGCAGACAATCACAACATAATCTATGAGCGTAGCATAAGTGCTAGAGCGGAGAGACACACAGTGGTTATTCGCATAAATTTCCCCCCGGGCGAAGTGTACCTTGTGGATTCGGGATCGGTCATATCGCTCTCCAGCAAAAGAATCAACCAATCCATTCCCTCTTCCCTCAGTCATGGGTTGATGTTGAAAAGGTGGGGTGAGGAACGGTCCCGCTCTGACGATCCAAGCCTAGATAAGGAATGGGTTCGACTCTGGTCTGACAGGTCCCCTGCTGCGGGTCCTGTTCCCGCTCGAGTTTGGGGTTCCGCTACGACCTATGGCATAGGCCCACCTTTATGTACCTTATTATACTTCGTACCGTACGCTATTATCGCTCTTGATGCGTTGGACATGGGATGAAAAGCATTTGAGGGCTTCGGAGCCTAAGAATAGTTAATACACAAACCGCAAGTGCCCACATTGTCCAGTTCGTTTGATTTGACTGTGGTCATTATTTCCTTCCATCAACAAAATCACGTGAAATAATCCAAGCCACATTATGGCTTGGTGCACATAGGTACATTGTACATTACTTCTGTATTGAGGGGTACTGTGGCTGGGAATGGCAGATTTTTTTTTTCTTCGCCCACCGCCTAAAAGAAATGCCCCGAAAAAAAAGCGAATCCCACCAAAGACGAATGATTTCACGGCGGTCAAGTCTGGCAGAATTTTGTCCTTCAAGAAACTCCCCCAACAGTTGCACGACTCATCAAACACTCGTGCAATTGCAATTGCGATCGAATCCGGCTGTCTACTGGTCTAGAAGTTGCTGTCTCGGCTACCATGGGTCGGAAGCCGAATCAGGTCATTGCCTCTTACTTCCACCGCGGCCCCAAACTCGCCGACAACAGCAATCGATACCCCCACACCTGTAAGCTTTGCGGTGAGGATTTTCCCAAGGGCAGAATCGATAGCCTTACGAGCCACATAACCAAACCCGGAAAATGTCCTGCCATATCCGAGAGCGCCCGGATACAGGCTTGCCTGGCCCTACATAGCATTCCGAATCCGGCTGCTCTGCAGCGGAAACATGGCGCCCGAGCTGGTGAGAATGGTGCCAGCCCCGCCGATGCCTCCATGACCGCCAACTGGAGTGCGCTCGAGGCCCTCGCGGAAGCGTCGAGACGAGTCAACATGAGCGAGAAGCACGACAACCGAGACCACGAGTCGAGTCCAGTTACGCCGTCCCCTTCACATTACATGGTTGGCGCCCAGTTTACCTTGGACAATCCTCCCACCAGTTACGGGAACCCCACGCAAGCAATCAGAGCTGTTGGTGGGGCACCGCCTGAGGGAGAAGGTACGTATGAAGTTTACCAATCTTTATACCCCTTAGCACTCCCAGATGTCTCATCGACGTCGACGCCAGGCTCCTCGGAAGCGCGGCAGGACGCGGCACAAGAACCGAGCCCTACCGATGCTGCCCATATCTCCCTCCCTCTTCCTGGCCCTCCTGAAGCCAGCATTGACTCGACAAACCTCTCGGTTGCCGCCGCTGCGGCTGCACGGCTACACCCGTCTTTTCTTGACCCCCAGCTTATTGCTGAGGAGGTTACAGCCTCTCTTGCCCCAACTACCGAACCGAGCCATGCCATAACCGACCCCCTGCCACCTCAGAATGCCTCGAGCCCCCCATGGGGTGAGATAACATACTTGGCTACTAGCCCTACGGCGGTAGCACATCACCACCACGAGGCTCTTCAGGCCCCTGTGCCGCTGCAGAAGGGTGGTGTTAGGATGGACACGGGCGACGGCTCGGCGAATGGTCGACCCCGCCACTCTAGAGCCAGGTTCGACCCTACTCGGCGGAAGGAAGTCCAAGAAGTCCGTAAGATTGGGGCTTGTATACGGTGCCGGATCCTTCGCAAGAACTGCGGCAAGGGGAACCCGTGCGATACCTGCCGCAAAGTCCTCTCTCCCCGCGTGTGGCGCTCCGGCTGTGTTCGGACCCGCCTTCATGAGCAACTAGACTTGTACTCGGCTGGCGTGCAGGTGGTTCTGGCCCAGAGGAGATACAACCTCTTGAAGTCATCCTTGCGAATAGCGAATACCGGTACTATTGTGGAAGCGTCTCAGTTTCCCGACACTGGCCACCATATACTGTTGCCGGTGTTCCAGACCTTGGTTACACCGCCGTCTTCTCCGCCACCCGAGAGCGCAGAAACAGAAACGAAGACACGCTCGGTAATGATTGATTGCGAGGCCGAGGACATCCCCAACGTTATTGAGGGTTACATGCGGCAGGTGTTGCCCGTCCTTATTGAGCGTGAGCCGTCCCACTTTGTTCGCGTATTGCTCGAAACAGCGGCGCAGTTGGTTGAGGAGCCCGGCGGTGATCTTCTTCGACGGGCACTAGAATTGTGGGGCCTTGTTGAAATTATCGACCGAGAACGCCAGTGGAAATTGATGGAGAAGCGTCCCGGTGAAGACAATTCGGAGCCCAGATACATTAGAGAGACATCTGAGAAACCGGATCTGGACGTGTACACAATCATGTGCCTCCAGCTGAATGCCGCCGCCGAGAGGAAAGCAAACGCCACCTCGATGACCCTTCTAAACGGGATGCAACGAATCCTCCAAGACAGCAAGATCAAGATCGGATTTCCCATGTTCATCACTGCGCTCGTCTTCCTGAATTGCGTGGAGAAGAGCACGTGGAGTTTTAAAGCCTGGGAACAGGATGAAATTCGCGTTGGGTGGCCGCTCGAACGCGAACCCGGAAGCTTTACGTCCCAGGGAGAGACCTTGGCGAGTCTTTTGCGGCTGTTGTTGATCATTCGCCGAGTGCTGCCGCCGACTGAGCGTGCCGAGAGCGGAAAGTTGATTTTATGTAACGAGGCAGACCCAGTGACTGCCGCTTTCTTCCATAATTTGGATCTGGACTGTAAGTTTTCATCATACACGTTCTTTCCCCTCACACTTCTTCTCTTATCTTTCAGAGCTAATAGTTGTCCCCCTATTTTTTAGTTGACGTTGTCCAGTCTCGAAGGGATAAGCCGGAGTTCGACCCTGGAGACTCCCGCTCGTTAGAACTGGCCTTCTGTTCTCATTTACTGCTGCCTAAGCCTGCGGTATGAACATGGAGGAGTAATCGAATGCTACGAGGGTGTCCTCTTTATAGGACACCATATAACGCGAACTGTTGGGGTGCCAAAATGTGGTAATGGAATTGGTTATGTAGGAGGAACGAAACGAAGAAAAAACTGGTTTGGTATCGACGACGAGGGTTTACGACGAAATGCTTTGAAGACAGCAACCCCCTTTTACGACGGCGAAAACAAGAGAAAAGCAAAAGAAAAGAAAAGAAAAGAGGGGAGGAAAAGAGAAGGATGTGACCACTAGGGTAGTTATAGACGTCGATGGGGGAGGCAGGAAGAAACACCGGCGTGTCTCACGATCACGATAATGAAAGGGAAACTAAATGGACGAAAAAAAAAAAAAAGACGGCGCGCAAGACCTTCGAGCCATGATCTTTTCAACTCTCGTGGAATGACAAGGGCGTATCGGCGAAATAAGGATTTAGTTTTGAAAACAAGGGACAAAAAAATGAAAGGGGGCGTTATGATTTTTGTGTTTTCCTGTTTCTTCTTTATGACGGAGAAAAAAATACCAAAACGTTCTTTGTTTTTCTGCTGGGGATGTCTCGGTCGATCAAAAAGTGGGTGAAGGGTGAGAGCAGATCTTGGAGAGGAGACTGTGATGATGCTTAATATAGGATCTTTGGCTGTTTGGGGGTAGAATACAACACTGGGGATTAATGGAAAGCATAAGGCCGATGATGAGGAGAGCTGGCGATAGTCGTCCTACCCTCTGCTGACCAAATATTGTGATCAACGACGTGGCCGCCCACTTTTCTAGAGGATTCGTCGTATCTTTTCTGCTCCTATCGACTTCGACTCGGAGCTGTTGAGCCTGAGCGTGTTATGGACGAGGACGACTGCGTAAAGACAAGCTTCATAGGGACCCTACACATCATCTGGCCCAGAGATTTAGATACTATCGAGCACTTCTCCGTTGCCATCACGTCGTATCTACTCATATATACACAGAGATGCACCCCCCTAACACAATTAACCGACCAAGAGGAGGATAAGAAAAAAAAAGAAAAGAAAAAAAGGTTACTCCCAGATCCACGACTATATTCAACCACTCATCGCAGTATCCCGCCGATCACCTTGCTGCGGCCTCTTCGGTTTCCTAAAACACGCAAACTCCATCTTACTCGCCTCCCTCAACTTCTTCAACACGCTCCGCATCTCCGGCAACTCCCCCTGGAGCTTCGCCCTGGTGCTATCGTCCGTGCGGCTATCGAGTTCCTGGTACACCTGCCCCTGCAGCTCCGAGGCCCTGTCGGTGGTGTACTGGCTGAGCGTCTGGGCGATGAACTCAACGTCGAGGGTGGCCTGCATGAGCGCTTCGAGCGTGTATTTGTGCCGCGTGCGGTAGGTGTCGAGGAGCTCGCGGCTGATTTGCTCGAGGAGGAAGGAGAGGACCTGGGAGGTGAGGGAGGGGGCAGTAGTTGATACTTGCGAGTGGACGAGGACGAGACCGAGGAGAACCTCGTAGACGTAGGGTCTGGCCGCCGTGGGCTTGACGCCAGGGGGTGGGTTCCATTCAGGATCTGAGATGCCGGCCTTGATGATGCCACGGAAGCTTTCGACCGCTGGGCGGGTATATGTTTGGAAGAGCCGAGCATCAATCTGGCCCAGTACGTCCCGGATAGTCTTGGACTCATCCGTAAGTTTGACCGAGAAGGCATTCTCGAACTGGGTGTTGAGAGCCGGCACAACCTGAGACCGGAGGGCTTGAAGATTGCTAAGAGTCAAAAGCATGCGAACATTCTAGATCTCTAGGTTAGTACGAGTATAACTAGGAGAAGGGGGAGAGAATGCGTTGGGGAGGTTGACATACTCTATCACTCGGATCCAGTGTACCCTTGCCAGTTGTCATGGAGACTGTTGCAGCTGTTGCAGCAGCGCTGTCAACATCCGTAGTCCACTCATCATCGGCTTGCTTCAACGACCGCTCGGCATTCTCAACCATGCCGCTCAGCGCCTTATAGAGCGTGGTGACATATTGACTCCGGACCATCTGCAACAGCTTGGCTTGTGGTGGAAGGACGATAAACTCCGCGCCCGGCTTAGCCATCGCCTCTGAGATGTAGAGAATCTTCTGCATGCCAGCGAGTAGGGCGCCCTCGAAAGCGGCGAAACTGGCTGGCATGCGCGTCACATCACCGGTGTCACCCCTATGCCAATCTTCGACAAACTTGATATTCTCGGCGTCCTTGTTCCAGGCTGCGCAAAGAGCCGTTACTGACCTCTCTCTTGCCGCGCCAACCAAGGCCTTCAGTCTCTCGACCGCAGCTCCGTCCGCGCTTCCGAGGGGCTTAATAGTCGCGAACTCTGCAGCCCCTGCACCAATAAGGGCGAGCATCTTGGACAAGTAGTGCACGCCGCTGATTGAGTTAGACCATGGAGGCCAGAACGCAAACTTCTCCCAGGCCTCACCTCGTTTTGGTGACGGCGGTGGGAGATTGTTCGGATCTAGATTAAATCGCGGGTCGCGGGGCCCACCCGGTGATAGAGACCCGGACATCGAGGACAGGCCACCGGGAGTCTTTGGTGAGGGAGGCAGAGGAGAAAACAGCAGTGAAATGTCCTCGGGAGGAAGCCCCGCGAAAAAGGCGAAGATGTTGTCCCGAACGATATCGACCAGTTCAACGATGGCTTTCTCCAAAGATACCGTCCCCTCGGCAGATAGCCTGTGGAATTGCTTCGACTCGCCATTGTATCCAACCGGCAAGGTCTTCTGCGTAGTTCCACTAACAAAATCCCTCACCATATGCCAGAAGCCCACAATCTCTCCCAACAGACCCTGCTGCGAGAGCATTGTACTGACGAAGCTGAACATCTTCTCCCAAAGCTCAACAACGTCGCTAGAGTCGAGCGAGGATGGTCTATTATGGACAGGCTGGCGACTCATGGACCGTAAATAAGATGCAGTGACCTGTGGGCTCGGTTTATCCGAGCTCGCAAGCCGACGGCGTAGGATTTCAATCTCAACCTTGGCTCTATCCGCTGTGGCCTGTATCTTCCCCTTGAGGAAGTCGTAGCGGCTGAGGAGCCAGAGCCAGATGGGGTTGTCATCCACACCCAGCTCCAGGAGGAGAGAGATGAGCTCCATGTGCCGATCCTCAGGGTGTCCTGGCAAGTTGTCCGCCTTTGCGATCGTCTGGACGGACGTAAGGTTTCTCCAGACCTCTCGCTTAAACACTTGTATCTGCTCATCCACGTCATGCCACATACGGCAGGCGAGTATGAGCTGGTAAAGCTCTGAGTCAGTGGGCGTTGTGCTGCCCAATCGCTGAGCCAGGGCTCTGGCGTCATCGGCTATCCTCCTAGCGCGGTTATACTCCTCCACAAGACTTTCGTAATCCTTTCCTTTGATACTATCCGCGATAGCGGAGCTCAGTTCTGTGTAGTCCTTGAAGCGGTCGATGTTGCCCGCGATAGTCTTTAAACGCTCCTCCTTCTCGCGCCCGCCGAGCGCGGGACCCCACACGTCCTCGGCTTTGGCGGTGACATCTAGAAGCGGGGTCTTGATCCCTAGTACGCCATACTCGCTCTCCTTAACAAGGGCATTCCTCTTCCGCGGGTCGTTAACCGGTGAGACGAGGGGATTATTGACACCGCTGGCGCGAAAACTGTTCCTACTCTCGCGTCTTGAATGGCCACGTGGGCGACCCGTGGGTGGAGGTTCAGTGCCCCTATATTTCATCTCCTTGTACACATTGTCAATCGCGGCTTTGGCCTTGACGAAACGTTCGAAGTTGGTCTCAACAAGCACTTTAAGCGATGCTGATTTCTCGTCAATCGATCTCGTGAGCATGTTGAGGCCGTCTAGGAGCCTCTGACTGTCGGCCGTGGAGTGCACTTGCGAAAGGAACAGCGAGGGAGTAAACGTCGTGGAAGAAAGGAGGAATCGGTTTCCTGGAAACGGTCAGCTTCACCCTCTATCTTCAAGGGCTCGTGAGTGGAAACGCACGCAGCCGGGCATTCTCTTGGACTGGCAGACCCAACTGCCGCAAGGTCCTTACAAGGCTATCCGTTGTTCCTAAGGGATCAGGCTCGTCCTTCTGCACCAAGGCACCTCCACCCCCACCTGCGCCTTTGCTTGTGGATTCCGCTCCGATTAAGCTTCGTCGGGTTGTCGTCCGTTCCAGCGCTTGGTATCTCGACTTCCGTCTCTGCATCTTCTTCTTGACTTCATCTTCGCTATCGGACGCATCGCTGTTGTTTTCCTCGGGCCATTCGGTCGGGTAAAGCGTCTGCAACCGGTAGAACTCGAGAATCGCTCGTTCGTCCATGTTGTCGAGGGTTGGGTCACCGCGACCCAAATGCGACTCGTGGAAATGTCAACCGAGATGCCGTGTTATTGATAGTATGAGGATTTCGGCGGCGCAAGGGCGAACGCCATTACGCTTCCGTCGAGAATCCTGTATCTGGTCGAGATCCGATGGTATCTCACTGGGCTTGGTGGTCACACTCCTTCATCGAAGACTACGAAGGGAGAGCTCCGTCGCAGGTCCCTGAAGCAGCTAATTACGTGGTACCTCACGCCTGAAACATGGAGTGTTCGGTATTTCCTCGGAAAATCCCGACAATAGGAGCTTCTAAGCCAACAGCAACAATTCACAATATTTTGATGGTTTTGGTTGAAGCAGTTGCCCACGCGATCGAAATAGAAATTGGACGTCATATTCAAGAACCCGACTCGAACGCTCCGAATACCGCGACCCACGACCCGAGACGCCCCTCATCATCGCCTCATCCCCCGCCCGACTCCTTTCCCTAAACGCAGGTAACGATAACTCGCCAAGATGAGGTTGACCGCCGACCTCATCAAGGATTCCCTCTCCTACCTCAACCCACTCAAAGAGCGAGAGCTGGATCTTCGAGGTGCGTTTTTGAAAAGAGCAGATTGCTACACTTAGATCATAGAGCAGAGTTGATAGCGATTATTTTCGCATACGAATAGGCCACCGAATCCCTGCTATTGAGAATTTGGGAGCTGCGGGGGTGAGTTTCTGCCCCTCCATCCGCATACCCACACAGAATGGCTACTTACGAAGGCGCGGGCCAGCCCCATGATTCCATAGATTTCACAGACAACGACATCCAGGTGCTGGGGAACTTCCCCCTGTCACCTAGGATAACGACTTTACTGCTCGCGAGAAATAGGGTATCAAGCATTCAGCCTTCCATCGCAAGCTCGATCCCCAATCTACAGAACCTCGTGCTCGCTTCCAATAATTTCGCCGAACTAGCGGACATAGATGTGCTAGGGACCTTCAAGCGGCTCACACACTTGGTCCTCAAGGATAACCCTGTCGCGAAGAAAGAGGTGCGCTTGCTCCCCGACTCCCCTGGCCCTGGGTGATGTAGGCGAAGTTAACTGACGGCTGTATGTGTTCTCAGCACTACCGGTATTGGGTTATCTGGAGGTGTCCTACAGTCCGCTTCTTGGACTACCAGAAGGTGAAGGATGCGGAGCGGCAACACGCGAAGAAGTTGTTTGGAACGGAAGAGAAGCCAACATCTCTGGCGACGGAGATTATGGGGGTCAAGTCCAGTGGTCTCGGCGCGGCTGTCACAGACGGAGTTGCAGACACTTCGAAGCTCTCCAGGATAAAACTCACGGACAAGGAGAAGAAGCGGCTGCAGGAGATGATCAGGAAAGCGTCAAGTCTCGAAGAGATTATCCGGCTCGAAAAGATGTTGAACGAAGGTCGGCTACCGCCGGGATTTCACACAGATCCCGATGCAATGGAGGAGTGATGATGCTTTTTGTTATACGACATGGAGAAAAGGCAATGTAAGGGCGAAGAAAATAAAAAAGGTTCAAAAGGATGTAGGCGTAAAGGCTCATACATACCCCAAAGATTTCATAAAAGAATTATTGGCGCTGTGAAACCAGTCCAAGCACTCGAGGCGTCAATATATCTCTCTCTCCAAAATCCATCCAAGACGCATCATAACTGTGTCATTAATTATTACGTGAAGGTCGAAGTAGCTCCGCGAAGGGTCCCTAGTCCCTCATTAGCACGTCCTCACCCGCCGCTTGACTCGCTTCCCATTCCAGTTGCGCATTGGCGTCTTCAGACTGTTCATCTGTGGCCCTGCTGACATTCATCACCCTTGCGCCGTTGACTTGGAGCTTTTGCTTCTTTCCGTTGGATAGGGGCTTGTCCTCAAGCCCTAACTCCGAATTCAACTTAGCCCTGGTCTCCTGTGCCTTTTGCCTAATAGACTTGTACGTGTGAGTCTTGGGAACGACATCTTCGAGGAACTCGAGATTGTCATTCGCCGCCACGGCATTGGCTGTTACCGACGTTAGTCTGGCGCGAAGCCCGTCTAAGGTATCGGTGTAATGAGGACTAACCAATGTCCTTATACTGGATGTTCTTCCTTGGTTTGCTGTCTAGCTTCGTGGCGTCGTGAGCTGCACTTGCCAGGTGCTGGACAAACATCTCCTATGAAGTCCTCGTTAGCTATGGCGGGGGAGCCTCAGAGATAGAATCAGACTCACGGCTGCGAGGGTGATGACAAAGGCAGCATTGTTAGAACATATCGCAATGTCTGGATCTGTTCCAATAATCTTCTTGACCCTCGATACTATGGTGGTGTTAGTATTCGAAAGCGCGCTTCTGTGATGGCCTCGTCAACTTACATGGCAGTTGAGTTTGTCCTGTGGCCTCCGCTTCCTTCCGTGGAGGAATGGCCGTGGTGTTGTAAGGCATGCTCTCCGTGAGATGATGTCGGGGGCTAGATTCTAGGAGGGGGAAGCTAACCTACGATGTGTAGGATTTAGCAGATTGATAGATATTTTCCTAACTAGGAGATTTCAAGCTCAAGCCAACGGGTGATGGTGAGGTTGACCAGAAGGACAGGACGCGCTAAGAAATCCCAGGCGCGTTAAGTGCAGGTTTTCGTGGTGAACTTAGAAGTGGGCTTGAGCTTCAATTGTTCAGGTTATTATTCATCCGCCAGGTCAGGCCTTGGAGCAGCCTGGGAACAAAGCGTTAAGCAATGATGGTGGGGGCGTATCAGTTGGGTTGGACTAAGTTTTGGGGGAGAACAGTGCGCAACTGCCGCTGTGGCTTGGGGGTCGCAGGCACTAATCGCACTTATCGACCGTGCTGGGACCAGGATTGATCAGTCTCGACTTTGTTAGACCAAGACTTGGACAAAGTGCATGACCCACCTGCAAGCTGCAAGAGGACAGCTCAAAACGTCAGCCTAATTCGTCCAGCCGCGTCAATTGATCCTCGCCTTCGTCTTGCTTCGATTCGAGGCATCGGAGTGGAATAACCCATCTCATAGCTTGATTACGACCACGCCCGCGACTTAAGACAATCCCTCGACTTGAATCCGTTCCGAGCGTTCTTTTCCTTCGACTCGCAAATCCTTCGAAATCCTCGCGCAGAATGGTTCGCCTTCCGATATAATGAGCTCTCCATCAACATCATTCTCGTCTACGCTTCCGCGGCTTGCCGTGCGACGGCCATCCGTGTCGAGCAGATTATCACATGCCGTGTCTAGCGCAGAAAGGGGACAGGTGGATCATACCGATACCGGTGAACAACCGGTCGAGGAGGAAATAGCAGAGATCAAGAGATATGAGGTAAGCGATCGCCAACATCAAGATCCTTCCGTGCATTGTGTCGGCGTCGAATCTTTGCTAATGGTTCTTCAGGACTTCACCACGATAGGTATGCGACCGCGAAGCTCTGTTTACGAATCCGATTAGACCCGAAAATGCTAAAGAAAATATGGGAGATAGACTGGGTGCAAGACGCAGCGCGCGAGCAAGCCAGACGAAGAGCGAAGCGGCGACAGGTAGCCGGACTCTACGACCATGGCCCTCCGGGGTTAAAGCAGCGGTTATGGGTTACCTACGATGCGATACAGGGTTGGATAGTAATCACCCTGATCGGTATCGCCATAGGCCTCAACGCAGCTTTCCTTAGTATAGTAACGGAGTGGCTCGCCGACTTCAGGCTTGGCTACTGCAAATCGGGTTTCTATCTCAACGAGAGCTTTTGCTGTTGGGGGGAGAATAGAGGATGTGCCGACTGGCACAGATGGAGCTTCGAACCCCTAAACTACATTTTTTATATCCTGTTTTCTGTCCGTTATTGCCTGAAAACCCGCCCTCCAACTTGATTGTGTGCTAATCAAGACCATATGCAGGGCGGTTTCGCATTCACGGCCGCAACCCTTGTTAAGTCGTTCGCGCCGTATGCCGCCGGATCGGGGATTTCCGAGATCAAGGTTATCATTGCGGGCTTCGTCATGAAAGGCTTCCTCGGATTCTGGACACTCATCATCAAATCAATCACTCTGCCCCTAACCATCGGCTCTGGTATATCGGTAGGAAAAGAAGGGCCCAGCGTTCACTACGCCGTGTGTACCGGCAGCGTCATTTCCAGACTGTTCAACAAGTACAAGCGCAATGCGTCCAGCTATCGCGAGATTCTCTGCGCCTGTGCTGCGGCTGGGGTGGCAGTCGCTTTCGGCAGCCCTATCGGAGGTGTCATATTCTCCCTTGAAGAGATGTCGGGCTATTTCCCCCTCAAGACCATATGGCGAAGCTACTTTTGTGCCCTGGTGGCTACGGCGATCCTAGCAGCAGTGAACCCCTTCAGAACCGGCCAACTTGTCATGTTCCAAGTCACGTACGACAGGTCGTGGCATTTCTTCGAAATCTTTTTCTTCATCATCCTCGGCATTTTCGGAGGTCTCTACGGCGCGTTCGTCATCAAATGGAACCTCCGCGCCCAGGCATTTCGAAAGAAGTACTTGGTTAAGTACGCTATTCTCGAGGTTTCTCTGTTGGCTATGGGCACTGCTATTCTTTGCTATCCGAATCCCTTCGTCCGGATTGACATGACCGAGAGCATGGAAATCCTCTTCTCTGAATGTGAGGGAGAGGACTACCACGGCCTTTGTGATCCGAACCAACGATTCCTGAACGTTATGTCGCTTGTCATCGCGACTCTTCTTCGCATCTTTTTGACCATTGTATCATATGGCGCCAGAATTCCCTGTGGCATTTTCGTACCATCCATGGCCATCGGCGCGCTGTTTGGGAGGACCGTGGGAATCATCGTGGAGGGAATGCAACAGGCAAACCCTTCAAGCGTTTTCTTCGCGGCCTGTAAGCCGGATGAGCCATGCATCACGCCTGGTGCCTATGCTCTTCTCGGCGCGGCTGCAGCCCTTGGCGGTATCATGCACATCACTGTGTCCGTGGTGGTTATCATGTTTGAGCTGACAGGTGCCCTGACTTACATTCTGCCCACCATGATTGTTGTGGGTGTTACCAAAGCCGTTTCCGAGCGCTTCGGTAAGGCAGGCATTGCCGACCAAGCCATCTGGGCTAGTGGCATGCCGTACCTGGACAGCAAAGAGGAACACAACTTTGGCGTGCCCGTGTCTCGCGCCATGACTGAGACGATCGTCTCACTCCCCGCCACGGGCTTGACGCTCGGGGATGTCGAGCAGATTCTCGCCGATGGCAGGTATCAAGGGTTCCCCATTGTGCAGGATGACCACTCCAAGACTTTAGTAGGCTACATTGGCCGCACCGAACTTCGATACGCCATCGACAAGGCCAAGAGAGAGCGCCGCCTCGAGCCGAGTGCGCGTTGCGTATTCTCTACCACCTCACCGCGTTACGCGGTCGGTCCCACTACCCCAACGGTCATGGTTAGCACCGACTCCACCACCTCGTCCACTTCCATATCCTTCGGTCGCTACGTCGACGCCACGCCCGTAACCGTACATCCCCGCTTGCCCCTCGAGACCGTCATGGAGCTTTTCCGCAAGATCGGCCCGCGGGTCATCCTCGTCGAGTACCACGGGAAACTCACCGGCCTTATAACGGTCAAAGACTGTCTCAAGTATCAGTTCAAGGCCGAGGCGGCGGAACACCCACGCGACGACCACGAGCTCCAGGAGAGCCACGAGCGGCTTTGGCAGCTCTTGCTAAAGGCTGCGGAATGGGTGTCGGATAAGGTGTCGGTTGCCTCTAGGGGAAGGATCCGCTTGGGACATTCGACTGATGATAGGGCGAGGGGTGGGCAGATTATGGATGGCGATGAGGAGCTGGTGGATGACGATGGTTTAGAATTGGATAGCCGGTCATGATGAGGCGGGACATTCCTAGAATGCCCTGCGATTGCTTGCTGGTTTTGCATATTTGTGTATACGTATTCTGGGGATACTGGGCGTTTAGCGGAGTTATTTAGCAGCGTGAACAGCGGCTAGTTAGGAAATAGGTTACAAAGCGTCTTTTTATTCTCAGACCGACGGTATAGAGGTTTCGACAAATTGCATATCATATTTCTACCAGTCTATATGTTCCAACATGGCTTCTTTCACCTCTCTCCATCACCATCACCGGACAAGATACCACCAGTAGAATCCTCCCCACTAGCTTCGGGCTCTTCTCCCTTGCCATCTGATGCCGACGACGAGTTGTTTTCGGCCCGGCCAAGGATAACATTACCCGCCACCAACAGCGCCGCACCAGCCCACCACAAAGGCGGAAGCGCCTCAGAGAAAACAGCAAAGCCAAGGATGGCCGTGACCATAAAGTTAGTAGATGTGTTCATGATGGAGACCTGGGTCGTCGAGTTGCCCTTGGCGAGAGCGGACGTGTACAGGGACCACATGACGCCGTTGAATGCTAGGTTTAGTCCGAAGAACATCTGGAAAGTTGTTCTCTAGTTTTAGTAATGGGGACTCATATGTAGCATAAGCACATGAATTGAGGAGTTGGGACGTACGCATCGAATCACGAGCTCGACTACATTGAGGCGAGATGTGAGGCCCAGAGCATGCGCGATATGAACCGCAAGACTGGAGGTTAACTCCGTCGTCGTCCTATACCCTTCTTTAGTATTTTAAAGAGAATAATGGTACTTATATACAAAAATATAAAAATCAAAATGAAATGAACACCTTGAAAGATGCAGGGATTTCGGTGAAATAAAAAGTCCATAAAAATCTTACAGCTTCGCGAACATGCCGTTGAAGGCTGCACATGCGCCACTAGCAATAGCTAAGAGGATCCAGCGGCTCGCCGGACTTGGTGCCTTCTCCTCAGGCTTCCTGGGGAGCAGCGGCTGCTGTTCTCCGGCATCGCGCTGGGTCATTTTATTCGGCTGTACGTTCGCTTTGGCAGGAGCTGGCGATGGCGAGGATGGGCGCGGAGGATTGCGCCGGCGGACCATGTTTACGGGATGGAGTTTAGAACGCGGGAGTGTGTGTATGTATTATCAGATTGATGTTATCAACGTGAGTGACGTTTGTCTCGGCTGCGGCGGGTTGATGTTGGCGGAGTGGTTTGCCAATAGGGGCGCGGCCCTGGTGGATCCTGCCACTGCGGTAACCACATCTGCGTACAATGAACATTGAACAATGGCCGCTATACAGAGCCTCAATGATGAAACATGGGGGCGGAAAACACTCTCATTCCATTATCAAAGAGTCTTTTTCCAGTCCGACGACACATTTCATTTCACTAGGAACGTAGTCATTCATAGTGGCGGAAAGTCGAAAACGGAAATGCCAGCACTGGCGGGTATCACTGCGACTGCTGGAATTTCGATGGAGGTGTCGAGCATGTTGTTTTCTGATTCCTCCAATCCGCTCCAGTACATAATCCTAATCCTGTTCCGGTTCTACAACTCCTTCAACTTGTCCCAATTCGCAGATGTACTTCAGCCAGATCAATAAGACACTTGCTACTACTCGAATCTCGGTCGGCAAGGCTACCTTCATCCTAAATGCGCCCGTTTATTCGGCCGAAATTTTGACGCGATAGCCTTTCGCTTCCTCCCCCTGACTCCAGATCGAGAATAGAAGTATGCCGACTCCTTTCTATGGCAGATTAGGTCTACCAAGATTGATCCTGTGACCCCTGGAAACGACCTTTCGATTTGGGAAACGAGGCTTTCCATACTCACTCCAACCTTAACCCCATTACATATTAATCTCTGTAAGACCTCTGCGACGAACTGGGATCGCCTCTGTTCTCGTGGCTGATTCGCCAAATCGCATAGCTCGTCGGGTATGACCCCCAATATCTCGTCTAACTGGAGTCTGACGTCCGACGCGTCTCCCAGAAGGAACTGGTCCAACACAGTAACGCACTGGCGGCCGAACTTGTAGCTTTCCCGGTTGCGAATCATGCCTACGACAACGTGGGTGCAAGGGAGCCAGCCCGATTCCTTGAGCCGGGCTTCTTTGCGAGCGCCGTGTTGAAGGAATATCGAGAAGAGTGAGTTTTCGACCGCAGTCCTCAACGAGACGTCATCTCGGTTGTGATACACTCGATGCAGTAACCGGTGCCACGGGGAGAGAGAGCCGGCGTCGGTGTCGTCGTCCTCACTATCAATACCATCGTAGCTACTAAGCATGTCTACGCGTTCTTTCCCAATCCCGCTTGCTGCTTCGTCGGGATTTTCACCACCATCGTCACCAAGAACCTGCCCGCCACCGGCTAGTAATAAGGGATCTTCTTCTTCCTTGATTTCGTCATCGGAAGATTGAAAATCGTAAAGTTTGTAGGGATCGTAGTCCTGATTGATGTCACAGTCCAGATCAGAGGCCAGAAGGCTGGTAATGATATTGGCGTGATGGGCGTCCCACCTCGCGCGGTCGATGATCTCGCAGATTGGAGAACCCTCGAGATTTCCAAAGAGCCACACGTCGTCATCCAACCTCGCACAAACGTACTCTTCGACACCTGCTATGAGGAGTGAAGAGAGAAAGGCGTGGTGTGTCTCGACACCTAGGGCCGTGCGGTCGTTGGGGAAAGGAAAGCTCATATAATGATCATTGACGGCATCAAGCAAGGCAAAAGAGGCTTCTTTAGATTCTTTAATAGCGTCATTAGCATATGCCATTGCCTGGTTCCAGTTCCATCGTGGAAATTCGGCCGTCAGACGCGTCTCCTCGTTCGAGTGAGACCAAAACCGGAACAGAAAAATAAAAGCCCTGAGGGTCGATAGGCTGACTCGGAAATCGGAACCACTCTTTTGACGTAGATACTCGCTCATGTCGCGCGTTAGGAGAAAGTCCCTCACCGTGCGGTGCAGAAATTCAACTCGATGGTCCTTAACTTCGAGGAGGCCGCCGCATCGCGCATTAATCCGGCGCCGGCACTGCTCGAGGGAGTCTTCTATCTGATCAACGAAATACCACTCAACTGGCTTGTGCAAGGCATAGTCTACATCTTCTTCCTCGAACTCGTGCATGTAGTAGAACTGGAGACTCAACGACTCCTTGGCGTTTACGGCAATGCTCAGGACTCGCGCCATCCTCTCATGGTAGATCGGGTCAATAGTGTCCATCATGTGTCTGAAGAAGGCTTCAAGATCCATTGGCAGGCTCTCGAGCCTCTTCTGCAAATCGAGCATTGTGTCTCCATTCACAAGCCCGTCTCGAAGCGACCGCGTCACCAGGAATACCCACAAAAACACACCCCGTGCCCTCTCGGTGATGTTCTGAATGATGCCGTCCATCTGAGCGGCAGAAAAGTACGGTTCCTTCCACCGGGGGTGTTCCGCCATGCGACTCTGCGCGAAGGCCAAAATATCTCGTCGCGTGAGGTCGTGGACGCATACTTTTCGGGACGACGGATTTCCACCAAAGGCATCCTCAAAGACGTTCCACGGCCGGCTAGAGACGCAAAACTTAAAATTCGGTGAACTGGACAAACTCTTCAGGAACTCGCACATTTCGAAATGATCCCCGTCGAACTCGTCAATGCCGTCGATAATTATGCAGTATCGCGCTGACAGGGACCGGCTAGACGAAAGCTGCTGCAGCGTGTGTAGGAGTTCGGGCATGGTCCACTCTCCCCCTGCATCCGCTGTTTCTGTAGTAGACTGCTGCTCCAGCTTCGCCCATCGGGTAGGCATCAGTTCAGGAATCTGCTCTGGAGACATGCGAAATATATCGTAAAGCAGAGTCTGGATGAGTCCCTGTTGAGAATTTTGCATGGCCGAACCTGCCGTCCAGAAATAGTGGGCTGCAATGACGCTCTTCTTAGGGCTCGCCCATTGCTCAAGAAGCTGACGAGTCGTATCGTGGCCGGCTATCATTTTCATGAGTGTCGACTTGCCGCACCCGGCCTTTCCAGATATCCAGAATATTCCATTCTCATGACGGAGCCACCGACATAGAGAATGGCGACGTTGAGCCTCAACGTCATCCACTTGCGATGACGTGGACAGTGGCGACGAGGGCAGAGAGGGGTCTATAATCCATTGGAATGTGTCCTTGTGCGCAATTGGGATATCCTCAAAACGATTAGTTCGAGATGCGAAATTTAGGCTTCTCAGGAAGGCCTGCTCTTTCGCCATGAGGGCTAAATCCTTCTGAGTTAGCAGTAGAGTTGAAATCCCATCCTCTAGTTGCTTGATATCATTTTCGGTGAGGGAAGGGCCGTGAGGAGTGGACAGAGGCAAAACCGAGTCATCTAGGAGATTGCCGGTGTCGGAGGGCAATGCCGTACTGCCAGTGGAGGTTCGAGTAAAGGGGACTGAGGGGGTGCGTTTCATTGCTGTTGGTGGTCTCCATCGAAGCTCCTGCTGCAGGGCTTGGAGTCTTTCAGCAAGGGCATCAAGTTTTGTAGACTGGTCCACCCTCAGTTTGGCGCCTTCATCCCTCAATCTATTTAGTGTCTGCAAAGTGGCCAACTGCTGGAAACTAGAAGCATCAAGAGTTGAGTGGAGTTCCAATGTACTAGAAGGAAATCCGGGATAGAGTAGGAGAGCAGGAAACACTCAGGGGGAGTTGTACCTTAGAAGTGGGAAGAAGTGAAGGGATATGACGCTTTGAAACCGTCGAAGGGTATCTTCAAGCGCTTGTATCCTCTTGCTGCTCCAGGCGGTTTTCAACGCAGCCATGAACGACTTGAACGGGCGGCGGCTCGACCCATCAACACGAAGAGCCCGCAGGACATCCAGCAATTGGCCGCAGACGAGCTTACAATCATCAGCTAGGTCTTCGAGCGATCGAATGTGTGTCTGCAGCTCCAGATCGGATTCCTGGCTGACACTGCTTAGGCTAGCGGCCAAGCGTTGCAAATACGTATCTGAACAAGCATCACTCTTGGGCTTCCGGAGCTCCGAGGTAAACACGCTGAGCCTGGTATATATCTTTTCCAACTCGATAATTTGACGCGTCGCGCCTTGGAGCGAGTCGGAGATTTCAACACCCGCCGATATTAACGTGGTCGCGAATTGAACAAACTGGACGACGTTGCCGGCAAGACCGAGACCGGCGAGTGCCTCCATTTGAAAATAGGCAGAGGCAGTCAAGTTCAGGCATGATCTTTCTCGATGGTCTCTGGAGCATGAAGGAGAAGGCTAATTGTATGAGGTAGTGTAATCGCAGGTGCCTAGTATTGGAACTGTTGCTGGAACGAGCTCATCCCTCGGGAGAGGTTCGGTAAAACCCGGCCAGAAAACTGGCCAATCAGGGCCTTTTGCCTAGGAAAAAGAACATCACAGCACAAAATGCGACATCTTTGGAGAGCAGGAGTGAGACGACCGGAGTGCGTTTCAATTGTACATTCTAAGGTCTAAAGTGTCACATGCGAGCAGAGCTGCAAATGAGGAAAAAAATATAAACAAACCAAACTAATGAACCCTTTACCCTTTCGCTGAGCCTGAACGCCGAACCCTAATGCCGAGTGTTGCTGTACTTGAACGGAATAAGAAACCAACGTTGCCCAAACTTAGTCGATATGCCTCCGGCGTTTGACTAACATCGCCCTAAAATCAACCGTTGTGAGGGTCGCCTCAACGTGTCGTGCCCTCTAGGTCTCCCCAGGCTTCTTGGCGTTGCAGCTGACAATCTTGACCTTGTCGGCCTGGACGGCAACGCTGGATCCATCCATCTTGAATTGAACGTTTCGAATGAGGAAAGTCCATACTTCGTCGCAGAATCTGTACGTGTCGAGGCTTCCCTGCAAATTGGCACAAAGGAGTATGAGTATAACGACGAATCACACAGCCAAAAGAGAGTATGCAGCCAAGCCAACTGACCTTGAAACTCAGGCGTGCCTTGACGTTCTTTTGCAGCGCCTCGGTGATGGCCTGGTCAAAGTTACCCAGGATCTTCATAGCCAGCTGAGGGTTGATCCGCTCGTCACTGATGAGATCATCAAGGGTATCTGTCAGAGCCATGCCGATACTGCATTTTAATTTCCCCCAAAAGTTAGCACTAGTTTTACGATAGGTGTAGCACAAAAAATTGATACAGGGCGACGAGCTCGCTCGAGGCCAAGTGGTTGTGGCGACGAGGCTAGCCAAAGGCTTGCAGCTGACCGTACCTGCTACGGCGATAGAGCTCGTAGAACGACTGGCCGCCCGTTGCCATTTTGGCTCTGTCTCTTTTAAGTAGATTTCTCTTAAAAAACAATGCTTGTGCGTTGTTCACAAGTTATAATACCGCCGTCGCGATCGTCGAATGAAGTGGTGGTAAGTGGTGTTCGTGGGGTATGGGGAATCGGGTATTTATATGATTTGGAAAGGGGGAGAGTTGAGGGTGGGGGTGTTCAGGCAGGCGGCGTTCAAGACGATTTCCCTCCATGGCTGCTGACTGTTTTCTGTCACGTGATAATTTAGGCTACCTTTTAAGTACAATTGTACTCAATGCACAGTGTCGTACCTTCCTGCTTCCGTAATCTCGAAGGGAAGGGAATTCGTGTTAAAGCTCTCTCGATCAGCCAGCTTCGCGAATCAACGAACAAGCTGCTCGAGCCCCCCCCGGCGACGCAAGACGAAACCCCATCCGAACGAAGCCAACCGAATTTAATCCTCTCGAGGCCGGACCGGATATTTCTGCGCAACTGGAGGCCAGCAGCACGATGGGTCTATCATATTATGGCTCCGGGGTCTTAGCCTTCGCCCTGTTGGTGGTTGGAGCTTGTAGGCCGTCCAGCTCCTGGTTTGATGAATCGCCTGAGGACGAACACTAACGCGCTTTTGCTCCCTAGATATGCTCTTCACCGGTAGCGGCGAATCCTTCAGCCCCGGCAACTTTATAGAATCCGTATCTCCTCTGGCGTGGGCGAGTACGGGTGTAGCTCTTTGCATGGGTCTCTCCGTCGTCGGAGCTGCTTGGTGAGTTTGGACTTCAAATGAGAAGCAGGCATTTCCTTTAATCCGCGCCTCTAATCCCGGTGGGAACTTCGTACGACTGACATTTCTGGTTCCTCGTGAAGGGGTATCTTTATCACAGGATCGTCGATCCTCGGCGCCGGCGTGAAAGCTCCCCGAATTCGAACCAAGAACCTCATTTCCATCATCTTCTGCGAAGTCGTCGCCATCTACGGCCTCATCATGTCCATCGTCTTCACGGCAAAGATTAACGCTCTCGACGGAGAGGGGATGGATTCTCCGAATACCGCGTTTGTTGCGTATGGCATCTTCTGGGGTGGTATCACCGTGGGCATGTGTAACCTCGTTTGCGGCGTGTCTGTCGGTATCAACGGCAGCGGTGCTGCCCTTGCCGATGCGGCTGATGCCTCGCTGTATGTTGACATAAGAGCCACCTTTCTCCCCTCAGTCTCTGGATAGCTGTTCTAACACATCCCCCTTCAGCTTCGTCAAGATTCTTGTCGTCGAGATTTTCAGCTCCGTCCTCGGTCTCTTCGGTCTCATCGTTGGGCTTCTGGTTTCCGGTAAGGCCGGCGACTTCGGCCAGAAGGCGTGAAAGAAGATATAGCATCAGAGCTATACAGCGATATTGGGAAACTAAAAACGAAATGGCCTGGGGGCGACAAATCTGGATCCACCGGATACGTACGGGTTTTTAATCAGCATTTCTGTGGCAGCAACTATTTTATCATTTGGACTGGCGTTTGGGAAAGAATGGGCAAATACGGAAAGAGCTCATCGCGTGTCCTCACTACGTGTACCAGTATCGATTATCATGGTTTCGAGGCGGCGGGTGTATATAATAGCTATCCAACCCCGCGTTGATCCGGAGAGCAAGTGGCCTTGTCTTGTCTCCGAAGAAAGGGGCGGCATGGCATATTCAGCATCTTTATGAAGAGCTAATCCAGAACGAGGATTTGGAAAATCGTGTCAAGTGACTCTGTACCAGGCATTAAAACTTTACTGTCTAGCTTAAGAAGACCGACAAACTCCCGCCAGGCCCCCTACTGATAATGGAGCTCACTTAAGATGGCTGGATAGGGGCAATGAGAAGCGCCTGAACAGTATTTCCCTTCTTCATCGACCCTTCACCCTTCGGCATACATAACAGTGCATTGGCCGTCTTCAAGCTCCCCACCTTTGAACTCCGCTGTCCACCCGTGCTGCTAGCTGACAGCCTACCGTCGTGGCCGACCGAGATGCAAGCGCGGTGATATTCCGGACGACCCTTGTCGAGAGGGAAATCATGCGAAAGAGTGACGGGCACACTCGGAACGCCGGCAGGCGATTCCCCTGAAAGGTGATGGAGCGACGGCAGAACGAAGAGATGGAATGTGACGAGCGCCGACGCGGGGTTACCCGGAAGGGAGAAGATTGGTTTGACTATTCTCTCGCCAGAGTTCGTCTTCACGGGCACGGTAGCGAAGGTGGTTGGTTTGCCGGGCTTCATGTTGACCCTACCGAAGTGGATTGTTCCGCCGAGGGCACGTTCGATCGTCGGCTTGAGAAGGTCGAGCTCGCCCATGGAGACGCCACCCGTGGTTATGATCATGTCAACGCGTCGCAGGCCGTCTCGGAGAGTTTGTTCGAGAGTGCCTGGTTTGTCGCGGGCGATTCCAAGGTCAATCGCTTCGAATCCCCACTGGCGAACTGCTGACATCAGCGTGATGCGGTTTGTATCCCGCACCTCGCCGAGGCGGAGATCTCCTGGCCTATCGTGCTCCACAATCTCGTCGCCTGTAGATAGCACGCCCACAATGGGGCGACGATAGGTCTTGACTTCCGCTACACCGACCGCGGCAAGGAGACCAAGCTCTCCGCCAACGCCAGATACCTTCTCGCCTTTAGAGAGGATCTTTGCGCCTTGTTTGATATCACTACCCACTTCCCTAATGTTCTCCCCTTCCTTTACTCCCTCGGCAAGTATCTCAACTTCTTCCTCCTCCGTCCCGTCATCAGTCATGCTCTTGAGAACAGTGTCTTCGACCATGATTACGCTAGTGGCTCCGATAGGAAGAGGGGCCCCAGTGGTAATTCTAGCGATCTCTCCCTCTTTGAGAGGTTTCTCTTCGCCGGGTGCAGCATGCGAGACCGCCGTAACGGGGTAGATGCCCTTCATATTTCCGTCGGACGGTACAACGACAGCATACCCATCGACAATACTTGCGCGGAACGCGGGAACATTCTCTCGAGCGATGACATCCTCTGCCAGGACGGAGCCAACAAGCCCAACGCCTACTTTGGTTACCACGACGTCGGGGCGCGGGGTATGCTCCTCTATCAGGGCGAGGGCCTCCGAAACGTCTAGCATCGGGTACGGAGAAGCTCTCTGCCGACGGCTCGGTCCCAGGCTTGGGTCGTTTGACATGGGGTTGGCTCCCGGTTTAGTATGTCTTACGAGCCCGCCATGCCCGTGCCCGTGCCCGTGACCATGTCCATGGGAGTGTGAACACCCATGGTGGTGATGCTGATGGGGTGAGGGGCCGCCTTGCGTAGATATCCCGGCGTCCGCCTCTAATTTCTTAACTCCACCGGCATGTAGAGTCCTCGAATTGGCGCCTGACGCTTGAAGACAGGCATGGGGCAACGTTTTGATAATAGCCTCTAAGTTTTCCCTTGCACCTTTTGGTGATCCGGGGAGAGTCACGATGATAGTGTCGTTTCTAACACCAGCAACCGGTCTTGACATCATAGCAACTACGTAGCCGATGAGAACACTAGGTATCCTGTTACACATTGCAGGGAATTGACTTACATGGAGTGACTGCCAGGGAGCTACTCAACATAGCGTGCACTAAACCAGGTGCTGGCCTGTGCAGGACAGCAGCAACGGCCTGCAGATCAACGGTTAACTTAGTTCTATCAAGGCAACAAGATGGAGTATGGGCCGGTACTTGTTGTACACAGCTCCATTCGCACACTGGTTCCGCCATACCTCGGGTGTATCATCGCCCTGCGCAAATCCAGTGCCACCAGTGGTAACAATGAGGTTCACCTTCTCAGGCCCATCACTCCAGGACGTGAGCTGGCGCTGTATCTGAGTTGTTACATCTGGGACAATGGCCGTCTTAACAACCTGCCATTTTCCTTCCTCCGAATCGAAAACATTCCTCAGTACTGATTCGGAGGCATCGGCGGACGGATCCTTGGCGGCAGTCGTGGAGACTATCAGAATAGCAGCCCGAAGCGGAGTGGAGCTCATTATAAATGCAGGGTTAGAATTACTACTTGTAAGGGTGAGATGCTCTATAATCTGGGCTTTTGGAATAGAGACGACAAGAATTTGCACCCTCGACAGCACTATCGCCAGTTCGTCTCCGACTGGTAGGAGTGTAACTGTGGGGATGTAAATGGATGGTTCTGTTCGTCATGGTGACGCCTCCAGAAGCTCCCCAGATCAAATTGATTGATTGATTGGTTCGAGCTCGGCCAGCTGTGGTGGTGGGTTTGACTTGACCTTGAGCGGTGTTTCACTGACCACCCTCACTAAATTTGGCGCTATTAACTACTAAACCGGATGCTTGTTAGTGCTGAGAAGGTCGCAAGCTACTAGAATTACAAGGCGAACTAGGCCGCAGAAACTGTTCTGATCAAGCCGCTTCATTGCATTATCCATCAATTATAGACTCATCAATCGCAAAAATCTTCAAGGCTGGGACACCCTAACCCATTCTCTACATTCACCTCACGACTCCGTTAAGATGGTTCGAACAAAAGAAAGATATCTCCTGGTAAACATTCTTTACCCTCCGGATCCCTCAAAACCAGTCCCGCCGAACGTACCAGCTTACGTCGCGCTTCACCGGCCAACAGTTGACGAACTTCATGCCCACTCACTCGCGCGTGGCATAAAGAATGCGGTCGCCTCACTCTTCGGGGACTACGGCTCTGGCGCCATGGAAAGCAACCTCTCTGGTAAGGAAATTTTCCGATTTGTCGGCCTACATATCGACTCATCGGCACTGCTTTACTAACCCTTTGAAACAGTGAAATATCTATCTCGCGCGACGTCAACTTTCATCGTCAAGACATCGCGTGCTCACTACCGTATGGTCTGGGCTGCTCTCACATTTATGAACCGCATTCCCATCCCCGAGGGCTCCAGTTGCATATTCAGGGTCGTTCGTGTGAGCGGCACCATCCGCAAGGCCGAGCAGGAGGCTGTGCGACGCGCGAGGCAGTTCATCTTAGCAGCCAAGGAGGATGCAGCGTCCGGTAGTTCGGGCTCCCTCGTCTCCCTTCTTGGAAAACCCGGCAAGGATGGGGTTGACGCCATGGCGGATGAGGTTATGGATGAATCCCTTAGTGGATCGGATGGTGAGGCTGAATGAGGACTCACAACAACGAGTTTTGAAATCACCTCACCACCTTTGGCTAAGGCCTCATCAGTGGTCGAAATGTCTTTCGGAATCTTGGACGGATTTTGCATGGTCATAACACGCTGATTCTCTGTTACACGAGGCCCGCGTGTTTGGCTATCTTCGAGCGCAGTATCCTGACGCGTCGTCCATTTCAAAGACAGCGACCAGCTTCCCATACTTATGAGAAGATGCGGTGCCAGATACGAGACACCCCCGGGTAATTCTACTTCCGAACCGCGCTTCTTAGAGAATGGATGCAGCAGCCCCCTCGAGCCGCGAGCTCCAAGTTGAGCGCGCCACTTTGATGCATGGGAAGATGTCGACACGAAGTAATACCGAGGGGGTGGATGCATTGACAGGGTTTATTTGACACTACACTATGCAGCGTATATACACGCCCCGGTTACCACAAGATGGTCTTCGCATCCTTCATTTCGTGAAAGCATCTTAGTCCCCTGTGTCATCGTGTGTTTCCTCCGATCACATATCGTCGAAGTTTGTAAATGGGAGAAGCTATCCCACTCAAGGCAATAGTTTCGGGTGCCATTGAGCAATAATCGTAGAGCTCACGGTAGGGTTTGTAGGCGATACATGTAGGCGCAGAATATCCACGCCAAGCACCGTCATGAGGGTTCGTCAGAAGGGACGCGCCTCTTCGCCCTACTACCCACAATGTAAAGGCTCGTCGACTCGTCAAGAAGAGTCTTCCGAACCAGTGAGGGGATATCCGTACCAACCCTACCGAGCTTTGAAGTGACTCGACGCATCCTTATTATCCATAGCTGTGTGGCAGGACTTCACTCATCATCCAGGTCCATCGAAGCCTCGGCCTGGCGCTCCATCTGTTCCTCCCATTCTCGCTTCTCCATCTCGTCATATGCTTCCTTATTATCGATCCATCTTTCCTGGAGATCCGGCATGTCCATAATCGAAGACTCGTTCCTCATGGCGACTTGCCATACGGTATCATTCGCCCCCTCAGCTCCACCAAAGACGTAACCGCCCGCGCGGTCGATTACGCGAAGGAGATGCATCATGCTGCGCTTGTTCTCAACAGCGAGTACCTCATATCTGACAAGACCGTAGCTTTCAATCATTCCCGCGATCGCCTCCGTAAGCCTGCTAAATTTGTCGCTCCTCAGGGAGGGCGTCTCTTCCTCGAGATATGGTTGCAAGCGCGACAAGTCGTCGACATCTGTGTAGTACTCAAGGTTGTAGGGAAGCGGATCGTAGTCGGATATTTTATCGATCTTCGTTAATACGTTGACGTGGGGCATATCCATTTGGAGCATTGCCCGGAGAGAGAGGAGGAGATTCGAGATATATAGCGACGGTTGGGTTAGACATATACAGTCGGTCAAGTGAACCACAACTAGCTGCAATCCGTTCAACCTGTTAGCCTTTGCCGCAACCTTGAGAGAAGGGCTAGCTTGAGAGGTCACCGTGCCCTATACCCAAGTTTTTGGATTTTGAAGAAAATCTTGCGCAGAGACGGATGGTGCGTGTAGAGCTCGACCTGGCCAGGACAATCGAACAAAACGTAGTCTTCGCCCAGCTCCTTCAAGCCTTCTTCTAACCACTCGAAATTGTTCTCCAGTTCTTCAAGAGCGTAGAGCATGGCGCCATTGGGGCCTAGCTTGTCGTCCGCCATCGCCTCCTCCAGCTTCACTAGGTCCCGAATGTCGATCGCGCAAGGGTAATTGGTATGGTCATTAGCAGGGTCGAGGTTGACAACTGAGCACGCTCTACCGATGGCGCCTAGGAACTGGTGCACTTAAACGCGGAGTTAGCCATGTTGCATTTTGGGATTTCTAAGATGGCGAAGCCCAAAAACTTACTTCCATCGCAGTAGGTGCTCTTGCCAGCCCCAGGGCTGCCTAGCACGAGCTGACCAAAGGGCATGGCAAGGCAAATTCAGCTATAGCCACGGTACTCTAGCGAATGTGAATTGAATGAAGTCAATTGAGGGATGCATTAAAAATTAACACATGCTCTCCTGGGAAACGAGAAGGCGAAGTGGGGTGGCAGACTCGAAGCTCGAGATAACTACGAAGCACGCGGGTGTACATTGCTTCCCAGTTGGAAAGAGGCGGGGCATCCTCAGAAGGTGATGAGGTCATCCCTCAGATTGATCAAGCCGCCAAGTCTGGAAGGACCCCACTACTAGTGGCAGTGTTATATTTCCCCTGCTGTTAGGCTCTATATCGCCTAATGCTCGGCAATATGCAGAACTACCGGGCAGTATCGGCTAGCTCCAATTCCCGTTTGAGCTTCTGACCGAGACTTGGGGTCTTCATTCCTTGGATTTCCACGTGCTTGTCTAACATCCTCTCAAGAGCCCACGAGTCGCCTGCACCTCCGCGGGTTTGTTTTCTTTGTGTTTTCTCTTTTTCCCTACTCTCCTTGCCGGTGTCGTATTTCCTCCCTGGTCATTATTTTTGACCTGTCGTGATCTCGAAGGGCCTATCGGAGCTTGACCACAGATGGCTCTACTCATCAAAATCGTATGAATGATAGGCTCTCCTATCCCAGCTACGTACAAGCTACAGGCCACAAGCTAGCGCCGAACCCTTCGAACGCACGATGTTGAGCTTCTTATTACCAACATCTCTGTGAAAGTCCTTGACCTTTCTCAAACGCGATGAATGCCTCTAATTCATCCGCTCTGGCCACAATGGCTGCTGCGGACCATGCAAACCCTAGCTCTTCCGGGACCTGGACCGGGTTCGTCGGGCGCTTCATACTCACACTTCTTCACCTCATCTCATCAATCTTGTACTGGACTATCCGGTTGACCACGATCACCATCCCGACCCTTCTGTTTTCCCTGTTCTCAGCTAGCTGGACAATAACGATGAACGCGACAACCTTGTAAGCCCTGTCAGAGCCCATTTCATTTTTTCGAATATATTTACATATATACTGACAATTTGTCCGTCATAGGGCCCTCATTCTGGCGGCTATAATCTCAGCAGTCACTTGGGTTGTTAGATACCGCCTCCTCAACATGTATTCTCGTCTTCCGCCGGAACCGCAAAGGAAGGAGCCCGACGTCGATATGTTCCCGAGCGCTCACGAAGAGGGTATCAAGTACGGTTTAGGAAGCTATCTGGACGAATTCTTGAGTGCTATCAAGATATTCGGCTACCTTGAGCGTCCCGTGTTCCATGAGTTGACTCGAAGTATGCAAACTCGAAAGCTTATCGCTGGTGAAACATTAAACCTCGAGGAGGAACAAGGTTTCTGCCTTGTTGTTGATGGCCTTGTGGACATTTTTGTGAAGTCTGGCCCGAGGCCGCTGGTTGGCGAAGCGCCCAGTGCCTCCTTTTACGACTCCTCCGGCGAGGACGATAGATACCCCGGTCCAAGCCACCAGAGATACCAACTCCTAACTGAGGTGCGCAATGGTGCTCCTATGTCATCGCTGTTTTCAATCATGTCATTGTTCACAGAGGACGTCGGACTGCGAAGTCCTGAGGATGATTTGGCCAATACTAGTCCCTCGTCTGTGGATATTTCGCGGACTGGTTTTCGGGGACGCAGTTCGATACCTACTCCTGATCCGTCCGGTTCGAAAGACGTCACACCGCCCTTGCCGGACCAAGAGTCTCCAATTGAAGGGGCAGATGGCCTCCAGTATTCGTCTGAAGCTAAGACGCCTAAAGTCACCCATGTATCCCTTGACGACGGGAGATCTCATGCCCCGATCCGGCCGGCACTAAACCGACGGGCGGCTTCCGTCTCTGCACACCCCGACATCATCGCTCGCGCCACCGTTGATACGACCATTGCCATCATACCGGCAAGTGCCTTCCGTCGATTAATCAAAACTTACCCCAAGGCAACCGCCCAAATTGTTCATCTGATCCTCACTCGCTTCCTGCGAGTGACGCTAGCAACTGCTTACAACTACCTTGGCCTGACTGAAGAAGTCCTACATACGGAAAAGAGTGTGGTACGGTACACCATGTGCCAGTTACCGAATCCCCTTCGAGGTGAGCCGTTGGACCGTCTCAAGCAAAAATTCGAGCGCGAGAGAGAGCGCATCGGCGAAGACGAGCAGGACAAGGGGATTGCCTTGCATAACGCCACTGCGAGGCAGCGTCGCACACCGAGCAGCACCAATTTGCGCAAAGAGGCCATGCTCCAGTCTATGTCTATGCATCGCACCTCGCTTAGCGGCATGACCATATCTCCGCCACGAGAGACCCCGCCTTACCATTCTCCAAGCCCGGGAGATCTTCTATCTAATGTTCAATTGGACCGGCACGCAGGGCGTCGGTTATCAACTGCCACCGATTTTCTGTCTCACCCGACACCAGATCTTCCAAGGAAAGAGACGAATAAGCGGAAGGAGGTGAATGGGCAGGTCCCTCAGAGATCTTTTGATCCATTTGATGGTAAGCCACGGAGCCCGTTTAACCATGGGCGAGAGTCCGTAGATGAGGACAATGTGTTCCGCGTGTCTGTGCTGGAATGTATGTTCAAGGCACTCGGTTTTGGTTCTGGAACGACCAGCCGGAGGGAGCCCGAATCCTCCGAGGGTTCCCCTCGCCTGCCTTCTTTCGACCATAAAAGCCGCAATGTTGTTTTCAGCAGTGTAGGTGGTGGCGGCAGCAATGCTTTCGGCTTCATGGGTCCCTTAGACGGGTCAGCTGATGGCGAAACCGAGTCGATGGCATCGACAAATGTCGCCATGGGCACCCCGCCAGGTGCTCATGCCCTAGCTCTGGACATGAAGCACGAAGTCGAGATTGTCTTCTTCCCGAAGGGCTCCGTGCTAATTGAGCAGGGCGAACGGAGTCCAGGGCTGTACTACGTTATCGACGGCTTCCTCGATATATGCTCATCACACGATGAAGGCTCGATTGATATGTTCCCAGACCCCCACAGACACACGTCCGGTGGTTTCTCTGGCCCAAGTGCTGGTGATGAAGATACGATCCCATTCCCACCATTCCCACCAGATAACGTCGCCCAAGACAACAAGCCAAAGAAGAACGGACGCCGCAGTCGCCGGAGCGTGGCCCTCATTAAACCAGGCGGTCTGGCCGGCTATATTGGCAGCGTCTCCTCGTACAGGTCGTTCATCGATGTAGTCGCGAAGACGGATGTCTATGTTGGCTTCCTTCCCCGCGCACCGCTTGAACGCATCGTCGATAAATACCCCATCGCACTCCTGACTATGGCAAAGAGACTTACAAACCTCTTGCCCCGCCTGATTCTCCACATCGACTTTGCACTAGAGTGGGTGCAAGTCAACGCTGGAGAGGTGATGTTTCGCAAGAATGATGAGAGTGAAGCCATTTACATTGTTCTCAACGGACGTTTACGTCTGGTCGAGGACAAAAAGGAAGGCGGCGTGAAAGTCCGCGACGAGTTTGGCCAGGGTGAGAGTGTGGGCGAGTTGGAGGTATTGACTGAGTCAACGAGACCAGGGACGCTTCATGCCATTCGAGACGCGGAACTTGTCAAATTCCCGCGCACACTTTTCAACAGTCTCGCGCAAGAGCATCCTAACATTACGATTAAAATTTCGAAGATTATTGCCTCCCGAATGAGAACATTGTTCGATGATCCATCCAAGTTTATTCTAAAGGATGGCAGCGCGGCGGCGGCAGCATCGTTCAAGGGCTCATCGATCGTCAATTTGCGGACCGTTGCCATCCTCCCCGTCACCTCGGGAGTTCCAGTGGTAGAGTTTGGAAATAGGCTGATGAGCGCGCTCGCCCAAGTTGGTCCTCCAAACGGTGCCACGTCCCTGAACCAAGAGGCCATCTTGAGCCATCTCGGCAGGCATGCGTTTAACAAGATGGGTAAACTGAAACTATCTCAATATCTAGCTGATCTCGAGGAGAAGTACAGCCTCGTACTATATGTCGCAGGTAAGTTCCTTATTTTTCTGGGATTATGTACTGCCAAGTAGTTCTGTTTGTACTAATTTTCATTATAGACACAAATGTGAACTCTCCGTGGACGCAGACATGTATCTCGCAGGCTGATAGCATACTGCTAGTTGGTCTAGCGGAGGGCTCTCCAGAGATTGGCGAGTACGAGCGCTTCATGCTTGGCATGAAATCGACAGCCAGAAAGACCCTTGTGCTCTTGCATGCTGAGAGGTACTCACCTCAGGGACTGACTAGGGCATGGTTGAGAAACCGTGTGTGGATCAACGGAGGACACTATCACGTTCAAATGCCGTTCAGACTCAATACGGTGCCTGAGCACCCGCCCGTGAGGAAGCTGGGCAAGGCAATCAAGGAACGAGTCCAAATCCTGCAGGCTGAAATTCAAAAATACACCTCCAAGAAAATCCGGCATAGCTCATACTATTCGCTGGAGGCGCCGTATAAGGGAGACTTCCATCGTCTAGCGAGAAAGCTGTGCGGAAAATCGGTCGGCCTCGTCCTTGGCGGAGGAGGTGCCAGAGGCATTGCTCAGATTGGTATCATCCGCGCCATGGAAGAGGCTGGAATTCCGATCGATATGATTGGCGGTACCTCGATCGGAGCCTTTATCGGTGCTCTGTATGCGCGGCATGCAGACGTCGTCCCCATTTTCGGGCTGGCGAAGAAGTTTGCTGGGCGCATGGCCAGCATCTGGAGAATGGCCCTGGATCTAACCTACCCCTCCGTGTCTTATACCACCGGCCACGAGTTCAACCGGGGCATCTTCAAGACATTTGGTAACGCGCAGATGGAAGACTTTTGGCTTGAATACTATTGCAACACGACAAACATTAGCAAAAGTCGAGCCGAGTTTCACACTAGCGGGTACGCTTGGCGATACATTCGCGCGTCGATGTCTCTCGCAGGTCTATTGCCTCCGCTGTGCGATGAGGGCAGCATGCTCCTCGACGGTGGGTACATTGACAACCTCACGGTCTCACACATGAGGGCGTTGGGTGCCGACACTATTTTCGCCGTAGACGTCGGGTCTCTCGACGACGATACGCCTCAGAAGTTCGGCGACTCGCTGTCTGGCATGTGGGTTATTCTCAACCGCTGGAATCCGTTCTCGTCTTACCCGAACCCACCGACGCTGGCGGAAATCCAAGCGAGACTTGCGTACGTCTCGAGTGTCGATGCCCTGGAGCGCGCAAAGGCGATGCCCGGATGTCAATATATGCGGCCTCCTATCGACCCTTACGGAACACTTGACTTTGGCAAGTTTGATGAGATCTATCAGACGGGGTACAAATACGGCAAGGAGTATTTGCAGAAGCTTAAGGAACAGGGCGTGTTGCCGCTGGTGGAGGAGACGGAGGCCAAGAAGGCGCTGAGGAGGACAATGGCTCCACGGAGAGCTAGTATTTGAGAGTTCTTTTTTCTTTTTTTTTTTTTTTCTCTTTTAGTTTCCTCCTCATGAGATAATGTCTTTTGCATTGTATGGGCGCATATCGTAGATTACCGAAAATGGTAAAAACTATTATAAAACTAAAACTGAGAAGGGATCAGTTCTATACCGAGTAAATCATGAGTGACAGAGTGTATGCTTCTTCTCTCTCTTGAGAAACCACCAGGTCCACCTTCGTCTAAGCCGCTTCTTGCTTCTTCCGCCCAGTCACCTCCTCCGTACACCTCACCAAGGCGTCGAAGACCCTGCGCACCTCATCCTCCCCAACATTTGCTCCCGAGACGCAAACCCGAATAGCATAAAGCCCCTTCAGCACCGAGCTCGTAAGGAAAAACTCGCCCTCAGCACTAATAGCATCATAAACCCTCTTCGTCAGCAAATTACTCTCCTCCTCATCAGTGCCGCCCGCAACCCTAAGCACAACAAGCGCAAAGCTCGGGCCCGCAATAACCTCGAACAGGTCCGTCCTCCCAGCGACGAGGTTCGCGAAGAGGTCGCCGCGGGCGATGCCGCCCCTGACGTGGGCCCTCAGCCCTTCGATGCCGTAGGTGCGCATGAGGAACCAAAGCTTCAGGCTCCTGAAGCGACGGCCCAGGGGGATCTGCCAGTCGCGGTAGTCGGTGACGAGGCCGGCATCGGAGAGGTCGTTGCGGAGGTAGGCGGGGTTGACGGAGAGGGCGTCGGTGAGCCAGGCGCGGTTGCGCACCCAGAGGGCGGAGCAGTCGAAGTTTGTGAGGAGCCATTTGTGGGGGTTGAAGTCCACGGTGTGGAAGTGCGCGAGGTGGGCGTTGAAAGTCTGGTGCTCGGGGCAGATGAGGGCCGCTCCCGCGTAGGCGGCGTCGAGGTGGACCCAGAGGGCGTCGTTCGGGTTGAGCGACTCGTCCTTTAGCAGGGCGACGATTCCCTCGAGGTCGTCGATGGCGCAGGTATCCGTGGTGCCCAGGGTGGCGGTGAGGTAAAACGGCTCGAGGCCCTTCGCGCGGAGGTCGCGGAGCTTGTTGGCTAGCGACTCGGCCGTCATGGCGTATCCCGTGGCGCGAGACACGGGGACGGTACCGAAGCGCACGCCTAAGATCTTGGCGGCTTTCTTGGTGCTCGAATGCGTCATATCCGAGCCCAGCGCCACGAGCTTACTCCTCAACCGCCAGGTCTCGTCCTCCTTCTCCTCCGAATCCTCAGCGAGATGCGCCGTGCGCGAGCGCAGGAACTTGTCCCGCGCGGCCACCATGGCTGTCAAGATGGCCTCGGAAGCGGTCCCCTGGATGACGCCGCCGCCGCGCGTGGGCCCCGTGCTGAGGAAGCAGTCGGGCAGGGCGAGGGCCTGGGCCAGCCAGTCCATCATGACGGTCTCGAGCTCGGTGACGGCGGGCGAGCAGATCCAGTTGAAGTGGGCGCCGTTGAAGGCGTTGGAGTACATGTCGGCGAGCATCGCGGGGAAGGAGGCGCTGCAGGGGAAGAAGGCCATGAAGTTGGGGCTTTGCCAGTGCGTTATTCCTGGGAGGATCTTGGACTGGATATCGGCGCGGATGGCGTCGTAGGATTCGCCTTGGAGAGGTGGTGATGAGGGGAGGAGCGGGCGGAGGTAGCCCGGCTGGACGGAGGAGACGACCTTAAGGTCTGGGAGGCTGTCATAGTAGGATGCGACTGCGGCGGAGGGGAGAATGGGAGGTTTTCCCAGTTAGCGAAAGAGAGTTCTTGGTGCGAACAGAGGGGAGAGGAAAGGACGTGATCAGGGTCGGTTTTTACCATCCTCAATTGAGGCCTTTGCTGCCTCGCGGAACTGGTTGGAATCCATTGTCGACCGTGTAAGTGAGGTGAATGTGTCTAAATGCTAGCTGCAAATCTAGAAAGCTCCAACAAGGAATGAGATGATATATAGACAACAGAAGAAGAACAAGTGACCCAGAAAAAGAATGGAGCATCGGAGTCGGGGACATAGGGATGTATGTATATTTCGGTTCGAGCTAACGACGACATGTAGTCTCTCCAGTCTTCAAAGTTCCCCCCCACCGGCTCCCCGGAATCGCTGAGGCATTCAATTGACCTGCCTCCATAGGGCAAGGCCGCCGTTCCTCTACCCGGTGCGTCTCTTTTTTGTTCTCTTCTCTGTTTTAAGCGGGGGTATGTTTGCGGTTTCAATTGGCGCTAGAGCTCTCTCTCTCTCTCTCTCTCTGTGTGAACGTCCTTGCCACCAAGAAGTTTCGCAGGACCCCGCCGGTATCGTTCCGTATCGTAGAGAGTTAATTCCGGAATTGATCAATCAATTGCTGGATCAATGAATCCAGACCTCCCCTGCAGCCCAGCGAAATGACCGCGGATCAATCCCGAGCCCGATGTCGTCCCATTCTTCTCCCCGCGAGTCGCTCTGTTCTCTCTCTCTCTCTTCCTTCTCGACCCCTCCCAAAATAACCCCACCTTTCCGTTTTGATTCCAATGGGATGTATTCCGCACTTCTTCTCTCCCGAAGACCCGCGCAGACCCGCGCAGACTTGCGCCCTTGGCATCCTCGACATGCACCACACTCCACACTTCATGCGGGGTTCACGCCCTGTTGTCACGCTAATGTCATTGACGATGGACGAGACGGTGATGAAGTGAAGCAGCCAACTCGGTCGGGGGAAACGATAACATGTTGATTGTACACTAACGTCATCTCTCAGGCAAGAGAAGCCTAGCCTCGTTTCTTTTTCATCAAAATACGTATACAGACACACTCAAGCATGCGAAAAATATACCCCGTCTCCGTTGAGTCAAGCATCTTGGCACCTGATAACACATGCAGCAACACAAGGAGAGGGCGGGCCAAGAAAGTAAAGAGAGGAAACAGAAAGAGTCGTCCCAGATGATTAAAAACAAGTAAGAAAACCAAGCATAAGACCAGCCCCAGGAAGTAAGAGTGGTATAATAAGAATGAACGCCCGTCTCCGTTCGCTTGTGTGTTCATGATTTTCATCCGACCCCAAAATAAAGCTCCATCGCCAGCGGCTGATGCAGACCAAGAAGAAAGGCGTAAATATATAAGAAAACATCTCTAGGTTGACCTAAAAAAAAACACCGAAAACTATTCAAACAACCAAAGCATGCCGTCTTAGTCGACTTTAATAGCGCTGTTCCAAAGAAAACGAAACAGTTAGCAACGCCATAAAAGGGGGAAACAGGGAAAAGAAGTAACTGAAGCAAAAGGAAAACTCACCCGTAAATCCTCCTAATAAACGCATACGCGCTCAGGAACCCAACCGTCCCCGTCAACAACCCATAAACGCAACACGCCATGAAACTATACCCAAAGAAAAGCATCGTGCTCACAAAGCCCGTAATATTGAGTTTAAAAAAGTAATACCACACGCAGTAAGCAAACACCCACACCGAGCTGCTCCCGCCCACCAAGAACGACCGCCACCACCAGTTATGGTTCTCGGCGCAGAGCTGCAAGAACACCGACACGATGGTCACCTCGGCCACGGTCACCATGAGGATGAACGACACGACGGCCAGGAACCCGAAGACGTAGTAGTACCCGCTCTTGTCCTGCCACACCGACCGGAACACGAAGAGGAGCTCGATGAAGATGACGGCGAAGGGGATGAGCCCCGCGAAGAGGATCGTCTGGAAGGGTTGGAGGTACCACGACTGCGGCGGGACCTGGCGCGCGATCGACGTCGCTTTCGTCGGGTGCTCCCACGCCGCCGCGTTGTTGAAGCCGTACCACGAGCCAACGTAGACGAGGGGCACCTGGATGCAGAACCACAGGACGATGAGCGCAATTAACGTGCTGAAGGGGATGGCCGTGCTGGATGCCTGCGCCCACACGAATAAGTTCAGCATGAAGACGACGACGAACAGTAGGCCGGGGACGAAGAGCGCCGTGACAAGCGCGTTGCGGCGCCAGCTCTGGCCGTCGAGCGTCTTGAACACCCGCGCCGAAAAGTATCCGCTGAACAAGCCGTTGAAGATGAACAGACCCATGCCGACGCTAATGAAGCCGCCGCGGAAGCTGGGGTTCAACACGCCAAACGCGCTCAGAAGAACCAGGCCGAGAGCCATGAGAAGCAACTGCATTCCTGACCCTACCAACGCCGCCAGGAGATATCCATACGCAGGCGTCCTGAAGACATCCGAGTGCAGAAGCTTCCATCCACTGGCATCCTCGAAGGCCTCGTCGTCAGAATCGAGGTGATCATCGTCCTCCTCCGTGGGGCCCTGGCTCAGGAGACCACCCCCAGTCTTCTCCCCGGCACCTGGTGAGGGGAGGGGTTTGAGCTTGAGCTTGGACCGGCCCTCCTCGGCCTTGATATCCTTGTAACTCTTGATGTCGGCGCGAATCGTCTTGGCTAGGATAATCGCAACAACCGTGGTCAGAAGCCCGCAAATGATGAGCGAATTCACAATCGCGAGCCAGTGGATCCTGTTCCCATCCTCCTGGTTGACAAAGTAGAGATCCCACCGTCGGTTCCACTCAATCGATTCATCTTCGCGGAAGTAGACCGAGTAAGTGTAGCGGACCGACATGAGCGAGCGCTCGGCATCCTCGTCGGTTTCGTCCTCACTCCTGGGCGGGAGTCGGAGCTCTAGATTGTGTGTAATGTGCTGCATGTCGAACGGGCAACCGATATCGTTCATGGGGTTCTCAACGCCAATGCTCTTCGGGTAGACCTCGAAGCCAACAACCACCTTGCCGCCCTGATCCCCCGCGCGACCCGGCGCTCTCCTGTACCGGATAACAATCGTATGATGGTTGTTGAGAAGAACCTTTTCCTCACCCGTGGGGCCGACCTCGATCGAACCCAGCTTGAAGCCCGCGGCGTAGTACTTCTTCGACTTGTCCGTGGTCACGAAGCTCGTCGCGCCGGGGAGGTTATCGACGATCCATTCGACCACATACCCATCCTCGACGAGGTCCCTCGCCCGCTCGACCTTGGCGCGGTTGAGCTCGAGGTTGCAGAGCATGGCGCATTCCTTGTCCTCGCCCATCCTGAGATCGATATCCGACGTCTTGATGCGGTCGCCGCGGAGGACTTCGCCGAGATTTAGGGGCACGTTCTTGCCGCTGAGAAGGCCTGAGTGCTGCTCGCCTGTCGGGGGACATACGAAGGGAAGGTCGTAGTAACCGTACTGGAGCTGGGTGTTGTCGGAGTACACCTTGTTGACGAGGACGGGGATTTGTTCGCCATCGTTGTAGCTTTTTATCGAGAAGCCTAGGGAATCTAACGATCAACATACGGAAGCGAAGGGTTGCCGGGAGGGCTGATCGTAGGAACGTCGCAGGGTTCCCCTCTTACCTGGAATGTAAAAGGCATTGGAAGCTTGGATATAGGACAAGGACACAAGCGCCCCCAGGGCCGTAGAGGCGAGGTTGCGCATGCCGATCGCAGTGCAAGAGTAGCAAGACTTATCATAAATACGCAAACATTAAGCGGCCGAACTCGAAAAACAAGCTTGTCGCGGTATCGTGTCACGGTTCAAGACTCCACAAGCCTTCCTTGTCACCTTGCTCAACGTCGGAGAATTTCGTCAATGGGCTCGGTTTCGTTTGGCCGGGCGAAAAAGGGGGGGCGCGGGGAGGGCGTCGAATCGGGATGGATAGAGCGCCTCAAGGAGAACTAAGAGAACAAATAAAGAGCGCCTATCGCGAGAAATGGGACAGACCGCCTGGGCTATTGCCGATTCTCTGTATTTTCGGCCGGGAGTGGCACGTCGTCGCGAATCTCGACAACGGCGACTAGGATCGGAGGCTCTTGGCGTAGTAACGACCGGGACAGGGGGAGCTGTGTTTCGAAGGAAAGGATCAATTGGAAAATTCTACGTCAGGGATGTCCGTTTCATCCAACAAAAGTTAAGAGAGCGACGATGTCTAGCAGGATAAAAGGAGCGAAGGGAGAAGAGAGTTCTGGATTTCGAAGAATGGAATCGGTGAAGCAATCTGGCAAATCTTGGTTCGGCTTTTTGACGCGAGCATCCAAGTCCTCTTATCATTCGTTCCTGAAGGGGGGGTCTTTGGAGATTTAGGTCTGGTTTCGAAACATTCGATTGGGCGCCCCTTGCCTGCTGCAGGGGCAGAGCCTGCCAAGAGGTCCGCAAGGTCTGGGGTAAAATATCAGATAATAGGGTTCAGCGTTACTTTGCGAGACCGTGGACTGTTGGACTGTGTATGCGTTCCCTCCGGAGTTTAGAGGGCTCTGGATCTTGACTTAAGCTTAAGATGAGAGAAGAAATCATCAAGTAGCACCCGCGGATGAGTACCAAATACGAAGTAATGGTTGCTCCTTCCGCGACGGTATTACCAAAATCAATCGAACTCGCACGTGGCAACTTGCACACCCAGAGATAAACCTAAATTCCCAGCTACGATTCTTGCATCACGATGACTCGATAACGAAGCAGATGCAATGTAATAATTCAATTAGTCTTATTATTCAATATACTGCATTTGATGCGATGCATATAAACAGGTCATCATCTAATGATAAAGCAAGCACCAGCATTCCAGTCCAGCCGTCTATCAATTCGGGTATAATCGTTTCCTTCCTGGTCAACATCACCACATCACGCATTTGCGTGCCAACCAAAAACCATTGTGGAAAAGAGAAATCGAAGGTTCCCAGAGTCCGTTTATGCCAACCCGCTCTCTTATGTGTTGAAAAGCAAACAGGGAATCTTAGAAGAATCAAAACGCCAGCAGACCTGAGCGGGAGAGAATAGAGAAAAGTAGACACAGAAGGAAGGAAAGAAAAGAAAGAAAAAAAAAACAGACCCAATGCAAGAAACCAACCGAATAGAAACATAGGAAATCGTTACACATGACATAGCTCGCCGATTTTTTTTTCTTTCATCTTTTCTGCCCCGACATCTCAAGCATAGCCTGGCAGAGCATGTCGGACAACGTCATCATTGTCCGGCACCCTAATGACACGAGGAGTGAGATACTCCTCAATATCTTCACCAATATCCTCTTCCCCAATGCTCTCCTCAGAGGGCTCAACAGCCACTTGTAGAGGAACCATGAGTGACACCGTCGTGTTAGCGGGGCCCACGGTCAGGGTAAGACTAAGCGCATACACCCTAGAAATGAGGCACGAGTGGAACGTCGGCAGCAAGACCTTGTTCTTGGACGGCACCTTGAAGGGGATGTAGAGAGTAGCGGCGTGCGATACCTTGTCGGCCTTGGAAGAGCGTTTCTTCGACTTCCTCCCGGTGGAGCTATCGCTCTCGCAGTTGTCCGTAGAGTATCCCGAATCTCGCCTCATGTTGGCGCATTGCAGTCGCCACGTAACCCGGTCAATGTCTGTGTTGAAGAGCGGCACATTCGTCTTGTAAGCGAGCCGAGGAGGCTCGATGGCGTATTCTGGCCTGCCGCCCATATCGGGGAGGCCCCTCGCCGGCGTAGCACCGTAGTACGTGCTAGATACAAGCTTCGCCGAAACCGACTTCACCGTGGGCGGCGCAACATCGGACGTCACAGGCTCGAAGCCCAGCTGTACGGTCACTGCCGTGTCGGAAGCAGTCCTCGCATCCGCTCCCACGTGCACGGCCGGAGGCTGCGCGGCGCTCGCGGTGAACTTGCCCAGCTTGTTAGAGAACATGCTCTTCCGGAGGTTCTTGCTCTTAGACATGGTATAGTTGACATCCTGAGACGTCACATTGAACGGCGCATCCTCGGGAGAGGGAGGCAACACCAGCACAGGCTTCTGCGCCTCGAAGATCTTCTCGGGCCTGCTGCTACCCTCGGCGGGCTCGCCCAAAACGCGCACGCGAACGTAGTACTCGATCTCGGCAGTCTCGGGCCCAAAGTCGTCCCTAGACCAAGACCCCATGGTCGGCGGCAGGCGCGTGTGGTAGTCCTGCACATAGACGGAGTCGGCGGGGTGCTTGCAGGCGCTCAGTGTGAGCTGGCTCGGCACGACGAAGTTGAAGGGAATGGCGTAGGCGCGGCCGGTCTCGAAGACGCGGGGCACGGGGTACTTGGAGTCGGAGACGGGCATGGTGAGCTTGAGGAAGACGTGAGAGGACCTTTGGGGGACTTGGGTCGCGACGAGCTTGGTGCGCGAGATGCCGAGGAAGGTGATTTCTACGGTTTCGAAGCGCGTGTCGCGGAACGGGGTAATGACTACCTCGCCCATGATGGGGGAGCCGGATGTGTAGATCTTCTCTTCCCAGTGCTTCCAGAGTTGGATGGAAACGCTGGCCTTGCGGAAGACGGGGTTGGATGCCTTCCAGGTGAGGGAGGACGCCAAGGAGGCGGTTTCGAAGAGGTTCGACATGGTGGCGTTTGTTATCTGAGTTGTGGTGGTGATACAATGAAGCAGATATAAGTGCCGGACAGCTCTCAGGATCCGGCACGGGAACAGTGAAGGGTGGGGTGGGAGGGGAGGGAAAGGAGAGAGCTGGTGGCAGAGAGCCTCAGCGGGAACTCAGTAACTGGAGGGGTGATCAACCGTCTCTGAAGTGTGCGGTGTAAGTGCGTAACTTCTACTGATTCAATGCGCTTGAAGGAAGTAATGTGCCTTCTTTTTGAAGCTCGGAACGAGACGATGATGATATTGCGGTTGGATATTCTACAGACTCGTTGCGACCACTGAGGCATCGAGGCGGGCATCATCAACTTATATGTCAAAGACGCCTGCGGAAGCCGGATCCGGAAGGGTGTGTGTGCAATTGTAGGATGTGTACTCCACTCCATGCCGAGACCATTAAAGGCTCACATTCTAGCAAGGATGGAAGAAGCCGAAAAGGCGCAAAAATGAATAATAGAATCCATAAACGGAGCAACGTACGAAGTATGCTAGTAGTGTACGGTAGGTACAGTACAACCGTCAATACCCAAAATGAGTGTGGGATGGGCTGTCGTAAAAAGGCGTCATAACCTTGCTGGTGTGGGATACGAACTACATGGCAGGAGCTATTAGCAATTGAATTGATGCTAAGTTTTTTTTCTTCCTCTCGAACAAACTTGCAAGCGCAGAAGGGCGCACCGATGACACTGATCCACATTTTACATTTTGCACCCCTTGCGGCATTGGAAAGATGTTAAGGCTGAGTCACATTGGCCAAATATGTCTAGCCAAGGTTGCATTGCGATCTCCTTGTAGTATAGTTCTGATACAAGCGAGAGGCACCAGGGCTCCTCGAGAACGTCAGGACTGAGCTAGATTTTCTGAAGTACACGAACCGGAGAATCAAGAACGTGCTCTCCTTGCGTAATGGGAAATGGCGACACACCCAAGGAATTGAGCAAGGGCAACAGGGGCAACAGGGGGGGTGAGTGCAAGAGTGGGCTCTACAGTGGGTCCTCGGACCCGGACCCTCGAGGGCGGTCTCGAATCGGGTTCGGAGACTGACCGGGCTGTGGTCAAATCGTAGATGGGGGCTTGGCGGTGGCATTTGACGTGAACGTGATTGATAAAATTCCCAGCCAACTGGGCGGAAGGGCGTGCGCACGCTCTACAAAAGTCAGACACCACCACCGCACTGTGTAAATGCCTGAGCCCTGGCCCTGTGGGTGTTGTTTCCTGATGATGTCTTGGTGGGTTCATGTTGCGAAAGCTGTACCCAGCCATTTGAGACGTGCTCCTGTAGCGGTCAAGTAGAGGTACATTGGCTTGCACAAACAGCGTGGACGAACGACTTCACGTTTTGAAGTAATGTGGCTCATAAACCATAATGCTTACATCTAGCAACGCCCTTCACTTGATGTTGACTGCCGCTTTTTTTTAGTCCGTTTCCCCTCCTATTTTGCGTCGAAATGGTCCCTCGGCTCATCGCGTTTTGCACTGCGCGCTAGGCCTTCACGCCGTTAACGGGGGCGTAGTGCTTCCCCATAAGAGTCATCTTGTCGATTCTACGCCCTAAAGCGCTCGCATAGTGAACGAAGTAGTATAGTGTAGCGCAGTCCACTGGAGTGTAAGTCACTAGTCTGGTCATTTACTCGAGTCTATCCGCCAGTAGTACCGAATTGTGCGAAACCAAGCCGTATGCACGTTTCGTTGCCATGCCTGGCTTGCAGGGTGTGTGCAGTGTACCACTTACAAGCAGGTGTGACACCAGACGCACAGATGGAGGGATCAATTGATGCGTTCGTGCTCCTGACCCACCACCCAGCATCGTATCAATCCATCACCAACCATCAATTGATCGCAACAGGCATGGATGGTACTTCGTAGTCATAGTCATACGAGCTACAAGAGAATTGTAGCCCAACTCCCGTTCTCGATCTTACCCGGCGTCGATATCGGAAGCCGGAGGTTTCGGGCCCCGAGATTCTCGACGGCAGTTCAAAGGGCATTTCAGTTCGGTTCCTCTACAATTGAAGGTCCTATTTCGTGATTTCCTCATTCTGAACGATGTCTGATCGATGTCTAAACGATGCGAGTAGCCAAGTCTTTCGAGAAAGAAGCTCTGCCCCCACCCCCTGTGATCCCTTTTCAATAAGCTTGAAACCGAAAGCAACATCATGACCCCCAAACAAATGGCTCCCGCTCGCCAGACCCAGAAAAGGATCGATAGAGTCGCGCCATAAACCCGTGCTTCGTACAACGCTTCCTACTAGTAAAGCGGTGACGGGATCTCATCTCGCTTTTCTTGTTTTCTTTCGATCTTCTCCGTGATGCTCCACCTGCTCCCGACGCCAGCCGGCCTTTCCAAATAGCACAAAGAGGCGACCGTGACGAGAAAGGTTTTTCCTTCTAGATCCCTGCTCGGAACCTTTGGAAGCTTCTGTAGCCTTACGATGTCGTAATTATGGTATATACACTACCACTACCCCTTTTAACCCCTTCACCGTCGCACCTAGAGCGGGAAGAAGTGGGTTCCCGAATGGAAATTTTTATGGATTTTTCTTATAAGAGAATCGGTCCATCTCCGGACCCGCCCGTGTTACGGACCCGTAGGGACCACTCGCTCGCTCCGGGGAACGCAGAGAGAAGAAAGAAATAGAAAGAGGACAAAAATGAATGCCGATTCCAGCCGACGATAGCCTTTTCTTCCAGAATTTTTTGCGAGGGAAGGGCCATCTTTTCCACCATCGATCACCTGGGACAGAAAGATGGAATATTTGACGATATTTGCAGGTTGGTTGACGTGTTTTCTGTTTTCTTCACAATGTTTACTTTGACATTGTACATCCGATGTCGCTCTCATCACACCATCTTCTTTCATCTCCCTTGTCCCGTTTAGTCGTGGTGACGGAGAAAAGCCACATGAAAAAAAGCTGGGCGCAAAGCAAAAAGAGAAGAAGCCGAAAAAAAAGAAGTCAAGAGATCCTGGTGTAATGTCGTTTCTGCGCCCTTCACACCTTGTTTCTGCCCTTCTGACGGCGGGATGTACAGTGACTTTCTCTCAGTTTCCACCCCACCACTACAGAATCCGAAAAGCCTAATCGATTTCGGATTTTAGGCCTGCGTCGTGGTAAGTCTGAGTACACCTCGCAGCGTGGTGTACACAGGTACACACCACTTCTTCTGGATTCGACTAGGCTCTAGGCTGCCGTCTGGTGCTATTGATATTTCTTTCGCGTGGCCTCCCCTGGTTCAACGGCGGGAAAATTTTTGGTGGCTTTTGCTTTGCATTGTGCGATTGTCAGCATCCCAAGGTGTAACATCAACACCTTGCCGAACTCACCCCGGTCGATCTCAGCTGAGGCGGGTAAATGACGAGCTTGCAAAAACGCCCTTTGAATGACAGTCTTTTTTTCCCCATGTCAACGACAAGGCAGTGAAGGTGTGTGGGGCAGACCAACCACACTTCGTCGTTCTCTTCCTGCACCCTTTCCTGCATTGATGCTACGCCGGTGTCGAGTTCACCATCACCGTGTTACTCACTCGCCTACTTCTCTTGATGGTTCCTAGCTTATTGTGGTTCGCTTCGAATATCCAAAACGGTAAATCGCTGAATAATTGACTTCATTAATAATGGCAACGTGTCACAACTTCCTGCGATCTTGGAGCATACTTCGTGAGGGTGTACGATTGCAGTTTAGTCCCAGCCACACCTGGATATCTCGCTTCCGCATTTTGAGAATATCCTCACCAGTTCGTCACATTATTAATCCAGCGGACAGATAAGCTTCAATATCTTCCGCATCAAGCATCTGCCGCGCCATCGCGGGGAAGACATCAAGTTTCAAGGGTGTACTCCGTATTGCGTGCCTCGGCGGGAACCTACGAATTCCTATGCCTGAAATGGTTGTGGTTGCTCCGACACTTGTGTGGCTCTTGCATCATCTCATGGCGCCAGGCTTTGTTCGCTGAGACTCCAGTCCTAGAATGGAAACAATGTCGTTGATGGCGTTAGACACCGCCGAGATGGGAATAGCAACTTGCACTTGCACCACATCGGCTGGATTTGTAGAATACATTCCATGAGCGAACACGTATCATGGAGGGGTGAACCCAGCTTCCATTGTAAGAAACATCTTGCCTGCTTCCATGTAAATGCTTCCCTGTAAATGCTAGTTTAGATGTCCACATGACGATAACTAACATTATATCAGAGGCTGCTCACGATCATCATCGGCCAGCTCCTCTTTAAACTGGTATCGCCTCTCCCCGGAGAAAAAAAAAAGAACGCCATCCAACTGGTCTAAAACTTCTATCCTGGCAATCCCTCACAAATCCAATGCACCGCCCTTCTAGTCGTGCCAAGAGATGAAAAGCATGATGCCGGCGCCCAATGCGACCGCGGCAAACTGGCCCAGCGTTTTCCTTAGCTCCAGCGCCTTGTTGGGGCCCGTCTCCAGGAGCTCGGGGATGACGGCCACGGTTCCGACGTAAAGGAACGTTCCTGCCGTGAAAGGAAGGAGCATGTCACCCCAGGTCTGCAAGGTTACCCTGTTAGCTTCTCCGATTTCCCAGCCCTAAATGTCTGCCCCGAAGGATTGTGTAACGAGATGAATGCTACCGCCCTCACTTCCCAGACCCGCACTACTGATGCAGGTCGTCGTTTACGCCGCTCGCACCAGAATGCGCGGAGGGAAGGCAATAGCACTTATGCTGTAGGGCCAGTTGGGAAGCAAGACGAAGGTGCGGGGGATGAAATAAACTGCAACTCACCAAGCTAGTACCCCAAATACCGCCCGTCATGGACATGTCGTCCTCCGCGTTGCTGCCACCAAACTCCTGGATGAAGATTCCGATCAAGGTACCCAGGAACGCACCAATGGCGGTGACAAACTGGGCACCCATGGCGGCGCGCTTGGAGAATCCCGATTGGACGAGGAGGGCAAAGTCGCCGACCTCGTGGGGGATCTCGTGGAGGAAGACGGCAAGGGTGGTGCTGGCGCCGACGGTGGGGGAGGCGTAGAAACTGGCTGACATGGCGAGGCCGTCGGTGATGTTATGCGTGAAGTCGGCACTATTTTCATTTGTTGTTAGCTTATCATCTCCTCTCTCGTTACAACACACTGGTAAGGGGGATTTTCTTGACGTACATGAGGTTGAGGACACCACCCATCTTCATACTAGGGCTAATCTCCTTGCCCTCCGAAGCATGGTCATGGTCGTGGTCCTTCTCGGCCTCGACGGACCCCTTCTTGCGAGACTTGGCACCCTTCTTGCCCGTATCAACAGACGAGGATGACGCAGACGTAGCTACCTCATTCTCGTGAGAGTGTCCGTGTCCATGACTGTGATCATGTCCAGCTCCGCCAGTCAAGATCCTCAAAGTCTTATCCATAGCCACAAACGTCATGAAACCCACAAGGATGGCCAACCCGAGCAAAAGATTCCTATTCGGCTCGACAAGCACAAACTTGACCTTACCATGCTGCTCCTCGCCAAGGAAGATCTCGGGAAGCAGGTGGAACAACGTATCGCCCATCAAACCTCCCACGGCGAAGGCCACCATGATGGTAAGCGAGGACGGGTCAATGTTCGTCGGGCAGAGGGCGAGGAGGAAGTTGGGTGGACCGGAGATGTATAGAGTCGCGAGGAGGGCATTGACGGCGGGGCTTCCGGGGAAGAGGACGGCGAAGAGTCGGGAGATGAAGGTTGAGTGTTCTTGGGCGCGGGCGGCCTTGTGCGCGTTGAGGTCCTGAACGATGGAGCATGTCTAAAAGAAACAAAAACGGTAAGCCGAGGGAAGACGTTTTGGGGGGAGGCTACGGGGAATTTGTCGCGTGCGCTGCTTCGCGTAGATGGCAGGCGGCGGGAAGGACCCGGGAAAGACGAGTCCCATGTGGAAAAAGGATACCTGAAGCTTTTCGTCGAGTGTCTCAAGGCTGAGGTTCTCGATTGATGTCACGTTGGCCGATGCGCCGAGCGCGAGCACGGCAAGCACGAAGAGTGCCCAGCGGGATCTGTTGGAGATCATGATTCGGGCTCGAATCGGGATCTGGGATCTTGGATCTTGTCGGGTCTGGCCAAACAGGGTGGTCGCGTGGGTGGGTTGTCCCCTTTGGCGCCGTGACGCTGCTTTCGCCCTGAAGAAGCGGGACAGGAAAAAATAATCGAGGAGAAAGGAAGTTTTCGCGTCACACTCGCATCCGGCTTCACATTCGCGTTCACGAGATCTTGGACCAGGAGAGGAGATGTGGGAAGAAGAAAAAATGCTGCGGAGCAATCAAGGCTGAGGTCCCAGATCAAGCCACAGTTGAGCTTGATTAGGGGGAAAATCATAATTTCCCCCACCGATGTCGCATCAAATCGAATCGAGGACAAGTTGCAGCACCACATTCCGCAAATTGATCTAGGAGCATGGCAAAGAAGAACCTATTAACCTTTTGAAATCTCGAGGTCGTCCATCTTTTTGGATGGAAAAGACCCATGTTGAATCCATGTTCTGGTTTCGATGAAGTAATTGCTATGATGAGAGAGAGCCGCATCTCGATTCCTTGTATCAAATCAATCAATTTTGATAATATCAGTTGATATCGATTGATTTCTACCCATCAAACGAGTAATTACATCATAGACCAGTAACGTCATTGTATATTAGGCAACGGGTTTAATACTTTATAGTAGTTCATTGAGCTGAGTTCGCTGTTCTGAGAAATGAAAGCTACCGGGAACGCAGAGTTAAATAATTTAAACTCTTCAGTTTAATATACTCCGTGCTGAGAGATGTTGGGTCCCGGGATTTTTGGCAAGGGTCCTTCCCGGCCGATCGGTTGATCCCAAGTTCATGCCGGCGTTAATTTGACGTACTTCATAGTGTACAAAGGAAGGACCCTAAAAACCTTGGCGGGACAGCTCCGGTCGAGGCTGCGAAGTTAGGCTCTAACATCACGATCCAAAGATGGCATACCGGGACATTCCACTGGCGGCTGGATCCGATCCAAGAATGGACAGAACTCTAGTCTTGAGTACGCCGAATCCGGTGCTATTTCCATGCATGTTTGCAAAGTGGTTTACTCATTTCACCTGTATGGCGTAAAACTATCGTGTGTGGTTTGTGGCTGGCCACAGTTCCGCATAGTTGTCCGTGATCCCAGCACCCGCTTTTGAGTCCCTATTATGCGAGTATGTCTCAACGGATCCTCGTCCTTGCGAACTTGAAAGTTCGTTTCAACCGACTTTCCAGGAGTCCCACAACTAGCGTGTCTCATAACAGCCAGGCAACACAGCAGACCTGCAACCAACAAACATCCGATGTTTTACGTTTTTCAGGGCTCCAAAGTTCGGAAGTGGAGGCACTAACAAAGACTTTCCCAAAGTCGCGAATGGTGATGCGTAACACCAGGAGAAGCTGTACGCCACCATCGAGAAGAATGGGAGGGGCTCAGGGGTTGAGGCGTTACTTCACAGGTACTCGCCAGATTCAGTTGGGGCACACCAATGATGGCGCTTGGTGCTTCGCTGGCATTGCGCAGATGCAGTTCCAGCACAGAAGTACATCATTAGTGAGTCTATTGCTGACCAGACCAGCCAGCAGTCATGCAAGGGGTCGAAGGAGTTTAGTTTAAATATGAGAAAGAAAAGAAAGGAAAAAAAAGAAGAAGAAGAAGCAGAAAGGAAAGGGAAAAGGAACACCCCCAATCCCAATGCCCTCAGGACGGGATGTTCAATGCGGTTTGCCGGCTGTCGGTTGTGGGTCCGTCAGGTCACGAGAAACAGCGGTACAATTGTATCCCATGACGTCTTCAATACGAGGTTGAGGTTGCAGTTGTCCACCGCTTCAAGAATATCAAATCCATCAAAAGAGAGAAAAGCAACAATAATGGAAAATCAGGTGTCACGGTTAATACGGAGTACACACTCAAACACCTCATTCGAAGTTGGACGGATTGATCAATTGATGATCCGATGTATTGATCGATGCTACCCATACGTCATCTCAAGAAACCCGCCTCCAATTGAATTGGCCCCCAGCCTCCAGAAGCGTCTTGGGACCTAGTTGAACGCAAGGCCAATGCAGGTCCAGGCTGGATGTCATCCCATAGCCAGCCCATCACCCATCACCAGAGCCCAAGTGGGCCGGACCTGAAGACCAAAGCTGAGCAAGCCGGCCTTAGCGGATCCCAAAGAGCTAAGGTGCCCAAGTTGAGCCATACACAGACTGAGAATGAGGAAGGAATACGCCACAGGCTGCCAAATCGAGGATCCGCCAGGTCCAGCCGAAGTCCGAGTTAGTATCGAAACCCCTTCGATTTGTATCTTTGTTGTCCAGTCCAAAGCTGCATGCTAGGTGCCACCTCGTATTTTCTGCCTTGCCTAAAACCCCATGCTGCATGTTTCTTTCTGTTGTCCTCGGTTGGTGGAGCTAAATAGCACAATAGTCGTGGAACTGAATGGATCATTGATCTCTTTGTGGAACATCTTAAAGAAACCTCTTCAGCCCATTTTTGTCGAGACATTCCTTCTCCTCCCGTTCCCACCACATACGTTCGCTATTTACGAGATTAACATATTGGCCCCTTTGTTGACTCTTACTTAGTCCGGGGCAACCGGTCCAGAAAAGGATCATCACCAATTAATACCACTAGTGTATATATTCGACCTCCCCGTACTTCTCTTGGAAGCCGGCCATCACATTCTTCCACACTTTGGACCCCACTCTCGCTTCAGACTTCGTTTCTAAGAGAGAGAAACGAAAATACAAAAACACCCTGCACAATGCACTCTGTTGCAAACTCCCTGGCCCTAGCGGCCGTCGTCTCGACAGCCGCCGCTGCCATCCAGGGCTTCAACTACGGCAACACTTTCACAACCGGCCAGGTCAAGTCCCAGTCCGACTTCGAGGCCGAATTTAAGGCGGCGCAGGGTCTCGACGGTACCAATGGCGCCTTTAACAGTGCTCGTCTCTATACCATGATCGTACGCATAATAAAATGAGACGAGATGAATAAAAATGAAGAAAAAACAAAAGACTAACACGTAGAACAGCAAGGAAACACCGCCAACGACCCAATCGAAGCCATCCCCGCCGCAATCAGCACCAAGACTAGCCTCCTCCTCGGCCTCTGGGCCTCTGCCGGCGAAGCCATCTTCAACAACGAGCTCGCCGCCCTGCAAAAGGCCATCCAGAAATACGGCGACAGCCTATCCGGCGTCGTCGCCGGCATCTCCGTCGGCAGCGAGGACCTCTACCGCATTTCCCCAACTGGCATCGCCAACAAGGAATTCGCCGGCGCCAACCCGGACACCCTCGTCGGCTACATCAAGTCCGTCCGCGACCTCGTCAAGGGCACTGCCCTCTCCGGCGTCAAGATCGGCCACGTCGATACCTGGACCGCTTTTGTTAACGGATCGAACAAGGCTGTTATTGACGCTTGCGATTGGCTTGGTTTTGATGGTTATCCTTATTTCGAGGATACGCATGCCAACAGCATCTCGAATGGGGCTGCTCTCTTTAACGATGCTCTTGGTGCTACGAGGGCTGCTGCTGGCGGCAAGGAGGTTTGGATTACGGAGACTGGTTGGCCTGTGAGCGGAAAGAACTTTGGCGATGCCGTTCCCTCGATTGAGAATGCCAGGAAGTACTGGAAGGATGTTGGCTGCCCCCTGTTCGGTAACACGAATGTGTGGTGGTACACTCTCCTCGATGCTGCCCCGACTACCCCTAACCCTAGCTTCGGTATTATCAAGGACTTGAACTCTAAGCCGCTCTATGACCTCTCTTGCGATGGTTCATCGTAAGTTACATCCCTGGTTATATTCACCCCGCACCTTTGGCTAGTATTGTAACAACTAACACATATGATAGTAATGGCGGCAACAACGGCGGAAACAACAACGGTGGTAACAACAACGGTGGTAGCAATGATGGCGGCAACAGCGGCGGTAATGATAGCGGTAACAATAGCGGCAATAACAACGGTGGCAACAACGATGGCAACAACGGCGGTAGCAACGGCGGTAACAACGGTACCTCTCCCTCTTCGGGTAGTGGAAACACTACCCCAACCCCCACGGGTGGAAGTGGCAGCGGAAGCACGGGTAATGGAACTAATACCCCAGTCCCCACAGACTCAGGCAATAGCGGGAACAACGGTGGCTCCGACTCCGGATCGGGCTCTGGTTCTGGCACCAATCCTGGCTCCAATCCTGGCTCCAATTCTGGCTCCGGCTCAGGGTCTGGTTCTGGATCTGGTTCGGGCTCTGATTCGGGTTCGGGCTCTGGCTCTAGCTCCGGTTCCGGTTCCGGATCTGGTTCTGGCTCGGGATCTGGGTCTGGCTCGGGATCTGATTCAGGTTCGGGCTCTGGCACAGGATCCGGCTCCGGCTCCAACGACCAACAGGCCGCCCCGAGCGCCGGCAGCTCCAACAACCTCAACACCATGCTCGCCTCCGCCATCGCCCTCATCGCTGCCGCCACGGTATTCTAAACGGGACCAGTCTCCGATGACCTGTAATGAAAACCCAAACGTGGACGCACGAATGTATTACAACCTCTTTTCAAACACTTTTAGCACATGACTTATTTCATTTTCCAACCTCCACGCGCATTATCAGTAAACTCGACTTTTTAAAAATAGATCACGATTGTATATACACTTTCAGGCACCAGAATGGGGAACACAGGGGAACATTGGGAAAGCATATTTTTTTTTCTCTCCTTTTATAGAATCACGAGTTTAAACTTCATCTTCTTGTCTCACTAGTGAGATGCGAGAGATTGTTCAAACGTATACATATATCGATGACATTCGCCATTCTAGACAACCCCTTCTATCTCACGTCAGCTGTATCGTCGTCACCTTCCACGCGGACCAAGCCTATAAACGCCATGTCATAGCTCTTAGCACTCAGATCGACACCGTGATACATTATAGACTTTTTGGCTTTGCAGCCGATTCGTAGTTCTGTCGCTTTTACGTGACTACTAATACACCTCGTCACCAAGTCATCCCACCTCCCATCTAGAGAAACGAAAAACATCCATAGTCCTGTTCATCCTAATTCATAAATGCGTTCCGTTTTGCCATGATACTTGCTCCCACCTCGCACTTAGATAAGATTTTTAATGTTTCTAAGGCCGCTCGCCTTCCTATCCTTCTTGTCGCCCTCCTGCGGCTTCTTGTCCTTTCCCTCCTTGCGGATCCGGTTTTGGACACCACCTAGATATCATGTCGTTAACCCTAACCCTAACACCAGGGGCTCCCGATGGATGGTCGATTAGAGATGGCAAAAAACTTACCCCTACCGTGGAACCGCAGTTCGGGACTCTGAGACATTACCGGCAGCGCCACGCCGCCCTCTGCCAGCGTGCTCACCCCCGGAGGACTTCCCACTGCGGACTGACCCGCGCCCCGCGGATCGAGGGGAGGTGTCGCGTTAAATGACGCGCCCCCACCGGGAAAAGCATCAGGATTAGAGAACTGGCGCTGTGTCCGCGATCGGGTCTGCGTCGGACTCGAAGACATGGGCGGGGATCCCTCGCCGTCGCCATCCGACCACATCCCCGTCTCCTTGGCGGGGTTCATAGCCGGGTCGCATTTCATGTCGAGGAGGGACGACTGGAGGATCGTGTACTTACGCATAAGGAGGCTGTACTGCTTCTGCAGCTCGGCCTGCTTCGCCCGACTAGCCGCCAGTGCACTCTCCACAGCGGCATTCGCTGCCGGCGACGCTCTCTTCCCATTGTTCATGTTCTCTTGCGTCTCGACCAACTTGGATTTGAGCACGACGATCTGCGACTCGTAGAGTTTCTTGACTTGTTCAAGGGCATGTTCCTGCGCCGCGAGCTTCTGATCTAGGATCTCAACCTGGCTCTCCGCGTTGGACGCCGCCTCGACCGCTCGCTCCATCTCAGCCTCCTTACCCTGGAAGTCTCGCTCGACAACAGTCAGTCTCGCCACCTCGGCCTTTAACCTATCGATTTCGGTCTTGTCGAGTTCGTGAGACTGAGAGCTCTGCTTCCAGTTAAGTTCGCGAACTTCGAACTCGCAAACCAGGGTCTTGAGCTTATCGCACTCTTTCCTCGCCGCCTCGAGATCCCGCTCCAACTCTCCAATCCTCGCCTTCGTCTTCTTGGACTCCTCGCGCAGAGTTTTGAGTTTCGCTGATAGGTCGGCCTCCCACTTCTTGGCGAGGCTTCGACTCTTCTCGGATTCCTTCTTCACTTGCATCTCCGCCTTCCTCGCCTCCTCGAAACCTCTCTTTAAATTTCGATTAGCAATGAGGAGATTCTGCAACTCCGCCTCGGAAGCCGCTTCCTGCATCTGGCGTCGCCTCAGCTCCGCCATGTGGGCCACATGTTGCTGTTTCAGGTATCGCTCAAAGGCTAAGTCGTTTTGCAGCGAGAGGACCTGTCGATGTAGCTGCGATATCTGCGCATTGGGATCACCAGCCAAAACCAGAAAGCCCCCTTGGCCGCCTTGTTTTGGGCCACCGAGGGAGAGAGGGGCTACAGGAGCAATCTCGGAGTTCGAGTCTTGGTGACTGAGCGATAGTGACGGTACGCTATCATTTGTAAGGGTCTGGCCGATGGCGGGCTTTTGGACTTGGGGGCGCGAGCTTGGAATGGCAAGATGAGGAGGTAGCGTCGGGCTATCAGCCCCACTGAGGCTTCGGTGTCGCGCATCAACCGAGTCCTTTTGCGATTGTTGGCTTGATAGAGAACTGTGTCGTTGGGCTGTTAGCGCCTTGTGGCTGCTAGAAGATGATTCAACGGTCTCGCCGAGATTCTGATCCCCCAAGAGCCCGCGATTGGGTGTATCCGGGAGGACTCCATCCTCTCTAGAAAACAAACTCGAGGTCCTGACAGCCGACGGCTGTCCCAGAGCTGCTTCGTGTGTAGGGCCATCGGCCATGACACACAACGCCGCGCACTCGGCAACGACTTCCGCTGGTTCACTGGAATGCCAACGTCCGTGGTCTGTCTTTTCGGATTCGATGGTGAGATGGTAAAAGTTTGGGTGCAGCAGATGGCCTCGGCGAAAGATCTCCGAATGATGCCTGATTTCACTGGGCTGCACCTCGATTGCGTCGGCGTTAGGGGCATTGGCATGTCTTAAGTAGCGGTGTGGCTTTCGAATATAGTCCATAAAATTGATAGGATAGAGCCCATAAAGAATAGTGAAATAAGACCGTAGGAGAGGGATCTCGTTGCCATCCAAATCTGGTGTATATTGACAAATGTCCCATCCGGAAGGGTCGATTAGGGGTTTCCGGCTGCTCTGCTCACCAGGGTAGTGAGGGCTATTTGACCTTTCTCTGTGCCAGAACAGCAATCGAGCATAGATATTGAAGAGAGTCGGTAGATACGGAACGAGGGAGCTTGGCATTTGAGGTAACAGCATCGTTAACGCCGTTAGAGTTGTCGACACGACAGTCGTTGACGTATCGAGCTGAAGGCATTTCAATATATTGTTGAATAACGGTGTCTGCAAAACTTGGTATAGGTGAGGGGGTTGCTGCCCGATGAAGTCGCAAAGCAGGGTAGCTATCTTGATCCGGTACTCGGCTCTTACGAAGAACTTGTCCAAGGTGGCAAGGAAGTCCTAAGGGAAAGTATGTGAGTATGTGAGAAACTCACCAAAGAAAACACCGCCGGTTCGAACTCTTTTTATCTTACCTTGGGTTTCCCCCTCCCATAATATCTCAGCGACTCTCGCGCAGACCTCTCGATAGGCTCGGCATTCTTCTTGGCAGGGCTGGCCTGGTAATTCTCTATCCACGTGCGAAGTAGGCGCTCAGCGAATGGGTTGAAGTCAACGTGGCTGCCCTCGACACCAGAGCCTATATCCTCCAACTTCAAAAGATCATGCACTGCCGAAGCGCATTCTGTCATCAACCCTTTCTCGGTCGAGAAATTCTCCTCCACCTTATCATTTAGCAGATCCCACCATTGTCCAATTCGCGCAGGCGTTTGGATCATAGGCACGAGCCGGGACAAGATCGCGACGAAGCCAGCCAGGAGATCTGGGCGGTCCTTCACGTATCTCTGATAGACCGATAAAAGCTCCTCCTGGAGTCTCTCGGAGCTCGAGTCATCATGCTTTTCGTGCTTGTGGAGGTAACTGTCGATCGCTTCGATAAGATCCTCGGGTAAAGGGACGGATAGATTGGCGATATGAGAGTTGATTGCCCTGGAAAGCGACTTTAACGTCCTACCAAGCAGGTTGCACGTTAGCAAGGCGCATAGTAGACAGGAGATGGGGGGACGAGATAGCGAGCTCCCTGTGTTGCCTGACTCCCCTCAGGAAGGGGGGGAGGTGGGAGGGAATAGCTCGTGACGGAACACGGCTAGGAATTATTCATACATACCCTGGGCTAACCATGATTCCTCAAGAAAACATTGCAGACGAGTGGAGGTATAATGAGGCGGCGATGATATCTAATTCCAAGATACTGAAAACGGCGGGAGAGCTTAACGAAATATGGGGTGACGGAGCTAGGAAATTCTGATTCCGACGCCGGGAGAACGGGATGATGAAAAGGGACATCAAGATGGAGACTCTGCATCCACTGAGCGCCTTTGGTCGGTTATGTACTCAATACTTTTCTAAGGCGGTAACATAGCGCAGAGTTCTTGTATCAATACATTGCAGATCGTTATTGGTCAAAACCCAAACCTGGATATCCATCGACCTGTGCCACCCGTACCTACCCAGCATTACCATTCCGGGATCCGCTGAGACAATTGATGGATACATCCTGCAGCTGAGTGATCCGGATACAGGGTCTGGGTCGCTTTCAAAGCTTATGGAAGGCGCTGGCTAAGCTCAATCCAGCATTAGTGCTCAACCCCGCATCTTAGAACATGAAGTCAGTGCGAGGTATTACTTGTGGTTACCAGATTGTGTGGCAGAACCCCGCCAAAGTCAAAGTTGACCGATCTCTGTTGGAAGGAAGCATAGGCTGAAGAGAGTGAAGATTGCATCGTCGGGAAAAGGCCCATCGAAGAGGCGATGAATTGGGTTGAGATTTTTGAGTGGATTAGTTGGTTAGTTCCAGGTCACTCCTGGCCCGACCGATGAGCTGAGTCCCTTCAGTGGCATGCCCCAAAGATCGTTCGATTAATGAGAAGAGAATCCACTCAACAATGTAGCTACAATTGACTCACCCCTAAAGCTATGGCGTACCTCGTCAAGGCCCCTTGGAGCAACATCAACTCAGATGACTTCACTACAAAGGTACGATGTACGAAGTACGGAGTAGCTTGCGTCGTGTGACTCTCCCCTTGTTCCAGGCCCACTCATTGCCGTCATACTCGTCCTGCTACACACAGTATGCAATACCTGTCGGCAGGCGTAGGGGACCACCGAAGCATGGGTAGCTGAGGACATGGACGATGCACCCCACCAAAACGGTGTCGTCCGGTCCGTTCAATGTTCAATGCCACTTGGCTGAGGAGGAGCTTTGAGGAAACGAGTCGATCAGCCCTCCTGACACTTTACACAAGCAAGCTCGTCCGCACCTACCCTACCTGTCCTCGCCCAACTCAATTCGAGTATAAACGTTGCTCCTACCCCTCTTCAATTGAGAGCTGTCTTCCTCCTCTTCTCTCCTTCCCCTCTTCATCTTCATAGCATTCTCCATCTCCATCGCCATCACAACCACTCACAATTATCACCCAAACATATCATCACTGCCCAACAGCAGCACTGCTTCTCTGGCACTCTTTGTGAACTGCCTGACGTCTCCCACTTCCCAATTTACTACATTCCCTCACATATCACATAGTTGTCAAGATGGCTGCGCATAAGACCTCGGCGGTCGTGGATGAAAATGAGCCGCTCGAGGTTCTCTTTGCCCTCCACCCCAAGTTCGACTTGTTGGACTGGGCCGGCCCATGGGAGGTATTCCATAGCGCCCTCCACGATGTCAACGACCCAGGTATGCCACCCCCTCCTCGTTTCCCCCTTCTCCACCGTGTCTGACCACCGAGCTAACCAATCGTCCTGAATGCAGAGTCGAAGGCCTTCGATTGCACCATCGCCGCCGATGAGAAGACTGTCCTCTCTGACCAAGACGTGTCCATCGTCAGCCAGATCCCATACAAGCAAGCATACGAAGATCTCAAAAACTACGACGTTCTTGTAGTTGTCGGTGGAAACACTGATGAGATCATCGAGAAAGACGCCGAACCCCTCGGCATCATCTCAGCCTTTGCTGAGCTGCAGAAGGCAGATCCAGTCCGAGAGAGGACATTGTTGTCTGTCTGCACCGGCTCGCATTTCCTTGCCCAGAAGGGAATTCTCGCCGGCCTTTCGGCCACCACCCACCCCGACTACTTGACCAAGTTCGAAATTCTTTGCAGCCGTGCTGCCACTCGCGATCTTGACGAACGTACTGACGTCCAGGAGAACGTCCGGTACGTCGTTAACAATCTGCGATTCGACCTGGGAAACGAGGACGAGAACCCATACATCCGCCGAAAGTCGGATGCCCGCCGCCCTTCCAATGCCCGGTATGTTTTCCGAGCTCCAATGCCTTCCTTGCTTCCCACTTCGTCCGCCCTGAATTCAAACTAACGGCTTTCCCGTATAGAAAGGGAAGTGTTTCGTTGAGAGGCTCCAGCACGCGAGAGAACATTGCTCGCCGCGCTGCGATGCGTCTTGGCGGTCTGCGTGTCATCACTGCTAGTGGTGTTTCCGCTGGTACTGATGCCGCTCTCTATGTCGTCGGAGCTCTAGTCGATGATGAGTCTGCCAACGCAGTTGCGCGAAGACTCAACTGGACCTGGCAGAAGGGACTTGTTGTTGATGGCGTTGATGTTTAAGGCGTTATAAGGAGTACAGGTGATCATGATGACTGGGTTGATCTGGATTTGATTTTGTATCACGACTTTTTTTATGCTGAAATGGTCGTGAATGTAGACTAGAAGACAAACTCGCAACAAAGCGATTTTGTCTTTCAATATTATGAATGCTCACAGAGCAATGCAATTACATTATTTCCATTCCTTTTCCACTAAATCAGGCGGACCCAACATGTCAACACCAGAGTTGACCTTCACTCTTGGAGAAATCTTTGTGAACCCACTTAAACACACCCGTCGGCCCTTGGGATATCATGGAGGACAGGAAAGGTACAAAGCAAAGAGGTAAGCAAGAGAAGAGGAAACTTGTGTGAATGCAACCAAAAAAAGACACAAGTTTAAAACACTAGAGATTCGCTGGTGGCCACCAACCCTTGGGTCGCCGTCGACGTCGTTCCCCACCCCCTGGCTGAGTCGAAGGAATGGCCAAGAACACCACCAGGGACCATACCACATCTCCACCTTCTGCCTGAGAGCATCGACCGACCCCTGCACCCTCGCCAGACAGCCCAAGAGTCCAGAAAGGTCAGTATTTTAGACTGCCGTCGCTTGTTTGTGTGCTTTTAGATATGGAGGTCGACTCCAATGGAGCCGGTACGGCTTCAGTCGCTGCATCCCCGACACACGTCGGCCTAGGAGGATAATTTAAACACGTGCTGAGGAACATCGGTTTACCTTTTCCTGGCCGTCCTGCACGACGACGCGGTTGGGAGGGTTGGGAATCGGGATCCATTGTACGGGATGAGGTTGAGGAGAGTCGCACTCTTAATATTTGGTGTGTGAGCACTGAGTATCTTTACACTGATATCAGGCTTGGACTTGGATATTGATTATTATCAATTGGTGTTTTGGTACGAAGGTAAGAGGAGGAGGCGTATCATATCAAATCAATTGATGCTTGGGGCAGAACCAAGGTCGAACAAGACGCGTTGAGGAGAAGCAATTGAGATGTTCCCCAAAGCGACAAGCAAACAAGTAACATTTGAACTTGTCTCCGATCACTCAAACACACACTTTTCCCCTGGACGTCATGGCTAGGCTTAACAGCCGGGCAATGCAAGTTCAACTAAGCCTCCATGACCGCGACATTTCCAAACTTTTCTGACATTTAGTCCCGCCCTCTTCGCCAACTCTCCGAACTGCGCTGGACTCCGAGAACGCCCATTAGTGCCTACCATCATTGCCATATCATAAATATGTTTATATCGGTGGTAGTGGCCTTTAACCTCCGCTTCTTCTCCAGACGCCGTTGCAGACGGCATCATAATCTCTCTGATTATTGAGCAAGATAACAAAATTAGCCCGGCTCTTCAGAGAACGTCCACTAGATGGCGGTGGGCTGGCGAGCAAAACTACTTACGAGATCAACGCCCTGCTGTTAGTTCCCATGCTCGCCTTCAAATTCGCCAGAATACACACAACATCAGCATCAACCCAGTCAAGGAGGACATTCCTCACGTAGTAGATGTCAGCTCCCTTGACTGGGTTTGGCTTGAAGAAGTCATGCGGCACGAACCGAACCTTCCTCTGCGAGATGGCATCGGGGTGCTGCTTGGGCCAGACGACGGTCTCGGCCTCTTTGAGGAGCGGTGCGAGGTCTTGCAACACAATATTGAGTTGGGGGACGAGTTTGGATAGGCGGAGGGAGAATCCTCCAACTCCAGATCCCACGTCGACCACAGTTGCTTCGCCAAGTGACGACCAAGGGTAGTCTGCAAAGTGTAAGTGGGGGAGAGAAAGAAATATTATGGAAGAAATACAAGGAACGCACCATCGTATTCGGCCATCAGGCCTGGCTCTCCGGCGCCAACCATGGCCATTTTGAATACCCTCATTTCAGGTCTTTCCACGAGCTCATCATCGGCCTTACCCTTGATCGCGTCACGAAGAAGGGTTCCATACACACCTGGGTATCCACTGCGGAAACTCTCCAACGAAGCCATATCGTGGTTAACATCTTTCATAATTCCAGCGTCTTTTTCGTTGCCGGCGCCGTTCAATGAGCCGTTCAGCGGATGGGTCGATGACCACCAGTCATGAGTGACGCCAACGCCGTTCCTGCCTTGCTTCAAATCCTCTACTCGGACCTTCTGTCCAATCCACTGAAATACTCCTCCTTTGAAACGATGGCACTGACCCAGCGCTGTCGTGCTGGAGTCGTACGAGTGGCCCCGTCCGTCGGGGCTTAAGAGATGCGTTGGTAACTCGTTTGCCCCAGAGAACATCGCAAGCCCACTACGCGCGAAAGTAACAATTAGCTCCCATATACCATTTGTAGATCGGGACCAAGAGGAAGACGAGCTTGCTCCGCACGTCGCTCGACCTACAAAGTCATCACCCAGGCCTTGAAATTCTCATCTCTGGCCAACAGGACTGACGTGTCATTATTGGCAAAGACATCTCCTCGGACCTCCTTGAAAATGCCCAAATCGCACAAAAGTCGGAGCAATCGTCCTGTCGAGAATTTATGGTCAACAGCTGTATAGGCACTGAGGTAGAACAAACTTCAGGCTCTTACCCAACTTTCCCTCCTCCAATCCAGTCTCTCGCGCGAGATCTCGAATGCTCATCCCCCTTCCTGCACCCTGTCTCTCAATGATACCGGCTACATCAGCGGCAGCAATAATGTGTAACGCTCTAGCCTCGAGGTGCTGGGCCGAAAGCAAAACCAACTGTTCCTTGGGCGATAGTAAAACAGAGTTTAGCCGCCCAGTAGCATTGATCAAGAACTTCTGAGCCTCGAACACAGAATGTGGCGGGATTGGGCTCTGCCGCCCCTTTGGGGCGGAGCTTGACCCGGACGTAGCTTTCTCAAGCTCAGCGATGTACTCCTCGATGCCAGCTTGAATAGTCCTTCCCAGCTCGCGGAGCGGCGACACCAGGGACGTCATGGAAGCATAGTCCATAGTTGTCATTTTCCGCTGAAGTGCTGGATAGCTCCTTTCACAGATCCTGTACAAGCCCCTAGCCCGGGGTCGACGCATTATATTAGCTGATATGAGGCAGTAAACCATAGGCATCGATATGCTCTCCAGAATTAACTTTTCATCTCTACCGGAGTGCCGTAAACCGCCGATTGTCCTTGTTTGCCACCTGGGTCTCATTTTCATGTGTCACCGCCTTCCATTGGAGAGCTGCAAGGAAAAAGGAAAAAATGGAAGAAAGAAAAATCAATTCCTGAGTTCGTGTTGCCTACGTATCGTTATTTTTGTGTCGGAGCTTCACTTGGTATTAATACACAGACTCACAAGCCAACATGACATGACCTCGGGGACTCCGGCCGGACACCGCTGCCGAAAGTGGGGCTCACCGGACGGGTGGCGGACCACCGTCTCCCGCTTCGGGGCTCTCGTTGAGGATTAAACTCCCTCGCGGAGGGGCAGAAAGGCCCGATGGCGTGTCTTAGGTGCGGATATTTATTTATGTAGATGCTTCCTCTTCTGTCCTATTGCGCTTACACTGCGGGAACGCTCTGTATCTCTGATTATGCTCAACCAAAAAAAAAACGTTGGGCCATACCTAATGGGTTTTACCTCCATACGTCAAGGTACTTGGTGACCTTGCTTGCTGTCGGAGTCTCAAAATTATCGAAGTCGATTGGAAGAACGCGACAGGGTGCCTATTTCGCACAAATGGACGCCGCCAGGGTTAACGGACAAGTACTGGGCTGTAATATATGTCAATTCATATGCAATCCACTACTCGTTACCAGTATGCAGCGGAAGGAAGTATACCTGGGCGAAAGTTGTTGGCCCTATAGACCCCACGCGCGCTCAGGGTTTCCTCCGTCTCAGAGGTTCATCTTCTTCGTCCCACCTTCTTCGCCATCCGGCCTTACGGTAGTGTTGCAGCTTGACCTCGGGAGTCCGCCTCCAGTGACGGATATCACCACCTACCACCAGTTACCAAGGCACGAACCCAGTCGATAGGCTCACATGCAAACCGCAGCTGACGGACTATCCCCAGAGCTTTGCCCCTTTGCATGGGGAGGTGGTAAGTAAGACAGGAAGGGGATCTACGAGACTTGGGCCGATTCCTGGTGTCTGCTTATGCTGCGGTGGCCACTCCTTGAATGGAGCTTGTGGGCCTCGCAAAGGCCGCTTGGGGGGAAGTCTCGAACGTGAGCACATATAGAAATTGCTTGCCGCCCCCGGGCACCAGCTATTGCTTCGACGAGTGGGCTGAGACACCCTAGGCTTTCAAGAGGCCTCTGATTTCTGCTCTCTGCTTTCCGTCCTAACATCAAACAAGATGGAGTTGGCTTTACTCTATTTCGCCGCCCCAATTCTCTTCTTCTCCGTGTTGCAGCAGCTGCTGTCATGGAGGAGGAAGCGCCTCGCCCCTACCCCCAAGTTCCCTGGGCCTAAGCAATTCCCCATTGTCGGCCGCGTCCATGATGTGCCCAGGTTCTCAATATGGTTGAAGTTCAAGGAGTGGGCAGACATCCATGGACCTATCTATCAGACCAGAGCCTTGAACCAGACATTCATTATCGTGTCTGATGAGCAGATTGCCCATGAGCTTCTTGTCAAGAGGGGTAACATCTACTCTGGCCGTCCTCAGATCAGGTCCCTCATTGGACATAAAGAGGGTCCAGCATACTCTGCACTGATGGACCGTAATGGTGAGCCTCAATTCTGCTCCCGCCCGAAGATCTTTTCACCGATATTTGAGTCCCATGTCTGACTTTCACTCACTTCCCAGACACCTGGGCTCGACAACGCAAATGGGTCCACGCAGCCATGACTGAGGCTTACAGACACCATTTCTACCAGCACATTGAGCGGGAGACGAAGCGGTATCTCGTCACGCTGCTGGTCGACCCCGAGCGGTTTTACTCCAACACTCGCGAGTACTGCGGGCGCATTATGAGTCGTCTTACCTGGGACCGGGCGTTTGAAGGCAAGCTCAACGGCGAGAGCGCCGAGCAGACGATGAACGCTATGTCCGTTTCCGGCCCCATAACCAACACTATAACGCCCCTCTGGCACATTCCGTTCCCCATCAACCCGTGGAAGAAATTTGAGGTCAAGCGTGAGGCCACGCAGCGCGCCTGGTGGCTCAGTAACTTCCACATCGCCAGGGAACGTTTTCTGCGGGGCGACCTGCCGGCTGATACCTGGGCTTATCGGTACTTTGAAGAGGTGCGCAAGGAGGGCAACTGGGATGTAGAGCAGGACGACGATCAGGCCGTGTTTGCGAGCTGCATGATTGGGTTCTTGAACTTGGTTGGCGTTATTACTAATTCAGGGCCGCTCAAGTTCTTCCTTATGGCCATGGCGCTGCATCCGGAGTGGCAAAGGAAGGCGCAGGAGGAGATTGACCGTGTGTGTGGTGGTCGGATGCCCACTATTGAGGACTTCCCTGACTTGCCTACAGTAAGGGCTTGTTTAAAGGAAACAGTGAGGTGGAGGCCCAATGTGCCCTTAGGTGTGTCGTGTGTCACTTGGCCCATCACCACTGTGGTGTATTTTGCTAATCGGAACCTTCCAGGTGTTGCTCACCAAGCCGAAAGGGATGATGAATACCAAGGTGTGAAAATCAAGAAGGGCACTAATATCATCGCGTGCGAATGGTGAGCCCCCCCTTGAGAGATTGCATGTCGGTGGAGTTGCGCTCCAGATCATTGATTATGCTGATGTCAATATTAGGGCCCTGAGTCGTTCGCCGTCCAAATATCCCGACCCGGAGCGCTACCGCCCCGAGAGATGGCTCGAACCCGGTTGGCCCACATATCAGGAACCTCTAACGCGGTACCCGAATTTCCGGGAAGGCTTGGGCTTGCACATTTTTGGCTGGGGCCGCCGAAAATGCCTGGGCAACACCCTAATCGACGATGAGTTGTTCGTCTGCGGCGCGGCTCTCTGCTGGGGGTTCAACATGGCGCCCAAGACTTGCCCGAGGACGGGTAAGGAGGTCCCAATTGACACCCTGGCGAGTAATAGCCATGCCCTCTTGGAGCCGGATCCGTTCCAGATGTCGTTCAAGCCTCGGAGCGAAGCCCGAGCTTCACAGATCCTGGAGGGATATAAGGAAGTGGTTGGGGAATTGAAGGTCTGAGGAATCAAGGACATGATATGGGAGGCACTCGGGTTTGGTGGAAGTGAGGCTGAGAAGCCTGGCCCAGACGTGGACGCTATGCTTAATGACGATCTTGAAGATGTGTGTATACTGTAATCTGGCCTTGCAGGTGCACGTACTTGCTCGATTCGAATGTATCAAGTGGTTTATAAATTGCGTCTTACGAGCGCTATCGGTTAAGATCTTAGTCTCCGGACAGGGTGTGCGATTCACATTGTCCCGTCCGCCGTCATTCTTTCATTCGGAGAATAGGTCCGACGTTCAAGGCCGAGAAGCAAGGCCGAGTGCACAGCAGTCTTCTCTCAGTGTTCGTACATAGAATTGGGAGCCCACGGCACGCGCCGTTTATCCGCAGAATGCACCAGTTCCGTAGGATCCGGGTCCTCCTCCTTCTTCAGCCCTGAAGAACTCTGAAAACGGTCCTTGTAGCTGATAACACCTCCAACCCTGTCTCAATGTCTGTTCGAAAATGTTAGTAGCGCAGGGTGTTCTCCCAAGTATCCTTTGGAAAGGATGAAGTTGGAGAGTGATTGTAAGGACAAAAAAAAAAAAAAAAAGAAACAAGAAGCCAAAAGGAAAGGATTGGGGGAAGAGACATATAACACCAGGGATTCGCTGGTCGTCACCGACACACCTACTAGTCTGGCGCTTCAGAGGCTTTTCTTTTAGAGTAGATTTTACTAGTATTGAAATGGGTTCGCCGATTATTACTGATAGAAAGAGGTAACGGTCTCCGAAATCTAACTGAGGTTCTTTAATTTAATTTCTATTATTTTGATTATAGCTGGCATTACTCTTTCTTTTCCTTCCTCTCATCAGGAGGGAGCAACAACAAGTTCGACAAGTCATTTTTATCAATCGGCATCTTTTACCTGTTCTTACGGATCATCTTGCATGGTGACTTCGGACAGTTTTACTACTTATTTTGTATGCTTAAGTGTCCCATATTAGACACTTACATGATTCTTCACCTGTCCTTATTTAGATGTCTCTTCTATACGCGTTCTACCATTGTTTCCATTGATCAACCGATCCGACACCCGTCCACTCCTGTGGGGGCATTGCGGCGGCTTCTTGCAGGAACTGTTACAGACTATCGGCTACACCTGTTTCCTTTTTATCTACGTGGTGTGCGGGTAGGCTGCACTATCCCGTCTCATTTCTATTAAATTTGTTTTGTTTCCTCTCAATTCCATCCCAACCAGAATGTCTTGACTGTTTCCATCGAAACCCAATCCGGTAATTTTCACGCCTTAGATGGCGGTCTCTACTATGACGTCCACCCCGATGGTGCCAAATCGGCTGCAAGATCTCCCACTACACGTACTTGATGAGCTTTGCGGGCGCCTAACACGAGACAAGGCCGGACGACGCGGCCTGCTCGCCCTCTCCCTAACGAGTACTCGGCTCGCCGGCTTAACCACAAGATTCCGCCTCCAAACAGTGCATCTCGTGGTTAAAGGCCCCCAGAAGCTACGCAGCGATATTGCGACTCTGACGGATGTGTTGGCAGCTCGTGACAATGTGCCCTACGTGAGACGACTCGAGATTCGCGGCTCGATGTCACGCGCCGCATCTGGTGAAAGGCAATCTGGTGGCGACCACGGTGAACAGCCGAGCTTGCAGGGAGCGAATGGCCCTGTGCATGACTACTGGCCGCCCGACGACGACGGCGACTTTTGGGGGCCGGCCCGGGAACCAGTCGACTTTGATCCTACGGGACCTGGCTCGGCCGGGCAAGACCGGGTGCGAGATCAGGCTGCATGGTCCTGTTTAGCCAGCTTCATCGGGGAGCTGATCCAGCTCGCCGACGTCGTCTACGCATGCGAAGACCAGGTGCCAGTATGTATACTTGAAGTGCTACACACCCACCCATTGAGACCCCGCCTACACGTCCACAGTTTCTCTTTGCGCAGTCTTTATCAGCCTGCGTCCAGTCTCCGCGATATCGACCTTGACGAATACATCCTCGCCTCATCGCCATGCCTGTCGAGCATTCGAGCGCGTGGCACTGCGTCTGGCTTTGATTCGCGCGGCCGCATCAGTTTCAATGAAGAAGCAATTCTGCGAATGGTAGCTGGGAGACTTTGCGCCCTAAGGACTGTTTCTATATGGGTGAAGGGCCCAGATGAGACCATCGAGCACCACAGGGCTCTATCAGCTCCGAGACCCACGTGGGCAGGATTTTTCCGCAACGATGCGCACGGTTTTCCCGATGACGGACTTGGTGCACTTGAGAACTTGGTACTTGTCGGCGGCGAATGCCTGACCCCTCAGATCGTCACGGCTTGGAGCAACCACACAGACTTTAACATGCTTCAGTCCTTGCGTCTTCTCTTCGCGTCTACGAGTCTCGCTGCACTGCAGATTCTCACCGAAGAGGTGCGAACTTACAGGGCTCTCAGCCAGCTGCCTCATCTCGACTGCCTCAGCCTGCTCCTAGACTGCTCCAACCTCCATGCGATGGAAGAAGCTGAACCAGAGTTGACTGATGTCGAGAAGCAGTTACCCGAAAGCGACGTTGATATAGCTTCCAAATACCTCCGCGACGCATTCATAAATGTTGCTGTGGACGATACAGTCGCAGCAGATATCTTCAACTCCTTATCCTTCCAACGTACTCCTCGAATTATTAGCGTCCGCCCCACCGGTGCAGGGGATTTCGGGAGCGCGTATGTCGATAGGCCATTTTATACGATTGCACGGTGCCTAGGCCGGCACTGGGTCCGAATTCGCAACCGGAGAGCTGGCTGCGACGAATACTATACAGCAGAGATCAAGTCCGAGGAGACGAAGGAGGCCGAGAAGAAACTGAGCAATGACATTGATCCATTCTACGAGGCTATTCTGAATTCCATATGGCCTGATGCGAAGGAGCATAGAAAGCAAGCATGGAAGGGTCTGCGACTATGGAGGGAACCTGATCGGTTGGACGAGTATCCCTGTCCGCCTGAAACGGATTATGGACGCTCTTGACAGTTCTCTCTCGCGATTAACGCCGCAGAATACGGTTGGACTCGATGCATATCTCAATGCCACACAGGCTCACACCTTCCCATCGACCCTCGAATTCTCAAAGAAAAGCCTCCAACCCCTCTGCCCTTGGCCGTCGCTGTTTGGAACATACTAGAATAGGGCCATCCCACACTGGTTTGTATTAACCTGCGCAAACTCCGCTGGAATCTGGTACCGCAGCCGCTTGTAGGGGTATATCCTCCTCTTTGACCGGCCGGGAATGACATGCGACACCGCATCGATGACCGTCTGTACGCGATTTCCATACTGGAACTTTTTTTCGGAGGTTGAATGACCATCTCGAACCGGCATCATGATGTAAATCTGCGCCTTGTCGTCGTCGCCGTCGTCGTCGTCGTAGTTGAAGAGATTCCAGTCGATGGGAGGGCCTATTGGTGGGATGTAAGCCTTGTAACCATTGGGGATGGGGTTCAAAACATCGTTGCCTTCCATGAAGTCTATTGCACGCTGGCGGAAGGCCTGGTAATCCGAGTCGTCCGTGGTGTCGTTGTCATCCTTACCATGGGAATATGTCTCTCAGAAGTGGGCCTCGGCAACAAGTCAGCGAGCACATATATTATTCCAGAAGCACTGTGGTGATATACCATCCATACGGCGCGCTGTGAAACGACAGCAACCTGAGGTTACATGCCGGCGAGGGAGGATTGATCTTCCTTCCGTAGACGAAGAACATACCACAGTGCACCCATGAAGCCCACCGGACATGATCTTGAAGGGTTGGTCCCCAAACACTTTTTGCTGACTGTAGGCCATCTCATCTGGGCCGCCTTCAGCAGCACCTAGTAGTAGTATAGCCCATCGTTAGCTTGAGGGGTGCATAACAAAACGGGGGTGGAGAGCTGAAATCTAGCGTAGCAATGCCACAACTGAGCGGATAACAAAGTAGGGAATCTCTATACCGGAGACGATCGGGAAAGATGCCCCAAAATAAGCAGTCTCGCCCCCATTGAACGTGAACAGTAAGTAGGCCGCGATCTGAGCATTGCTCAGGCGCGGAACATAGTTAGGGTTTCCAGGTGGCATGCCAAAGACCCGTTTCACGAGCGGGTTCTCCGAAGCCTCCAGGGTCACATTGATGTCGTTCCAGTCCCACCCTCACTCTACTAGAGGGGAGAGAACTGGGACGCAATCTACGCCGGAGGAGGAACGGATCCGCCGAGCAGACGCCGCCACCGCATCTGCCGACCTGACAGGATGGCTCGCATTGCAGCGAGGAGTCGAGGAAGGACTGCGTGTTCTTGAGCGATGGCTAATAGCGATACAGCGGGTCCTATTCAAAGATCAGGTGGACCGTGACGAAGCGGCCTCTAGAGCTACGTGTTGATCTGATTTCCCAACTCCCAAACATAAAATTCTATGAAAACAAACAGATGGCTTGATGTCAAACGAAATAGAACCATGGCTTAGTCTTCCTGCGCTTCATTATAAACCTGCTTAGAGAACTCCACTGTGCCATCATCATAGGCGTGAACCGAAGTTAAACGAGAATTATTCCGGAATATTTGTCCGGAGACGCGCAACTTCGGGTCGGCCTCGGAAGCATGTGGCTGGCCCCTTTGTTATCGTTAGCAGAAGCGTCAGGGCACACAAACTAGGATAGATAGGCGTAACCTACGCGATCTCAACTGTGTCGGCTGCCGACAGTTTTGGATTCTTCGCAATCTTGTTCTTAATCAACGTTTCATACTTATCGACGGGTTCGGTACCCTTCCAAATGAACTTGAGAAGGGCCCGAGCGGTAGTGGAAAAGTATCGACTCATATCTTCTATTCAATCGTTAGCTGGAAACCTCCCATGGATGTCGCGAGTACAACCGAACCTATTATCATAAACAAGATCGTAGCTGTTGACGGTTAGATATTACCGAAAGATCATCAGAACGAGGATGAGCAATCTCTATATACACGAGAGGCAAGCGTTGAGCTGCCCAATATCTGGTCTATTACCGCCAGGATTTGATGACCCGTGCTGCTCGACTTGGTTGTGTGGCAAGCTGGGCGTATCATTTGACGCCTCGCCAATTTCAAGATCGACATGGCATCAAAATGTACGACTTGCCGCGCGGTTAGGATCCAGTACGAATGTGGACACCGCATAGACTCGAGCCCCGCCCCCGAAAGAATATTTATAGACTTGGTAAATTATATTTGGCATCTGCGATACTGAGTCTAGTCAATGAATGGTGCCAGATAGCCGCCGTAAAGAAGGCGCAATTGTGATACCAATGGTGTGGATGAAAAACCATTTGGCGTGATGAGTCTCGGACCGGTTCATTAAGCTTAAGTAAGCACATTAGCTGCTACCTTCCCATGGAACTCATCATTGAACGTTCTTCACCTGGTAATATCGAAGCTGTCAATTGATCCATAACTGATGATGAACGGCGCGCCGTCAACACCGATCATATTTTCCCGCCTTTCCCAAATGTTCACCCCTAAACGTAGAAACTGGCCCGTCGTGGCTGCCTTGTACCATCAACCATGGCCTCCATCGCCGGCGTTAGCCTCACGACTGAACCCCCAAGAGCTGGTCGAAGAAGAGAAGACTCCGTATTATAGCCCCGACCGATTTTACCCAGCCTTCCTTAGCCAAATTCTCAACGATAGGTATCAACTTGCAACGAAAGTTGGTTACGGCTCCAGTTCCACCGTATGGCTTGCCAGGGATCTATGTCGGTCGGTTTTTTCCCTTCTCAGTAAATATTCCCCCCTCCCTAACTGGCCAGATAGATGTCGATGGTTAAAAGAGCGCTATGTGGCCATCAAGATAAATGCCAAGGACCACCACTCCCTCAAAGGCACAGCCAAGTCTGAGCTTGCTATTCTCCAGCACATCTCGAAAGAGTATTCTAGTCATGAAGGCTGGCACTTCGTGAGGAAGCTGGTTGACTCCTTTGCTATAGACAATGGTGACCAAGATCATGTCTGCTTGGTATTCGAGCCTCTCCGCGAACCGCTTTGGCTTTATTGCCGTCGATTTGTAGACGGGGTAATACCCTCAGATGTTCTGAAGGTGATACTTCAGATGATCCTCCAGGGACTCGACTATCTCCATACGGAATGCCAAGTGATACATACTGGTGAGCCTGATTATATTGCTATAAACGCCATTTTCTTACCGAGAATAGATCTTAAGCCAAGCAACATAATGGTGAAACTTGAGGACCCAGAAATCCTGGAACGCGACGTCCGTGATGAGTATGACCATCCCTTACCCCAGAAAGTTCTGGATGAGCGAACAATCTATCTTTCGCGGAATAACTACGGCCGGCTTTTGAGACCTACGGGGATCGTTCAGATCACCGACTTTGGATTGTCTGTCCGAGGAGACGTCCCACACTCTGGCTGTATCCAGGCTGAACTGTACCGGGCTCCCGAGGTGGTCCTCGATGCTGGGTATACTTACAGCGCGGATATTTGGAGTTTGGGGGTGATGGTATGGAAACATGGAAAATTCTAAGCCTTTAATTGCGGTGACGGCTGACGAAAATAACTTCCGGATAGCTGTGGGATCTTCTCCAAGGAAAGAAGCTCTTTGACCTGGTAGATCCAACTACAGGCGAATATGATGACCAGCGTCATCTCGCACAAATCACTAGTCTTCTGGGGAAGGCTCCAGACGACCTTTTACGTCAGGGTCAACGAACATCAATGTTCTATGAGAGTGATGGTATGGTTTTGGTTTTTTTCTTGTAGCGAACGTTGTCTAGTCTAACAGTTTCTCCAGGCAAATTAAAGGATCCGAGTCTCGTATCCCCAGGCTTCAGTTTCGAAGGCACTATCGATGTCATAGATGGGGAAGAGAAGAGGATGTTTATCGAGTTTGTGAAGCGAATGCTCAGATGGAGTCCCAAGGAGCGACAGACGGCGAAAGAACTCCTCAACGATCCCTGGCTTCATGACGGCTTTTCGCAGTGACCGCCTAAGGATAATTATTGCCCGATTTGGATAGCTCTCCGCCAGAAAAGAGAGTACCCGATGGCTAAGAGTTGTGACTTTCTGAGACGCCACCGCAGACCCGTCGTAAGGCAAGCCTTATTACATTGATGCTCTGCCACCGTGACAACGAGGGATCGCCACAGAGAGCGGAGTGCTTGTCAAGGGGGAGGACCTACGCCAATCGCCCAGGAGACTTTGCCAATGTCGCCCTCTCCAGTTTGTTCGGTTCGCAAGCTCCTGAATATGTCATTTCAGGTCAACGAGAAGCAAGTTCAGTCAAGATTTCTGGCTGTACAGAAGTTAACCCTCTTAGAGATAGGATATGGGACATATCTCACACGAGGGAAAGTTGGAAGAGGATGACGATGAACAAGGGGGTGGCGAGTTTTACGACTTATTAACTTAATATTGGGAATGTGATATGTATATAATGGAGAGGGGTCCCTCTCAACCAGGAGCGTTTTAATAGATTTGGATCTGGATCCATTTCTAGTATTCCAAGTTATGAACGACAAATCTCATATATTTTGCGAGACAGGAGGACTTAACGATAGGCGAAGAGCAAGAGAAGGAAGATTGTAAATGCCCAAATTGGTAGGAGCCTCAGCCGTTACTTTGTTCCTCGAGGTCTTAAATTTAGACGATTTCCATAGGAAAGACCGGTCTGCGATTAGACCTGGCAGAGAGTATGGTCGTGTTGACCTGGACCGCCTCCGATCTCGCCGTCTTTGCGTCCTCGTTCTTTAAGGTTGGCGATTCAAATGGCTTCATCGGGGAGGTATTCCAGTTCGAGGAATGCAACATAGCGGCTGGCGATCGGTCTCTTCGATCAATTTCACTCGCTCGAAAGGGCAATCAGGGTCAGATTGGTGATGGTCTATTTAACAAGTTCTGATCGAGTTCACAACAATCGATTTTTACTAAATTCTCGATGAGGAAATGTGTTCTCGATTTTTGTTCTGAGTAATTTTGAAATGAAGGTTCAAGATTCTATCTTTCGGATTTCCGAGTCCATGAAGTCGCCGGTGTTTACGAAGGTAACTACCGTTGTTGTTAGGGACGCCACAACCAATCCCGCAAGACGCCAAGCTCAGCCCACTAGCCACAAGCCGCACACCAGCCACATATCTCCATCACCATTCGACAGAAAATCCTGTCCCAAAAATTGGTCCATTGCTTAGCTTTGAATTCGGTATCAATACTCGTCCCCCACGAATGTGATCGCAATGGCCTCCGCAGTGGCCCGCAAAGCTCCAGCTTTCAAGCTCGGACAAAAACAAGTCTTCCTGTACGTCGGCTCCATGCCAATTGACCCTCAAAAACGGATCCTGCAGGAGTCAACCAAGGACGCGTGATAGCTAACCCGCGAAAACAGCCCCAACCATGTCATAACGCTCATCCGCAAAGACAACCAGCCTCCCGACTGGGCCACCTTCCAAGTCCCCCTCCGCTTCACAAAGTTCGACCTCCGCGATTACCTCTGGAACCTCTACAATGTCGAAGTGACGGCCGTGCGGTCCTTCGTGCGCCGCCAGGTAGCCCCCATTAAGAACGACGCTGGCCGCTACGTGCGCCCGCCGGCGGAGAAGTACATGACGGTCGAGATGACGAAGCCCTTCGTGTGGCCCGAGGTGCCCAAGGACCTATCCCCCTGGGACGCGGCGCTGTATAAGCAGCGCGAGAAGATGCTTGCGGATCAGGACAGGCTCCGGAAGGAGCGGTACAAGGGGAATATCCCGCTAGCTAGCGACGGGCCGCTGACGCAGGAGGAGAAGAAGTATAGGGCGTTGGCGAGGGAGCTGTTGGAGGGTAAGAAGAAGTGGGAGAATGGCGTGGCTTTGGACGTGAAGTGGGACAGTGTGGCGCCGAAGGCGAAGGAATCGGCGACGAGCGAGACGCAAGGAAAAGAGGAGGAGAAACAAGAGGAGGCGGCGAAGACGAAAGAATAAGTGATTAGTTTTGATCACTAGGCACTTTGGATGAGAGCTTTCTCATGGAAAGCGGAGATTTACCAAGAAGTCGGCATGGCTTGCGGGAATACCTTGTAGCATTATATCACCATGCCCGAAAGATGTACAATATTCTGAATGTATACTGGGATAGACATTTATTTTTGAATCTATTAGTCTGCTTGATCAATTGCCTCTTCCGATCTCACCTCTACGTCAGGGTATTTAGTCCAATGCTCGTCTGATTGATGCATTGTCACTTCATCGCCCCAACTCCACCACCCGGCACTGAGGTATCGTGCAAATACTTCCAGGGCTTGATAGTCCGGAGGCATAATCTCATCGAATAAACGCTTCAGGCTAGGTTTCCTCGAGTGCACGTCTGGAACGCTGACGATGACCTTTTTGTCGACAATGTCTAGGGCAGAGTGGGCCTGGCCCTTCCTCCTCGCTATGAGAAGTCTCTCCCAGGGTTTCCTCCAGTTCGATTGAACGTCACATATGGGCTCACCGGCCGATGTGACCTTCAACCATATCCACTCCGCCACCGGCACCAGGCCCCATTCTTTCAAGAGGCCATTGTGAGCGGTTAGAAGCTCTGTCATATTGGGACTATTAGTAACCCATATGGCAACAACGCCGCCAGGTGCTAGCTGCGTTGAGATGGGAATGAGCGATAGTAATCTGCGGGTATCTTCACGTCCATAGCAGGTCGAATACCCCCCTCGCTTTCGCTTCGCCGACCGATTAGGCCAGGGCGGGTCCATAATGATGAGATCAAATAACGGAGCTGTAGATACCAGTTCCTGCCTCATCGACTTTATGGAACCATGAAGCATATGCGAGTTTTCCGGGGCAAAATATGACGCGGATGATGTGGTCGGCGAAGTTTGGAGGTCGGGTCGCGTGACTGCCCGCGGTAAGCAAAAAGGCCGCGAAAAGTTCAGCTCCAAATCCCGCAGCGCAGATTCCACAGCGGCGCAAGTCATCAGCTGCGAGAGCTGGGCAGCTGGCGAGGCGGTCCCAAAGTGGGCGGTGGCATTATTTCTGGGCTCCGGGTTCGGGAACGGAGTCGAGATTGGAGGCGAGGAAATCAACCTCCGCAGATTGGTCGTCTGGAGGTGGTGCGGGGCTTGGGCCTCTTCGATGGACCTGGGCAGATCGACGCACACGACAGACTTGGACTCGTTCTCATAGAGGATGGACGAACGTGGGGCACTTCTCCGCTCCATTTGTTGGGGCGGAGGAATGGAAATGCGTTTCCCCTCCTTTTTGTTCTGCGCGAGCTAAGCCAAATGTGATGTTGGAGATCAAGTCACGCGTCCCTGGAGCCCCTGGGCCCTACACCAAGGTCAGGATGTGCACGGAGTCGACCATTTCGGAGTCGGCCCAGTGCAGTCCAGTGCAGTCCTCGGAGACGTTTGCTGGTTGGAGTTGGAGTTGTGCCGAATAGAAAAGACGGGTCGGCAATCTTCGGCTTGGGGAAGGCACACATGTTGCAGCATGTACTTGCGGAGACCCCAGACAGGCACGTGTTGGCCAATCATGACCCCGCAAAATCTGTTCAATTGTTAGTGTGCTTGTACCATGACGTCTAAATCTCTAATATTTTGAGTCCCTCTCGTAAGCCGAAATTCCTATTTCTTTATCGCCCTTCACACAATCCCGAACGTCTGCCGGGGACGAACGATTATTGATACGGCAAGGCATTTTTCACTAGGGTCCTCCAAAACCTTTCCCCTCCCCCAGACTCCGGACTCCAGACTCCAGATCTCCAGATTCCTCCTTTTATCGAGCCCCACACGATCATATCCTGACTTCTTCTGACGAGATTGTTCTTCTCTTCGAAGCGACTGACGGGCCAAGCGCGGAGGCTCCGACCCCATCTCAAACCACCGTTACATCCTCCAACGTCACAGTTGGGGGAAAGGGAGGCAGCGGAATGCCTCCCGCAAGTTTGGAGAATGCGTCGATGTCGGTGACACAGAGCACACAGGGGCAGAACTATGAGACGTCCCTTTCTATGACCAAGAAGCCTTCGACCATCTCCACGCCCCCTCCTGGCGATGATACGGTAGAGTTCCGGAAGAAGACTCGCACTGTTGGATATCTATGGCGCTCGGGAGTTGCGGGGGGAATGGCGGGTTGCGCGGTATGGTTATATCTCTTTGCTTTTTCTGTCCTCTTCTTTTTTTTCCTGCCTCCCTAAGCAGCAATGGAGAATTTTCAAGCCATTTCTTCTGAGACTAATCTAAATTTTCGAGTGTAGGCCAAGACGATCGTCGCCCCTCTGGATCGAGTCAAGATTCTCTTCCAGTCCAGTAATCCTACATATGCGAAATACTCGGGATCTTGGGCCGGTGTCGCGGCAACTCTGCGGGACATATACCACCACGATGGACCTACTGGACTTTTCCGCGGCCATTCCGCGACCCTGCTGAGAATTTTCCCTTACGCGGCCATCAAATTCCTCGTGTATGAACAAATCCGTTCTGTTGTGATCCAGCACAAGGGCCAAGAGACGCCCTTCCGTCGGTTTATCAGTGGATCTCTTGCCGGAGCCACCTCCGTTGTCTGCACTTACCCCCTCGAGCTTATTAGGGTCCGTATGGCCTTCGAGACTAAGAGAGTCGGCGGGACGTCCTTTGCTTCCATGAGCAAGCAAATCTACAATGAGCCCCCTGGCGCTACGAGTGCCTCTTCCGCGGTTTCCGCGGTTACTCGCGGCGGTTTCCTCAACTTTTACAGAGGTTTCGCTCCTACGATGCTTGGCATGGTTCCGTACGCCGGCATGTCCTTCCTAACGCACGACACCGTCGGAGACCTGTTTAGGCACCATTCGATCGCCAAGTGGACCACGCTGCCGCGCCGCAAGAACGCGCCCAAGGGCAAGGCCGTCCCTCTGCGATCCTGGGCCGAACTTACCGCCGGTGGGCTGGCGGGTATGATCTCGCAGACGGTGTCCTATCCCATGGAGATCATCCGGCGGCGCATGCAAGTCGGCGCCGTGGTTGGCGACGGTCACCGGATGCGAGTCGCGGAGACGGCGGGGATAATATTCCGGGAGAAGGGCTTCCGCGGCTTCTTCGTCGGTTTGACGATTGGATACGTCAAAGTGATACCCATGGTCGCGGTGAGCTTCTACGTTTACGAAAGGGCCAAGGGATGGTTTGGCATCTAGAAGCACTCCTCGAACACATGAGGGACGGAGGCTGGGTTGCTTTCTTTGCTTTGTTTGATTTATTTTGTTGTTTTCACCACCAGGTTAAGGCGTTTAGAGGAATGGGGCATTTTCAGGGGGAGGGCTAGCCAGTGCTCTTTTTTGGATATAAAGTAGATCATTCGATGGACATGGGCCGCTTGTTTTCGTCCTCTTTTCCGCTTTCTTTTTCTTCTGAGCTTTCCTTCTTAAGGGGTTCTACACTTACCCTCAAGAGTCGGTTCTCGAAAAGTCTTTATAGAGTCTGTACAGGTAGATCCCGGATCAATGAATAGATCTCGACTCAAGCTTGCCTCCAACGTCCCTCGTCGCCTCCCTCTCAAGGCTGATGTGTAATCTGCACACACCATGCCTTTATATACGATGGTATGGAAGGACTTTCCAACCGAGCAGCTCAAGCAGTGGTGACACTACGACCAGTGGCCAAGTGGTTATTGGAGCGCTCAGAAGGTTAGAAAATTGCAATTGTCGTAGCTCGTGGCAAGCAACCGGGATTCGATCTGGGAGCGAACCGCGAGCGAGCTTTTCTTTTTTTGTTCCCTCCCCTTATTAATTCCCCATAGCTAGGCTTTATATATGTAATAATGTATATAGAAAATTACTCCTGCTGCCACCTTATATTTTTCATCTTTATTTATTTTAAATTTTCTACTTTATTTGGAAAGTTGATATCAGGCGACGTCTTTGATATCTCGAGAGTCTGAAATTCTCGAAATGAAGTTGATGAAGAAGACAAAGGTACTGTGCATAATACCGACATGTCAGTTTTTACACTGTATTTGGCATGGTGCTGGTCGCTTTAATTCGGCGCGTGTCCAGCGCGTCAGCGCCAAAACCACTTCTGGAGATGCGTTCAATTGGACGACAGCTCACATCTTCCAGCGCCCCTGCAGATTCTCTCCTTGAGCTTCAAGACCACGAACGCTCCAGTCTGTTCCCATCCCCGACCCCCAGTCCCAACGAACTCGTGTGCGCCGCATCACACGCTTGATCAAGTCTTTTTATCGCTCCTTAATGGCGGCACGGCGGATGCAATCAAGGGGACCAAAGCTAAGCACAAATGGACAAGAACGGGGGTTCCCTCCGACGAAAGCGCGGCAGGCCGGCGTCGACGGGAAATTCTACCACTAACGGATCGGCTGCGAAGAAGCGCAAAGTTGAAGATGATTCTGTGGCGACCCCGGCCGCCAATGGCGCCAGCGGAGGCCGCGGTGGGGTCCGTAAGAAGTCGTTTCTGGAGACCTTGTCCGCGGCCATATCCCTTACAAGAGCAGGGAAGGAGGTGACGGGGGAAGATAATGTTGCGAAGGCGGCGACTGTGCCAGCGAGGAGGAGTCGGCCGCCGAGAGCCACGATTCTAGGGGAGCAGGGAAAGAGTGTGTATGATTTTCCTGGGTCGGATGGAGAGGGGACTGTGACGACGCCATCTAAGAAGGGGAGGAACAGTTTAGCGGCACCTCAGAACGGGACGGGAACACCAAAGAAGCGAGAAGGTCGAAGGAACTCTGCGGCCACCGAGGCCATGGACGTCGACGAGAACGAGCCCGAAGACACTACTTCGAACGGCGATGCATACGGTCTCATGCAACTGGACGAACCTCCGACCACACCTACAGCGAAGAAGAAGCGAGGACCCGGTCGGCCGCCGGGTAGCAAGAATAAAAAGAAGACTTTGGATCCACCAGACCTTGTAATAACTCCTCGTCGCGGACTTCAGTCGAAGTCCCGGGTTGAAAGCCCGACGAAGGTTGGGCGGACTCCACTCAAGGGTATTCTTACGCCATCGAGGAAGGCGGGTGATGATACGCCGAGACGGCGAAAGAGTGTTGCCTTTGGACTTGATAATGGCGTAAAGGATGTCGAGATATTCTTCGAAGACCTGCCTGCTAAGAAGGCGGAAATGCCTCAGAAACCAGTTGGGAAAGCTGCAGCGGAAGAATCGGAACGGCCTTTAGAGACTGGGGAACGGGAGGAGGAAGAAGAGGACGAGGAAGTCTGCGAAATCTGCTTGAAGCCCGATTCGAAACCGCCAAACGAGATCATCTTTTGTGACAACTGCGACCTTGGATTCCATCAGAAATGCCACAACGTCCCCGTCATCCCCGAGGGTGACTGGATATGCAAGAATTGCTCTCAGGATGATATTTCGAAGACGCCACAGAAATCAACCTCTGCCGTCGTGCCGGTGCCGTCAGATGCCCCAGATATCCCGAACCTCAACAAGCATCTACCGGCGCTTCAGCGCATTCTTGTCGATCGATGTACTGGGCAGAGACGGCTTAAGCTTACGGGGTTGGATGAGGCTTATAGCAAAGTTAGTCAGTTGGTGGAACAAACTATCTCGGTTGGGGAAGGCAACTCGATGCTTCTGATCGGCGGAAGGGGCTTGGGGAAGACAACTGTAGGTCTAAAACTCTCCCAAATACGTTTCCCGCCTTCGAAAACAATCACGAGGTGCTAACGATGTACAGCTTATTGAGAATGTCATCACAAACATGTCCGAGAAGCATGAGGGTAACTTTCACGTTGTTCGGCTTAATGGTTTCATTCATACGGACGACAAGCTTGCAGTCAAGGATATATGGCGACAGCTTGGGAAAGAGATGGAAGTGGACGATGATATAGTCCATCGGGTTAGTGCTCCCAGAACTATTTACAGATGATGGATTTTGCTAACGGGCGGGCGGGCCGTCCTTTCTTAACAGACCAATTACGCTGATACAATGGCATCTCTCCTCGCGCTTCTCTCCCACCCATCCGAAATTACCGGTGAGGATGAGGGTGTTATTTCGCAAGCGGTCATCTTCGTCCTCGACGAGTTCGACTTGTTCGCCTACCACCCACGGCAGACTCTCTTGTATAACCTGTTCGACATTGCTCAGGCGCGCAAGGCGCCCATCGCCGTGCTGGGATGTACGACGAGGGTAGACATTGTCGAGATGTTAGAGAAGCGTGTCAAGAGTCGATTCAGCCATCGATATGTCTTTATTGCACCGCCTCGTAACATCGCGGCCTACTGGGAAGTGTGCCGTCAGGGTTTGGTGGTGGATAAGGACGAGGCGTACGATGAGGGTATGGATACCAAGCTTGAGGGGTTTGACGAGTTTATGGAATATTGGGGAAAGAAAATCGACGTAAGTGAAAGCGGTACGAAGATTTCCCTCCTATGGTTGAATCTCTACTTACATTTTCCTTCTTCTTGCCTGATTAGCGACTCTACAAGCAAGATTCATTCCAACTACTTCTCAAAGGTCACTTTTACACGACAAAATCGGTCATGGGATTCCTCAACACCTGCATCCTACCTTTATCAACGCTCTCGCCAACAAACCTCGCCCTTCAGATCCCCCGCGCACCAACCGTCGTTCCCCTCGCGCCGCCGCCATGCAAGCTCCACCTCCTCCCAGCGCTCTCAGACCTCGACCTCGCGCTCCTCATCGCAGCGGCGCGTCTCGACATCGTCGCGCACGCAGACACGGTCAACTTCGCCATGGCGTACGACGAGTACAGCTCGCTCATGGGGCGGCAACGTGTGCAGTCGGCCAGCGCGGGCATGCTGGCCGTCGGCGGAGGGGTGCGGGTCTGGGGACGGGGCGTGGCGGTCATCGCGTGGGAGAGGCTGATTGATTTAGGACTACTGGTGCCGTCGGGGATTGGGGGCGCGGGGAGGGGCAAGGCGATTGGCGGGGTGGAGGGGAAGATGTGGGTTGTGGATGTTTCGCTGGAGGAGATTTCGGTTGGGGCTAAGCTTGGGGGTGTGTTGGCGAGGTGGTGTAAGGAAATTTAGGAGGGGAGTTGAGGGGAGGGCAACATGAGGAGTCTCTTTTTTTTTCCTTTATTTATTTTGTAGTTTTATTTTTATTTTTATTTTATTTTTTTTTTTTTTTTTTTTAGCATCACTGATGAAGGATGGGATGGAGGAGTATTTTTTGGGGGGTGGTTTTTCCATGTCATGATCACGGCATCAGTTGCATTGACAGAAGATCTTAGATGGCTTCTGAGTGTTTAGTCTATTGACGACTCGATTAGGGCACTTTGGGGTGGAGAAAAATATCAATGCATCAATAGATTCTGATAGAGCAGGGATACATCAACGAAGGAATGCAGCAACATCGAGTAAACTATAAACAATCCAAAAAGTAGGCCACCCAATCTTCAATCATCAGTCTTACTCTGCCGGATCTCTAGCACATCATGCCCAACGAGCCCAGCCACACAATGCAGCCCCTAGTTTTGGGCAGCTAATAATAGGATCAGACGAATCCGAAAGGAAACACCAGATCCGAGGCTTCGCTTACCGCACCCACCCAAGCCGGCAAATGACGACGTCGGAAAAGAAGACACAAGGGAGAAAGAGGGTGGTGGACAGCAGCGCAAAGGCCCGTGGCGCGCGCTTCACTTCCTGGCTAGACCCTTTTGAGGTCTCTCTTCGTGCGCTTACTCGCTCGTACAGAAGCTCCGCCTCATTGATGTCTCTCCCGTCTCGCTTCGGGTTCTTGAGGAGCCGGTGGGCTTGGGCCTATGGAAGCCATTAGCGAAGAGGCAAGACAACACGGGAACATGTTTCAATTGTTTGGGCGGGATTGATTTGTTCTTTTCTGTCTCTGGAAAAGGTCATATATCCTGGCATTTGTCTTTCACTTTTTGAACCCATTCATCGTGGCTTGTTGTTCAGAGCTCCCCCCTTCTGCTTGAACCAGAGAGTGTTTCACGATCGGGGTCCTGCACGCTGGTCACCAATATTCTTGTTTCTCTCTTCGGTCTTTCGAAACTTCTTTCGCCGAAGTTCCGTATTTATTTTAATTTTCCATTTTACTTCATATGATTTTCCTACTCCTTTCCAACCCAAACCTCAAATGCCACCGACTTCCTTCATGGTGACGTCGCTCAAGTTTCAATTCAGCAGGAAGGAGCACTGAGCTGAACACTGAGCCTCCACTAAATCTCCACGTCCGCCCCCAGCCAACCCAGCCAACCCAGCCCAGCAGTCAGAGCCAAAGAACCACCAGTCCAGCATTAGCTCGACTCCAACCCCGGTATTCAAGCCTCAACCCCACCCTGCTGCTAGTCACCTCAACTTTACTTTAAACCTTCGATTGCCCGCCGGCTTTGACGACCGACGGCAACCCGATCGAGACGAGACAAGCGAGACAAGCGAGCCAGGCGAGATAGACGAGATCAAGGACATCGAGGACCTGGCTAACACATTTATTATTCCCTCTCAATTCCTACTTCCCAGATCCAAGCCCCCAACCCCACCCCTCCATCCTCATCATCGCACCTACACATTCCTCTCATCCTCCCCCAACAATGTCTAAACGCACCGTCTTCACAACCATCACCCCACTCCCCCCAGGCGTCTCCCGCCAAGTCGCCATCGCCTTCCTCCAAGACCACCTCCGCATGATCGACCTCAACCCCCTCGTCATCGCCCGCCACCCCATCTCCTGCCCCGCCAACGCGCCCCCGGACGAGCTCCATTGCGCCTGGTACTCCCTCACCGACAGCATCTCCTACCTCCCCGGCGGCATGGTCACCGGACAGGTCAGCTACACTGCCGCTTTCAACAACGTGCCCAAGGGCGTCCAGACACACGTCTACGCCCCCATGGGGCTCAACATTCGCGAGACCTGGACCGTCGCGGGGACCTTACCCGGCGAGCCCGTGGAGCCTGTTGAGTTGGGTATTGGTGCGCCGTTGTCGGGGTTGTACGTGCGCGAGGACGTCGATATGAGGTGTAATGTGTTTATGGCAGCTTTTGTCAAGAAGACGTTGAAGAAGGCTCACGGCTCCCTCGTAGATGCGATCAAGGTCGAGGCCCAAGCTGCATCGGCCGCGAGCACAAGCCCCGTCCCGGAAGGTAACGGTGCTGCCTCTGTCCCTGGGACTGGCGCCCCTTCTCCTCATCCGCCCAACGGCACGGCGGGAACTGATCTCGCCCGTTATCCCCCTCTCGGTCCCGCTCCTTACGACCCGGTGAGTCCTCCTATAAGTCCCGCTTTCAAGTACACCACTTCCCCGACGACGTCCCGCCGCTTATCCATGGACGACAAAGACCAAGGCCTTCTCATCGACCACGCCCTCTACAGACTACCACCCTGGCAGACAGACCTAATCCGTCCGAAATCTACCACAACAGAGACAATAACCAACATCACCCACGAATATGACGGCGGCGAGGATAAAAACAGATCCCACGCTCGCACCCTCTCCCGCCTAACAACGAACCTCCCCGCCTACCTCCCCGCGCCCTCCACCCTCTTCACCACCTCTCCAACTCTAAACAACCACCCGGAGTCCTCCACCAACGAATCCGCTTCCTCGGGGCCCCCAAGCGCCTTCCCCTCCCCTCTCCGTGTGAACCGCCGCCCCACCTCGGCATCCTTCTACCCTTCCACCCCGCACGAGGAAGCCACCCGCCCTTCCCCCTCAGCCCGCTTCTCCGCCTGGCAGCCGCTCAAACCCGCTGTCAGCGTCGTGACGCGGTATCCCCGCGCAAAATACCAAGATTACTCTGACATTGCTGCCTCGAACCCCTTTGACTCCTCGCCCGTCTCCTCTGGGAAGGAAACGAGTTTGCCTTTGCCGCAACGGGAACAACAAAAATTAGCCACCCCAGCGCTAACGGCGGCTCCTTTGCCCCCGACGCCAGTCTATCCCAAGACTATTGAGAAGGAGGAAGAACATCCGGTCTCTCTTACCGTTGGATATTTACCGGGCGTGCGCGAGGAAAAAGAACCCGCCGTCGACCTCGCCGCGTTGGGTATCCTTTCCGCCGGACGGACAAGGTCGCTGCACCTCGAGGTCCAACCGAAGAAGACCTATTCGGCCTACATACCCCCGTCGTCGTCGGTACCGGCGCCGCCGCTAGCGAGGAAACAGGAAAACGACCGGCCGGTCCGGTATGGTGCCGTGTTGAAAGAACCCCCGGGTGCGGAGTTGTATTATTAGCGGGTCGCTGCGGGAGCGTGTTGGGTGTTGCTTTGGATCTCACCGGTGCCATTTCATCATATTGCTTCCTTCGCAAGGGATTTTTTTTTTTTCTTTTGGAGAGCATTTGGAGTTGAATTATTTGAGATACCTTCTTTTTTGGGTTTACGGAGTTTGGATTTACTACTCCCCAGTTGCTGCCGAGATTGGCACATCGACATTGGATAATAGGTGGGAAGAAACTATTGAAGCATTTCCATGAGAACGAAATAAAACAAGAAAGGGCCTTGTCTTCTTCTAAGACATGAAATTGGTTCTTATTCTACTGGCACCAGGGTCCTTTATATCCACCAACGCCTTTCAATGTTGTCCATGGCTTACCACCTGTAGCTATCCATCTACCCTCTTCCAAATCCCGCCCCCCTTTGCATGTTGCTGTTGCACAATATCCGTAACACAGGGCCCCCCATCTCACAGGCACACTTTCGGGGCTCGCTCCTGCTGGCAGGAGTGGACCAGCCAGATCCTCGCAGAAACCAGAAGAGATTCCCACTCGCTGGACGAGTCAGAGAACCTTTATTCCAACAGCCAGCGACCAGCTGAGCTCCATACCCAGGACCACCCTGAGGACACAAAATCAGACACATCCTGCAGAGATATAATAAAAACACCAAACATTAGGTTAAACACTCTTAATCCACTGTATTGATGCATTACACAAAGCGAACAAAACGGAAACAGAAAGAACGACAACCAAGAAAATAAACCGAAAAATAACACAGCTGATGGGATTCCGCCCGGCTCCTCCTCTTTCCTACCCCGTGGAATGGCTTGAATGTTCTGCCTTAACCTGCCGATCCCATTTTACTTCCGATAAAGAACAGGATTATGAACGCTGAAAGAAAAGCCAGATGCAGTGTTGACCGCCGGCTGCAAAGTAACCATATATGAACAAAGAAGGTGGGGGCGTGAATAATAAGAAAAGAGAAAAAAAAAGCCAAAGACAAGAAGAAAACAAAACAAGGTGCAAGAAACGATCAAGGCGCGTTTCTAGAACTACCTAGGCGCCCCTATCCTATTGTACGAGTTTCGTCGATGGCAAGAGATAAGGAAAATGTGATCTGGTGTAAAAGAGGCACCGAAAAAAGTCCGATTGCTGAGACTCCTGGAAACAAGCCTAATGTACCCAATGCATGCTGAGAAGATCTGAATTCTATAAAAATTAAATGACCGTAAACGACTTGGGGTATGTGCACATCGTCAGGCTGACAGATTGCCAGTTCTCCTGCAGAGCGATGGCTGAGCTGAGGGAGGTGCTTCCGCCCAACGGCCGACAGTAGAGGGGGGAGGAAGCATAGATCGAGATGGGGATATGATCAAAATAAATGAGACGGGTATCGTCAACATGAAATTCGAGAAACATCGGCGCTCAGTAATGTAGAGAAAAAAAAATAGTTTAGCTGCGATTCGATCGGCTTAGGCTTCGCTCTGGTGCTCGCCCCGGGAGTATTGAATCGAAATCGTAGTGCCTGAGCGTCGACTCGTACTTAGGGCTGCGGAGGAACTTTGGTACGGAGTCCTGTACACAAACGCGTTAGAATAATCCCAAGCTATTAATAGCGGCCAGAAACCCGGGACTACTTACACTAGCCATCAACTTGAATACCGCGTTCTGGGCTTCCTCGAAAAGGGTTGTAACCTCCTTGAGAGTGTCGATCATGGCAGAATCCTGACCCACCGCCTTAGTCATGCGCATGGCCAAGTTGTTTCGCAGTTGGTGATCGATATTGAGCTCACACGGCGATCCGGGAGCTAGGAAGGCGTTGTAAATACCGTACGCCTGCGCCATGATTTCCTTGACTCCGTCCATGGCACTGGACGATGGGTTCTTCTGTGCTGCACGTACGGCATAACGGCAGGCTTCTACGAACTCCTCCACGTCAACGTAGAAAGAGAGGTTCTCCTCGCAATGCGTCTCACGCAGGTTCTCGCGGAACAAGAGTCGTAGAGCGGGGTCACTAAGGATCTTGTCAAGGCGTTGGGTGTTCGAGTCTCGGGCAATCACGTTCCGCGTCTGCGGTACGGCTTCGCTATCTGACGACCTTCCGCGGGAACCGCTGCCGTTGATGACCTCCTTGCCCTTGGTGGATAGTTGGTAGATGGCGTGCTTTGTAGGCTGGAACTGGGTTGCGCTGGGGTTCTGCGCCATGTAGGCCCGGTCCTGCACGATAGTCTCGATGAGGTCGTAGGCTACAAAGAGGGTTGCGACCTCAATGGGCTCCCTGCGATCTACCGTTGTGCAGCAGTCCATGAGCCAGTCGCACGCCGCCTTCCCTGTGAAGGTGTCCTTGAATATTTTCCCGTTGACTTTGCGCTCGCTAGCCATCTTGACACCGGTGACACCATCACGATACTCATTTAGGGAGTCGGAATCCGCCGAGCTGATGTTGGGTTTGATATTGAAGCCCTGGGTCCCGACAAACCTCCTGAAAATCACCTCAATCGTACCCCTATCCGTGACGAGTTTGTCTGTGCTGGTGTTCCTCTCGAGAATAACCAACTGCGTCGCACTGTTGCCAACAAGTTCTTGAACGTGCTTCTGCTGGATGCCGTTCCTCGCACAGAATCGGTCTAGGATGGTGATTCCCTTAGGAGTAAGCTGCCATACCGATCCCTTTGGCGAATACACCTGCTGGAGCCTGCCGTCTGCTGACTCGATAAACCTCGCATCTAGAAACCTTTGGCAAATTGCCCTGGCCATATCCCTAGCCATGGAGAAGGTGGTCGTGGTCGTCGTCGTGACGATTCTTGTGGGGTCCTTGGGATCAGGCATACGGTTGGACTGCGAGAACTTCAAAGAGCCGAGATTATTGATGGCATCTTCGGAGAGGAAGGTATGTTCAACCTTCGTTAACCGTACTCTGTGGGCACTAAGTGGAAGAAGACTGACGACCAGGGTCGAGAAGAGATCCTTAAAATCCTACATGGGCAAACCGACCAAGTTAGCTATCGATTTCACAGGACTACGGCGAATGCGCTTCGATGAGAGAGGTGGGTTGCAAATCGCACGCCAGCAACCGACTAGTATCAAAATGGGGAGCTGCGAGCTGCGAGTGGGAAACGGAGCGCAAGCGAGGGAAGGCCAATAATCAAGAGGCGAACGAAGAGTGAAGCAATCGAAGCAACATAAGAAACGAGTCAAAAAGTGACGCTGTCTTCACCAACCTTGGTAAACGGCCGATCATCATCCGTCATGCGGAGGAGACGCGACGATGTCTGGTGCATCTTGTTGTCTGAGGTCAAGAGCAAGAGGGGGGGAGGTCGGTTTGGGTCTGCTGTAGAATATGGCTGCGAAGGCGGATTGTCCTTCTGGAGCAGCAGGGACTGGCTGGAACGATGTCCTTCAGGGCGATGTGTGAAAAATTGATTCGAGGACGATGACTGGTTTGAAGGACGCCTTGCCTGCGAGGTCGAAGTCGTCCGAGGGTCCAACGAGGTATATGTGAATTCGCAGGAGGGTGAGGTGGGATCGCTAGGACCGGGAGGAGAGCGTGCAATAGACGAGATAGATGGGCGACGTCGAATTACGGGCTCAGAAAAGGTCGCAATCCTACTGGCGAAGGAAAATAGGCCACCCGTCTTGGATTTAGTTGGCTGAGGTAAATGCTGAGGAGGAAGATGCGGCAGATACGGGGACTGATCAGCAGGCGATTCGGTGTGGTGGCGGTGGGAGAATGCTGAATCTATTGTGGTCTCAGAGCCATGCGGCGGCAAAGCTTGAAGAGTTGGTGATGAGGGGGAGGATCGTGGAGGATAACCGATGCCCTCGGAGTGGTGATGGCCCCAGGTCGAGGGAGAGGCGTGAGAGGATCGCGAGGAAGGATGGTGGTCTTCAGTTCTGGGACGGCTCAACTGGGGGAGAGCTTCCATCTATTGCCAAACAAAGGTTTCGGGTCAGAAAAACGTGGCGAAGACGGGATGGGGGTACGCTCATATAATAACGAATAAGGGAAAAGGGACGAAAAAGAGGCTGGGTAAGGGGGGCAAGAGAAAGGGCAGACATAAATGGAAGAGTGGGTAGGTTTTGAGGGAAAGGTGGAGGATCGAGCACCCAGATTGAAATGGCCCCGTCGAAGGTTTGAGAAGGGGGGACCCGGCCAATCTAGAAGTAGTGGATGTACACTAGAGGGGGTAGAGGGGGGGTGTGCAAGGATGGGAGGGCGTGCACAGGTCCACATGCGAGGCAGCACGAGGTGTGGGCGTACAATGGCGCAGTGGTGCAGAGAAGCGGCGATGCGATGTGGTGGGGCGCCCACAATTGCAGCACTAGAACTAGGAGTTCCCCAGGACAGGCGAGCTTCGTCGAAACTTCCTTCCATCCTTCCAGGGCAGCAGATTGCAGGCACGAATGGTACGAAGTACAAAGTACATCAAACACTCCTCATGGGTTGTCACAGTTAGAAGTATCAGTACCTCTTCCCTCGGAAGTCCACTCCAAAGTAAACGAGCACTTGGTCTACACTACAATTGTACATGAATTACCTGTGTTAGATTAGTACTTTGCAAGGGCCCACAAGTATTTTCATGTCTAATCCCAGAGTGGACGAAGCAGTTAAAGCACCATTTCTGCTGTGTCCACTTCGACAGAGGACAATTGGAATACACTACTACGTAAATAAGCAATGTAGGTGTACCCGTACTTTGACTGCTCCAAAGCTGGGTGTCGGGGGGTAATTGATGACAATTCTCGTAGCCTAGAGGGGGCGCCCTAGGTACTACACTACTTAGAAATGCAGTGTTTGGTACAATCGCACGTGTCCGAAGTCCATACAATAGCAGCCTCCACTCATTCCCGCTGGCACTGAACGGGGTGGGGAAAAATGGCCTGACAGCACTGCGAAGGCAACCAAAAGATAACCAGACAACAAGCAGCCCAGGGAAGCAAGAATGATAACAAACCCCTCCTCATCCTAGATATTGGGAGGAGGAGTATCTCGTACTAGTACTTCCTTCCATGGCAACCCTGACAAAAGGACTGTGGTTATTACTCTGGCGTCTCCGCAATCGACGTTACTAACGGCTCGCGGGCGGGCCTGGTTCTGATCGAGAGGTTGCAGCACCATCTCAAACACGGAGTAGTGTAAAAACCCACGGCAATTGTGCGGAAGAAAAGAGGCGGATGTCCATGGAACTACACTATACATACTTCGTACGAAGTACGTCTCCGCCGAAGTCCACTATTAATACACTACAGCCGGCCGAGACAGCAGTCAGGAGAAATTGGGGGACACCAAGCAAAGGGCGGGCTGCTGTAACAACGCGGAGACGTGGACATCTCGCTGAAGTCCTTGATTGATGTAGTGTCAGCAACAGAACTCTAGTAAAGCCGAAAGGCGAACCCGACTGTGAGGCAAAGAAGTAGAGCCATGCTACCTCCCACCGCCACATATCAAATCAAATAAACATCTACCTCTAGTTTAAAAGCACTACCAGAACCAGGCAGCTCGAAGAAATTCGGCCCGTCACTTCTGATCATGTCAAAGGAAGTAGCCTCGTCATCGAGCGTTGGGATGGTCGGCGGTGTTGGAGGATTCGTACCACTACAGTTGCCACTGATCTGCGCCTCCGAGAAAGTGATTCGGAAGAGGAGAGCAGTATTATTACCACGAAATTACCTTCAAAGAGTAGCTGCTAGAGTAGTATCCTAGTTAGTGCACCATGAGGAATTGTCCTGCGCTTGAAGCTTGAAAAAGCAAGGCGTGGTCTCGGATCTTGTCGGCATTCTCGGGGATTTTTAACGCTATCCATGGTCGTGGCTCTGTTTGTTGGAAGGGTGCTGGGGTTGATCCCTTACTGCCCACGTGCGGTGTATTATCTCCCCTCCACACTCCCGGTGCGTTGGGACGCAATTGAACAAACTGACGTACTTCGTATGGAAAGTCTTCTGGCCGGTTTTCCGATTGTGCACCATCGCGCTGTCTCTTGCCACACGCTAGCAGGTAAAGTAATAAAGTAATGGGTAGCATTGGAAAGGGTTTGGGCAAAAACATCGATTCCCTTGCCCTTCCTACTTCAAGAAACGAAATGTGGCGGTCGAGGCTAGTCACCAAAAGTTTGCTGCCATGGAGCATCTCCCCGTCGGTCGCAGTGTACTCCGTATGAAAAGGGGGAGGCCCGGAAACGACCAGGATGCAATGCCCGGCGAGGCGAGGTGGCGTCAATCCAGTTCCGTCAACAAAACACCCCAAGATCGGTTGGCCAGGATGCGGCATAAACACTCTCGAGAGATGATAGACCAACGCAGTCCGATGCTTGGTAGGATGCAGACGGATTCGACAGCAAATTCTGGCAAGGTCTCGTGCATAATATGGCAAGGGAAATATTGCTCCCCGTATGTAAGGCGATGGCTTTGACCACTTGGTTTGTCCCAGACTCGCAGGGGATGATGCCAGGAAGGACGAGGTCGCCCGCTCAACAAAAATATGCGGAAGGGTCCAAAGATGCCGGCCAGGTCACAAGAGATAGTAGTAAACACCTCCTTTGATCGAATTGTCAGCGGACGGCCCACGATCCCAAGTAACCAGGGGACTCTACTACTTCGTGGGCAGTCATCGAATGGGAGAGGGATGGACGAACCAGTGCTCTCTCAGGCTCATGGTTGGTTGCCCAGATCAAAGCTACCCCTCTTATTCCGCCTCCAAGGACGTGCCCGGAATTCTTGGGCTTGAGAGGAAGGAACGTTGGTGGGCCAGGCCCCTCCTCCTCCATCACGTAAAGAGGTACGAAGTAAAGTAAACCTTGACCTCAACTGCAAAGAGTCTAGACCACCACTGTCAGTCTGTCACCACTAAACGTTCGCGATTGTCGGGTAAAGCCACAAACGGCGTGTAAACTATTGCCGCTGCGTCGAGGTCTTTTCCGATGGAGCTAGATTTATGTGTGTCATCTCTCACAGCGTCCGTCCACTCATGATTGGGCATCGTGGAATTATTGTTGCAATTTTGCGTGTCTGGTTGGACGGAATGGTTTGGGGCGCCGATGAGGGAGGGAGCGCAGACGGCTTTCTCAGGGAGGATGCCCCACACTTTGCCTCTCTGAGCCAGAAGTGCAGACGCAAAACCCAGCATCAAATGTATTGGCTCTTGCATCTTGGTATTCCGTGTGTAATCTAAAATCTGCACGGTATCGAAGGCTTCGTACTCCTTCATGTGAAGTAAGCAGTGTAAGTATCAGTCAAGCGGTGTGGAAGGGTAGAGACGATCTTGGAGTCTGGCCCTGTAATGTATGCCATTTATACTAGTCATCCAGACGTTTAGATGAAGGTGAAATGGACCAAAGAAAAAAGAAAGGTCGAAAGAGGAGGGAAAATGAGGGTGAAACCAGAAATAGCGAGGTGAACCACAATCCAGCATGGCAACATGGGGTAGAACTCGCAGGGATTATGCAAGGTCTCCGCAACAGATCAGCGCGTGGCTTTCAGGGATGTTCGTCCGGCAGAGTTGCTTGTCCTCCGTTCCTTCCCGCATTTTGCTTTTTTTGGGTCCTTTCCCCCCCTTCAGTGTCCCCACCCCTCCCCCCATGCACGCCGCCACTGCTTCACTTTCTCATGGGAAATAGGGGGGTACTTTGCCTGCAGTCGACTTTTCAGAGGAAATTCGCTGGTGAAATCCGAGCATTTCGAAAGGTGTTCAATAACCACAATGTTAGCGAGGGATGCAATAGAGACGATGGAGCTGGAGAAAGAATTATGGAAGGAATTCGATATTCCTCTCAGGGGAAATGGCGACGGGCCCTGTCCGTGACGCCTACTCCGTACTACTTCGTAGTATAGAGGTTTGTCACTATTCGGACATCTACATTCCCCGGTTTGCACGACGAAGTAGGCCAGCACAGTCAAGAGCACTAGCTTGTAGTCGCCTGCGACAAGACACCTGAAAGCACTGGCCATCAGCTCCTTTCCCCACGTCGCATGTTTATGGCAGCTTCGCCGGATCTTTTCATTCCAGGTGCGTTCAGGGCAGGGTCCGGGGAAAGTGGTGGGCAAGAAAACGCGAAGGATTCAGTCTTGCTAATCTTTATAACCAGGGTTCCATCGACATAAGTTTGCTGAGCCTTGCCTTGTTCGTTTAATTTCCGGTGATCGCCTTACCTTGCCAATTTGATACGTGCGTGTTAGAGAGGGTTCCTAGTTAAGTTGGGCTCCGACTTCGTTGCTATTTTCCTCTCCCAAAGGCATAAAATACCGAGTTCGTCGAGAATCCCGGCCCGCACACGTGTGAATGAGA